ATCATATGAACCGTTCACCTGTATTTAACAACACAAGCAGTTCACTTGTGAAATATAAAACATCGTAGCTATATACTTGACATCAATCGCCCTCCGCACTCACTAGATTCCAGCTGCAGATCGCCTCCAAAGACAGCTCATCCGTCCACTGACCCCCACCAAGCCATCTCCTGGACTCAGCATCTCGGCGAGAGGCATCCGAATAACCGTCCTCTTATGCAAGGCACAACTCTGTGGGGGAGCACCAGTTATCGCTGGAAGAGACATGCTATCAATCAATGGTTGCTGAGTAGTATTTCCCACCAATCTTCACCAGCCATGACTGCCAAGACGGTCGAGAGCTTGGCAGCGTGCATCAACGGCATGCCCCAGCTACGTGTTTGCCCACGCACTCAAGCGTTTTAAAAATTGAATTTTGTATTTATGCTATGTCTACCATCTTTTCTCATATCCTAACGCCTCCCTTTGGTATCATATCCTTTTCATCACTCGTTTTCTATATCTTTTCAAACAAAGTACTCGTACATCCAAAACTATCATTAGATTTTCTCGGGGACTTCTTGATTGGCCGGTGTTGTTGCGCCCTTTGAGTGTGACATGCTGTAAGGTGCCTATACAAAATATCTGTCAGTCTCATGTGGCCATGGAAGAAACGGAATAGAATGCGTAAAGCGACTTACCAGTACTTCCTTGGCATTGCAAATCCTCCATGCTAGCTTCCTCACGCTTCGATCCGCCAAAACGACGGCCGGCGCAAATTCCACGCCAAACATTTCTCGGATAGCGTAGACAATTCTCTTGGCATATTTACCGTCTCGCTCTACGTGGCTGCCAAAGCTCTCATCCACAGTGCTTGGTGCAATGTCATCATCGCGGTCCAGGCAGTTTTGAATAACGGGAAGGAGAGACGACTCGATAGCTTTAGCGTACATGGCCTTGGTGCCAACGTCAACTTCAACATCCTCTTCGGCAAACTTGCTAATTCGGATCTCAAAGGGCTCTGAGATGCTCATGACTGTGTGACGCCCATCATGGTGGTATCTAAACTCAAAAACACCTTGCGTCCACCATAGCTTATCGCCCTGGAACACAACTTCGCCTTCCATCATATCAGATTCAGATGGATCATTTTTGGCCGCAATGTGTTCTTTGACAAGGATGCTAGTGTTTGCCATGGAAGCGTCGTAGGCGCCAGTGCAGGTGGGAGTCCACCTGCCCAAAGATGAAACCTCAGTCGTCTCTCGTGAGCGATTGTCCGTCACCATGTAGAGGCCAATCCAGTCTTCCTTGCTGTGGTTTGCGGGAGCTCGCCACTTGACTCGCAGAGGGGCACCATATTCATAAGTCTTGGTCTTGACTGGCTTGGGGAACCGTCCTGAAAAGCTCTCTTTGCCGGTGGCACGCTCGTCAATAGTCGACTGAAGAGGCTCCGTTCCCTCAATGGCAAGGGAATAATGTTTGGGATCCAGGCCTGCCATGTCGGACGCGATTCGGGTGATTGTGAGGCGAGCCGGTGCTACGTTGAAGAGAGCGGACGTATCTCGGACGATGGTCTTGACACCAGAAGCAAACTTGGGGCGGGCACTATCCAAAAAGTCTTCGACGAAATGCGAAGTATCATCAAGGACCTTGTCGACACTTTCCTGCCATATTTTGACTGGAGGTGGTAATGATCGCTTGATGAATTTCGTAAGGCCTGCCTCTTCTCGCATGCTTCTTCCGTAAATCTTCTGCATATGAGGTCGCTCGACGAGCGCAATGACTGCAACATTTAGGATTTGCGTGACCAGGGCAATGATGAAGATGGCTCGACTCCATGTGATGAGAGCAGCACCCCAGATGCCAGCGGTACCAAACACTCTTTCCGGGTTATTCAGGAAACGATAGATGGATGTATATGTGAGCTTGGCCTCGTGGTCAAAGAAGAAGTCGCCGCAGAACCAACCAAATTCGCCCAGTGAGTCATAGACGCTGAAAGCTGTCCACAGCTGCAAAGCAATCAACCCGGCTCCAAGAACATGCTTGAAAAGGGCTAAACCGTAGCCCCAATCCTCGGGCGGGTTGTACATCTTCCAGCACGCGGCAACAAAGGCGGTGTTGCACATGATCATGCTAATGTGATACATGGCTTTCCACTGGCGCCAGGCTTCGCCGGCACTCTCGCCATACTTTAGAAAGTGACGGGTCCACATCTTGGATTTAGACTGGCGATCCAACACGAAGCCGAGACCGGCATGATACCATATCCGCCATCCCAGTGCGTGAGCGACGAAGAAGGTCTTCCATAGAGCAGTGCTGGGGGTCGTGAAAGTGAGGATCGCCACGTATATCGGAAGAATGACCACAACGCAGTCGGGCACCCGGAATAGATCCATATTGTTTAAGCCAACCAGATTGTGCAAATCTGCCGGCATGTCCTTCTGAGAGATGGAAGCAGATCGCGTGTAATCATTATCCGCCGGGAGATCAAACGTCACGGTAGTATCGGCCGGGCTCCTATTCACATTCTTTGCTCTTGGAGCAGGAGGGTTGTAGATCTTGTCAATGTGGGGATTTTCCACGGTTACGAGGAACGCAAACTGGGCGAGATGGGCGAGGATAGAGATGAAGAGCACCTCATAGCTGGCGGCCATCATCGATATACCATAGTAGCCAGCGTAGCCAATTGAGTACATGGGGTGGGGAGCCATCTCAAAGACGCCGTCGAATGTGAGATCTTGATCGATGAGGTAGAAGAAATCTCCCCAGTACCAGGCAAAGTCTTTGACAACACGATGGGCATCGAGCTTAACCCAGAGGTTGAAGCCGACAAGCGTAATACCGAGAAGCCATCGTGCAACTCCAATCAGCATGTTCTCGCCCTTTGGAGAGTGGCCACAAACAATGGCAAACAGACAATAAGACACGAAATCACACATCAAGATGAGGTCGACAACTCTTCGGAAGACGAGCCAGGTGTTGTACTCGACGGGAGCTTTCTCAAACTCATAGTCTTCGGGGATCTTGGCTTCAAGCTCTCGCTTGAGCAATTTGTACAGCCATGGGCGAGGATTGTTGCCGGTGCTGGGATGCTCAAACAGCTTCCATCGCTGAGCCCAGGTGATGAGGCGCCGGTGACGGGATTGTATGTGTAGCAGGATGCCGATTCCAACGTTGTAGCAGGCTCTCCAAAACAGGAAAAGAGCTGCAAATACGGGGCGCTTGTAGCCAGTCGGAAGAAAGTAGGCCGCCAGAATATGCAATCCAAGGATAGCCAATACGACAACATCCGAAAGGTTCTTGGGCTGTCGCGGGTCCAGGAGCTGTGAAACCATGTCATGCGTGGTTGGCACGACGAATACTGTCCCAATTCAAAGGCACTGATCAGCTCAACGTCCGGCTGCGGCAGTTACAACGGATTGACGCTGCTACATCACTCACCTGTGCCATCTGGCGTACGGCCAAACGTCTTCTTTGACTTGTTAGTGCCACCTTCTGGAACAGCCTGATCAGCCGCCAGCGGCTCCATTGGCGTCGTAGAGCCAGGGCTGACGCCTTCGCTCTCGTTCAGCAAAGCATCTTGGACTTGCCGGTGCCGCAGCTCAGCACCTCCGGCTGAGATGTCAGCGGCCGTGCTCATTGTGAACGATGTTGAAGATCGTCCGAGTGGGCCCCGTTGACAAAGGTTGAAAGACTAAAGAAGCGAAAGAAATACAAAAGGACAGAAGAGCGCAAAGAACTGCGAGCTTGCGGGCTAGGTATTTAACTGAGCCTTTCTGCACCCAGCCGAGACGTCCAATCACGGGCGGCAGGACAGTTTGTTGAGAAGCGGCTGCAGGGTCCTTTCTGGCTCTTTTGATTGCAGGGCGGAGCCACCAATGCGCAGTCTAGAAGCGAGCTGATCTTCGGGCTAATATCGAGCGCGAGAGGTGTTCACTCGGAAGCCCTCTTAATATCGCACGTCTGCAGAGGTCTCTTGGACCGTTAGCGATCGAATTGATACGACACGCGGTTGACGCCTGTCGAATCAGAGCCGGTAAAACGGCCTTGTTGAATGCCGTTTTCCTTATTGCTGAGAGTTGATGGAAGGAAGCTGGCGGAAATTGAGAGAAGACTATGAACTGCAGAATGTCTTGTGACCCGTGACCTGCTCCGTGAAGGGGCGCCGTAGCTACCGAACACATGCCAGGCCAGCTGTGGGGAGACAGCCTTAGCACTAAAGACCGCAGGCAGTTGATGTAAATAGCGGGGAGCCCACTAGAGCAGTTGGTAGTAGAGCCCCCTAACGCAAACGTTGCTATCGGCTAGAGGAGGCACATGGCAATGCGAAAGTGTCCAACAAGCCACGAAAGCTATTTGGCTTCTCGAGCTGTCTACGAGACGGCAGTACATTCACTATGGAACATTTGCAGCAAAACAATTGAGTTAAAATTAATCCCATACCTGTTTACCGGCCGCATTGCCCGGTCGCGTGAGGAATGCGGCCAACAATGTGATTCTGCGGTATGAGTGCTCCGTAGCAGCCAGGATAGAGAGTCTAGCCCACAATGACGAATGCTGCTAAGGAAAAAACTTGGGACGACGAGACGACAGACATGTGAAAGTCAATATCCTGGCCTGCGCTGCGTCGAATCGATTGGCTGGCGGACCCCCACTCTCCCAACAGATGGAGGCCCCACTACTCCGTACTCCAGAGGGCTTTGTTCACACAAGCGAGATGCTAGGAAGAGGTGGTATCCTGGTTTCCACAAGGCGGAGAGTGATAGGTGCTGGATTAGCATGTGTATGTAAGCTAGAAGCTTACTGATATAATTGCTATTTTCTTATCTGCTAAAAAGAGCCTTGTATTTAAATTGGAAAGTGTTATCTTATAGGAGGTGTCCATAATTTGGACACCTTGGTATTCCGTTTCATTCTTCCCGTAGTGGACGACTAATCAGAAAGACCAATACAGCCGGTTCTAATTGCTCAAATTCTGGCTCATAACAAGAAAGTTCATCACCTGTCTTTACAGTCTCCTTTATCAACAACATTAATTTGCAACTTGAATAAGAACCACCTAGCTACCTACTTCAAGTGTCCTCGATGCCTGCATATACAATGGTCTATAACAATTCATGTCAAATCAGTCACAGACCCGCATTCGTCGACACTTTCAGTGGCCATGCCAAAAAGAAGACACAATTTTAGCTATTCAGCAAAATAGTCACAGCAAATGCATTACCATATCTCCCTAACCATCCCGCAACAAGAGAAAACAAGGCCCTTTGCAATTTTTTCCTTACTGAGCCTTCTTGGCAAACTCCACCCTGAGAATGAGATGCTTGAAACCGAAACCGTCCATCTTGTTGCATGCCGTGACAGCATCGCTGTGGTCCGCAAAGCTGATGAAAGCAAACCCCTTGGCCATGCCGGTTTCCCGGTCCTTGGCAAGGAAGACTCTGGTGACACGACCGAAGCGCTCGAACATATCGCGCAGTTCTGACTCTTCCGCCATCTCGGAGACCTGTTAAAGAGAAAAGATGCGTTAGCAAAATTGCACATGTTTGTATATACAACTGAGGAAGTGTTGGACGTACGTTGGTGACACGCAGTGTCGCAAAGTCGTCCCTCTCGCCGAATTTTGATCCGCCCATGCGCTCGCCAGCTCCACCACGGTCGCCACGCAGAGCAGGTGGGACGTATGAGCCCTTCTTTCCAGCACCGGCAGCACCAGCAGCTGCTGCCACATCGTCCACGGGAGGGGCATCGCCGGCGCTCGGCTCGCCAACAGGCGCCATCGTGTCCTTGTAGGGACATCTGGCTGTAAAATGTCCGCCGTTGCAGATACGGCACTTGACCTGCTTGTCCTTGAGCTGGGCCTTCATGGCCTGGGCGTTCTGGTCGGTGCTCTCCTCCTTGGCATCCTTGCGCCAGGAGACGCTGGGTCGGAAGATGATGTTCTCGCCGACGGAGGTGGTATCGGGGGCAGGGCCCGCGGGGTCCTTGGCGCTCAGGCCGAACTTGGGCCACGTTTTCCGGTGTGCGACACGGGGGTTGACTGTCTCGGTTTGGGTGATGTAGCGGACGCGGCGAGTCGTCTTGACTTTCTGGCCCTGGTCGTTGTATCGGTAGGTGATGATGGTCTTGGTGCCGTCTTTGTTGGAGATGGTCTGGGGAGGGGGGAGTTCGGAGGAGGTCTCCTCGATGTCGTCGTCGTCGGCCCAGTCATGCCTATTTTTTTCGCAAGGTGGTGGGGTTAGCGAGGCTCTGCGAGGTTGAAGCTGGCAACAATGGTGGCCACTCACTTGGCCTTGGGCGGCGCTGCGGTTGCGGAAGCCATGTTGACTGCCTGTGTTATGAATCAATTATGTATATGATTCAGAGATGTCAGCCTTGCTGTGTCGTCGACGTGTGCCGCGTCGGCTGGAGCAACTCTACAAGGGGCTGATTTTGAGCGTGGGGTTTCTTCGTCGAAACAATCCAGCGAATTTCTCAACTTTTGGTGCGGTTTGCAATTTCTGGTGGCGAAGCCACATGTGGCTGCGAGCAGTAGTCACGTGATTGCTATCTTGGCTTCGAGAGCTTCCGGGTAGGTCGCAAGCCTCTTTATATCCGGCGCCGAGAAATCGAAATGTGGCGCTGATTAGAGGCCAGAACCAAGACTCAAAGAGCTCTCCGTCGTCGCCGAACGCCCCATGGTCTGTCGCAACCGAGTGTGGCGCCGATATGACTTGCGTTGCGTAATGCTCAAGCCGCAATGAGAAAGAGTATAAAGTTTGCCGCGAAGCCGACGCGGCCAAATCCACAAGGGCTTGGGTCATGCGATGGCCGCGATGCCCGGACCGTTTTATAACACCGCCCGCTCTCTCTCTTTGTCTTTTCTTGGCTGTTGTTTTGAACAAACCCTACCAGTTCATTCGTTTTGACCTGCTTCAGTCGTTTTTCGGTGATACGTGATAGCGTCTAGACAGTAGACCATGGCTCCGGCTCCTAAGAACACTAACAGAGGCGATCAACCTCCGGCTTATGGAGAGACGTCCTCACCACCTCAACCGCCCCAGCCAGCGTACGGAAGAGATGGGGGCTATTATGGCTACGACCAGAACCAGCCAAACTACTATCAACAGGGCATTCAGAGCCCTCAAGGCCAGCAGGCATACTACCAGCCCGGTCCGCAAATGAGCTATTATAACCAGCAGCAGAGCCCTTTTCCAGGCCAAGGTCAATATTACGGCGGAGGTCAATATCCAGGCCAAGGCCAGTATCCCCAAGGCCAAAATACCTATGTTCAATACCCTCAAGGCCAATACCCCCAAGGTCAATATTACCAAGGAAATCAGCGGCCAGGATATGTCTCAAGTCGGCCTCCCAACAATGGAAGTACTGGTTTCTTGGAGGGACTGGCAATTGGCACGGCTTGCTGCTGCTGTCTGGATTGCTTATTGTGTTGATCTTTCTGAGAAGGAAATGTATCATGTAAGACTACCGGTTTTATCCATTTCGCTTTGTCTTTCTTTATTCTTCCCCGATATCCATATAAAAGATACATGTATTAATATTTACGGCAGGGACGTTTGGGACAAGTAATGGGTGGGGATCTGGTCTTTCAGGCTCGGAGTTGAACGGAATAGGCATACGGAGCCTAGAAATCGCTGATCACAGCGGACAGGGATGGTTTATATGGCGTTTGGCGCATGTACGAAGTCTGGCTTCGTGTTTTCCTTTTCATTTTCCCCATTTGATGCTACCGGGCGAACACGACTGCGCTTCCTATATCCCGGTGAACCTGCAACTTGACTCTTACTCTTCCCGAGCTAAAGATTCAACTTCAAGCGGTTGAGATGTGCTTATGTTGGCGATTCATAGGAAGTATGTTTATGTAGTTTGATGCGTACCTAAGCTTGAACAAATCTGAAAGTTTTGTCTATATTTACTTCGAGGACTCGATGTTGATGGCCATCATGCAGCGCTAGCAGCGAACAGACAGCTTGAATTTTGACAAGAGATTAACTCTGACTGATATGCAAGAACTTGATACATTTTGGAAACAATTCTACATGTTCTTACAAGTTTTTAGTGAAGCTTTAGGTACATTTACTATATTGCTGTCCCACCTGTAGTGAATAGGAGACAGGTTGGTTCGACCATGATCAGCGAGGCTAAGGTTGGTATAGCATTTAGGTAGAAAGAAAGTTTCGCTCCCGCTACCCTAAGCATGCACATGATATCCGACATGTTACCAGCACAGACAGGCTAAGCGAACAAAAGTCTAACTCTTGTAGATTCTAGATGACTATTTCTCCTTTATAAACTTCAGTATCAGGGTAGCTAGTGCGACAGGCGGGTTTTTTGACAGTAACCAAGTTGCGAATACTACTTAACCTAGACACACCCCATTGACTAGAGTTACGAATTCGTTCTGACTATAAACATTACTGCAATTTTTTTTTTTTCCTTTTTTTTCTTCATTTACGAAAGTACGAAAACAAAATATTTTCCGTTCCTTTACTCTGGTAGTTTCTCATATAGGAAGGCGGTGTATAGTTAAGCATTGAGTCTCGTAGTAAAATATAAAGATTCATAATACGGACATCCGAATTACGAATGTGCAACCCCGCTATTGGCAGTCACATCCAAATGATCAAGAGTGACCATAGGCATGCGAGATGAATGCGATATGCTTAAGCCTAACGGGCTAAGATACTGTTACAAAGCCTGCTTGGAATATGAGACCATTCCTGGAGCCAACGCCAATAGCAACAGAGGCTCAAAGCTGCTATCTGCAGATGGGCAAAGGACTCTTGCGAGTAAAACTTGCAACAGCCGTCGCTCATTGTGTAATGTAGCAGGCTTAATTTGTCTTCCAGGTAAATGTAACAACTAATTGCAATCCAGCATATGTAAGGCATTCTCACAGCAGAGGACGGTGATATTGACACGAGATGTGGGCTGCCTCTGGCGTTTCTGCCGTGGAGGATGTCGCAGGGATCATATCCGTACACAGGGACACAGATAGATCGACTCTAGGATTCTTGAAAGATCCAGATGACCTATCGACTGGGAGTACAGATTTGTCGACTTTGCCACAACAAGCAATTCCCGCCTTGATCTGTATGCGTGGTTAATTGCTGTGGTGCACGCATGTATCGACCTCATCCCAATGTGTCAGTGCTTGAGGGGGCTCTAGTGCCGCGAGCAACGCCAAATACGTCAACGAAGAGTCAGTCAAGCAGCTGCCAAAGCTGGTGCTACCCCGGAATACCTGCACGTTTAACCTGCTCCATTGGACACGCGGAATCCACTTGTTGCTGCCGTTGCACCTGGTTGAAACTCATACCGCCGTTTGCTTACTGGCCCCCTTTTCGGCACCCCATGTGCTGCTTTATCTTGCAATGTTGGCCTTTTGTTTCTGCTGAGTGAATGCATCCGTCATCGGCTAGCTAAACGGGTGCGTGCTGTCTCGGATGCGGTGTCACTCGAATGGCTGGCAGCTACGCGTACAAGCAGGCCTTTTGCCGCCAAAACAGGCTGTCCAGAGGCCAAACAGCCAACGGGAGCCGAGCGCCTGTCGTGCCCTCCATGCGGGCAGCCGCCAACTGCAAACCAGGACCAAAGCCCTGGAGCCACTGAAGAGGTGCGGGGCGCAGCAGAAGCAGGATACAGGCCTGCCAGCGCCAATGAAGAGCCGCTGGACGAGTAAGGTGCTCACTGAGGCTTGGGGCTGGGCGCCTGTACCCGCGCTGATCCATGCCACACCCGCTGCTAGTGGCAGGGCCTGGGTGCCGCCTCTGATGTCACCACACGCTGAGGGCGCCTTGTTTCTCGTTTTGAACGGCGACGCCTGTGTCTCTCCATCACGATTGGCCGGGGCATGACGTTTGGCGCAGAGGCTCCAGAACAGGAACTGAACTTGATTCCATGGCGGCGCGGGGGGCAGTTAATGTTAGTGCATCGCGGCAAATAATCCTGCATGTGGTTTAGGTGTTGATAAGGTGGTGATTCAATAGATTGCCTCGATCCAAAAGGGACGATCACGACTTGGTATTTCTCCACCAAGAAAAAAAAAAGGGCGTGCGGTTTCCCTTCCACCGCCTTTGCTTGGCTTGGGCCATCGTGCAATCGCTTCCACGAGAGACACTCGCCAAACGCCGCCATTGTTGGCCAAGCCCGCCTCCACCTCCGCCTCCTCCTTTTTCTCTTTCTTCTTCTTCTTCTTCTTCTGTTGTTAGCGCTCCGTCTGTTCTTTGACATTTTGACACGCTGCGTTTGTTGCTCTTCTCTCCATCCTTGGCCACATCTTCCCTAGAAGCCCCCAAGGGGCGTTTGCCAAATGCAGCGCTCGCACCTACAAGATTCTACCACGACGACATCTATACCGAGTCTCTAAACCAATGTTACAATCATCTCTTTCTTTTCATATCAAACATAGTTAAACGCCTATCTCATATTTTCGACATCTCACGTCGCGCGGATCATATTCCACGGCTGCGCGCTTCGTCCCTCTCCTCTAGCCATGGAGTCAATATCTTTGGGCGGCGGCCATTCATGGTCCAACATGGTGCTCTCAGCCACTGCCTCTCTGGCGCGGCGAGATTCTCAAAGCAATTCTCCAGGCGCGGGAAATGGTCAGAAAAACGCCGGCATTGGCATTGTGAGCTTCCTGACGGCCATCCTGGTCTCCGTCATCATCTTCTTTGTTCAACTGTTGCTTTTCATGCTCTTGCGAAACAAGCTGGCCCGAATCTTGTAAGTATTGCGCTGCTGCTGTCTCGATATCTGCTAGTCGCGATCCTGGTGCTGACGACAGCTTCTCCTACAGCAAGCCCAAGACGTATCTTGTCCCCGAGCGCGAGCGAACCGAATCGCCGCCAAACAACTTTCTCGTCATGATCAAGACCTTGATCATGTACAACGACCGTGAAGTCATCAACAAATGTGGACTGGATGCTTACTTTTTCCTGCGCTACCTAAAGACTCTACTCATAATATTCATACCCATCTGCGCCATTGTAATGCCCATCCTGATCCCCGTCAACTATGTGGGTGGTCGTGGACATGATATCGACTTTCACACCAACAGCACCGATCCGGATTCAAGCACCAACAGCACCGACCCCAGCTTCGTGCCCACGGGACTCGATACCTTGGCTTGGGGAAATGTCAAGGCAACACAGACTAGTCGTTATGCTGCTCACTTGCTGATGGCGATTCTTGTCGTCATCTGGGTGTGTTCAGTCTTCTTTTTCGAGCTGCGAGCGTACATCAAGGTCCGCCAAGACTATCTTACCAGCGCAGAGCATCGGCTCAGAGCCTCCGCAACAACGGTGCTCGTCAACTCAATCCCGCCCAAGTGGCTTAGCGAGGAAGGGCTTTCCGGCTTATTTGACGTCTTCCCCGGTGGCATTCGCAACATCTGGATCAATCGTGATTTGACTAGTCTCTTGGATAAAGTCAATCTTCGAAATCAGATTCACGCTCAACTTGAGGACGCTGAGACTGAGTTGATTCGAACTGCCAAGAAAAAGCAGCTTAAGAGGAGAAAGTCTGAGGAAAAGAAGCAGAACAAGAAAATGTCCAAGAAGGAAAGGATAAATCGCCAGGCCGAAGAAGATGCCGAGGCCAAACGAATGGCCAACAGCGGCGAAGGAACCAATGACGGAAAGCGTCATCACGTACCTCACACAGTCGCCGAGGGCGTCCGAGAGTCGCGGATAGAAGATATGCACAAGAAAAGAATGGAGAAATTGCACAACGTCCGAGAGGAGTCCGAGGAGTCTTCTTCAGATTCCGATGACGACCGAAGGTCTAATGTATCCGATGGTAGCAGCGTTGCGGTACTCAAGAATATCAAAGGCGCCTTCAACAAGGCCGGCGACCATATGGATGATTTCGGTACAAACAATGGCTTTATTACTTTGGCACGCAAGCAAACTCTTCCAGACGACGACGGCACTCGAGGTTACCAGTCTTTTGAAGTTAAGCGAACGCACACACATTCGCGCGGAGGGTCTGGGGCTTCAGCCAGTTCAACAAAAGCCATTCGCCAAGACGGCGTGACCACGGTGGAAGGAAACACAGTTCGAAAGCTCGAGAACATTGACGACATGTATAACATGGAAGAACCGAAATTCTGGGAATTCTGGAAGACGCCTGCTGGTGGATACGCCTCGCCGGTTCCTCAGCAAAACGGGGGAGACGACTACATTGGTAAGCAAGGGCCTGAGAAACGCACGGTATGGCAGAATATAAAAGGCGTCCTCCCTTTCACCAGCGAAGGGGCCATAGAGGAAGGCAACTACCCTAGCGTCTACTTTAATGAAGATTACAAAGAGGATGAGGAAGAAACTCAGGCAGAGTGGGCAAAACACATCCGGAAAAAGGACCGTCCCACTCACCGGTTGCCGCCCTGGGGTGTATCGTGGCTGCCTGGCCTCCCATTGTTTAACCAAAAGGTCGATACCATTTACTGGTGCCGAAAAGAATTGGCTCGACTGAATATGGAAATCGAAGAAGATCAGCAACACCCCGAACGGTTCCCCCTGATGAACTCGGCTTTTATTCAGTTCAACCATCAAGTGGCTGCTCACATGGCTTGCCAGAGCATCATTCACCATATCCCCAGGCACATGGCGCCGAGAGTCAACGAGATTTCTCCTCGCGATGTCATCTGGAGCAACATGGCTCTCTCGTGGTGGCAAGAATGGCTTCGCACCGGTGCCGTCACTCTCATTGTGGTGGCCATGATTATCCTATGGGCTATTCCCGTTGCTTGGACGGCCGCCTTGGGCCAGCTGGACCAACTGATTCAACAGACTTCTTGGCTAGCTTTCCTGAGGGAAAACTCGGCGCTTGAGAATGCAGCCAAGGCTCTTGCGGGTGTTCTTCCGGCTGCTGTGCTTGCTCTGCTCCTGTTCCTCGTCCCCGTCATCTTGAATGTTCTCGCCGAGATCAAGGGCGCCAAGACGGGAGCACAAAAGTCGGAATTCGTGCAAATCTTTTACTTTGCCTTTCTCTTCGTCCAAGTTTTCCTCATTGTCTCCATTGCGTCCTTCTTTGCTGCGTCTATTGACAAGCTGGTCGACAATATCACGCAGCTAGACTCAGTCAAGGCCGTGCTGGATCTGCTTGCCACAAATCTGCCAAAGGCTGCCAATTATTTCTTCTCTTACATGATTCTTCAAGCCATGTCCACCAGTTCCGGTACGCTGTTGCAGATTGGAGGCCTGTTTGTATGGTTCATCTTGGCTCGGCTGTTTGACAGCACCGCACGTAGCAAGTGGTCTCGAAACACGTCGCTGAACGATGTCAACTGGGGAACGTTTTTCCCCGTCTACACCAACTTTGCCTGCATCGCCATCATCTACAGCGTTGTTGCGCCGCTCATTTCCATCTTTGCAGTCATCACGTTTGGGCTCCTCTGGTTCGCCCAGCGATACTCTATGCTCTACGTTACTCGGTTCGAAGTCGACACCGGCGGTGTGCTGTATCCCCGGGCAATCAACCAAACGTTTACGGGCATTTATGTCATGGAGCTTTGCCTGGCTGGATTGTTCTTTATCGTGGTGGACGACGAGGGCACTCACACTTGCACGCCACACGGCATCGTCATGATTGTTGTGCTGATTTTGACCATTCTCTACCAAGTTCTATTGAACATTTCGTTCTCGCCTCTGTTCCGATATCTGCCCATCACGTTTGAAGATGAAGCAGTACTGCGTGATGAAGCCTTCCAGCGTGCTCAGGACCGCCGCTTTGGGCTTGGTGACGACTCGGACAATGAAGGCGACGAGGTCGACGGGAGACCAGGTGGTACAGCAGAGAAGACCTCCAGCTCAATGGAGAGCAGTGGTGAGGACATTGAATTGAGCAACATCCAGCATCCAGGAAAGGGGAAAGTAAAGGGCCTCGCAAATCCCGTGAAGAAAGTGGGATCTTGGGCCAAGGGAGGCGGGAAGCAAGTAGGAACCTGGGCCAAAGGAGGCGGGAAGCAAGTAGGAACCTGGGCCAAAGGAGGCGGCAACCAACTGAGAAAGCTCGCCATGATGGAGAACAACTCTCAGGCGGCCGAGTACCGACGAAAACAGCGAACCAAGGATATCGAGGGCCAGCGTGCCATTGGAGAAGCGCTATTCGGGGGCATCCACGACGAAATCGAGGATCTTACCCCCGACGAGAGAGATCTCCTGGTGCGACACGCCTTTCTCCATTCGGCACTGCGAGCGCGTCGACCTGTCGTATGGATTCCTCGCGACGACCTGGGCATTAGTGATGATGAGGTCCGCCGCACGAAGGAGTACAGTGAGCATGTATGGATCAGCAACGAGGGTACGGCGCTGGACAGTAAAGTGCGTGTGGTGTATGGAAGGTACCCGCCGGACTTTTCAGAGATTGATTTGATTAATTTGTGAGGATGGTTTTATTTTACCTTGTCATGGAATCATGACTATAGCGTGCGTGGCGTTTCAAGACGTATTATTATTTGTTTTTGTACTATTAGGAGAGTGTGTGTATGATGAAGGAGGGGGCTGATTGCAATTGCTTCATGGCGTTTACGAGACTGAATATAAAGATACTAGAATACCCTTGAGGAGGAAATGATTAGGGATGATGGGCCATAGAGGTGGATTTGATTGATATCAAATGATGGGAAAAGATTCCCAAGTTCCCGGGTGCTTTGAATAATATTAAGAGTATTGCCTTGTGCTTTTATGACGATTTACCAATTGTAGATATGCAGAATGTGGAGTGAATTGAATTGCCGTATTCCAAACAAGGCACAATCCTTTGTCAAATCAAGTACGAAACGCGTTGTTCGCGACATGGCAAATCAGCCCCCAGGACGCCTTGATTTGGAATCTACAGTGGCATTGCTCTCGGTCGCGGTGCGGGAATGACGGCAGAAGTTCGAAACCCCGCAGCTGAGCAATGCGGCCGTCGATGGGAGCTGCTACGGGCTAGGAGGTATTAGAAATCAGGGGCGTCTAGGTCTTACTTGGGACTTGGAGAATAGCTTCCCCTCTATTTCATGCTGTATAAAGGGAAATAGATTCCCGTCCGGGCAAACATCTATCCTGTTCAACCCAATCAAGCAATCTCTCCCATCCTATCCATCCACCAGTCATCGAGTGCTCATCTCTTAATCATTCAAACAAAACAACCGCCAAAATTACGTTTCTCAGCAGAATCCTCCCCAAGATGGGCAAATCAGTAGTTTCCAAATCGGGCCTCGCCACGGCCCGCGTCAACGGCACCGTCATTGCCGAAGCAAACTCGTGGATGGAGACGGAAGGCAACATTTACTTCCCGCCCGAGAGCATCAAGAGCGAGTTTTTCACGGGGACGAGCCAGCATACTTTTTGTCCGTGGAAGGGGGATGCGAGCTACTATAGCATTAACGCTGGTGGTGAGTTTTGACAGCTCTAACATTGTGTAGTTTGGGTATTGATGAATGGATAAATTAGGACAGCAATTTGATAATGCGGCGTGGTATTACCCGCAGCCGTTGGAGGGAGCTGCGGATCTGAGAGATCATGTTGCGTTTTGTAAGTGGAATTTAACGTTTGGTGGAGAATGCGGCGTGCTAATGTTGAGGGATAGACAAGAACAAGGTTGAGATTTCTGCAAACTAAAGACGATGATTTTTTTGTATGGAGTATTGAAAGCGATTGCGGAACTAGCAATACGAAGCGTTATTATGTGTAAATTGTTGATATTGAATTCATACCATCTTCACAAACTAACTTTGTCTATGCATTATACAAGTGCTTATAAATATGGGCAGCTTTTTGCCGCATCGTGAAATAATATTTAATAGATGAATCGATAGCTCGCCATATATTAGCCCTCTGTTCCTATACAGAATGTCTTTCCCAATTTATCCTAACCCAATCGTCCAAGCTCCAACGCCATGTATCGTATAAAATAGTTTCTCGCTCTCATGCTTGCCGAATAATCTAATGTTTCGAAAACGCCAACCGAATAATTATAAAGCCAAGGCAAATGTCTATGATGATGCCGCTGCCTGCTTACGCTGCTCTGCCTCCTTGACGTCTTCCATCTCCTTTCTCATAATGTTGTTGAAAAACTCCGCGTTATCGAGGTACAGATGGTGGCCGGCCTTGGGGACAATGACGACCTTGCAGCTGCCGTTTTCGCAGCGCTTCTCTTCCTCTGTGCCGGTTCGCATGACGTTGGCCTTGACTTGCTTGAGCTTCTCCTCGGCTGCAAGACCGCCGGCAACGTCCATCCAGTCGTTTTCTCCGTACATGAAGACAACGGGGATACCAGTCTCCTTGGCGACTGTCTCGCCATCAGGTCCCTTGATCGGCTGTCGGCCAACGTTCTGGATGCGGTTGATGACGGGGCGGCGGGCAAACGCTCCCGGTGCGAGGATATAGGCCAGAGCGTATTCGCCGCTGCCCTTTTGCTTGAAGATGGAGAATGAGTAGTCGTGGAGGGTTTGGGCCTCTTCGGCGGGGAGGTGGTTGAACCGTCTAGAGGTCCAGCCAGAGACGAATCGCGGGCCGAGGGGACCGGCCAGCCGAACGATGCTAAAGGGCGACACATTGGCGTCCCAGAGCCAGACGAGCCAGCTGGGATAAGGGCGCCTTGGTGCGATAGCAGCGTCGTTCTTGGTTGTGGTCTGCTGGTCTACGGTGAACTCGTTCTGCATGGTGGACTCGCTGGGCTCGGGCAGTGCGGAATTGACGGCATAGGGATCTTCCGGGATTCCAACGGGAGACGCGAGGATGAGCTTTTTTAGGTGGCCGGGATACTTGAGGGCGTACGAAACGGCGAGGTAGCCGCCCAGCGAGTGGCCGAGCAGCGTGAAGCGCTCAATCTTCCTCGCCTTGCGCCACTCCTCCAGGGCGTCGATGAAGAAGTTCTCCGCTTCAATCACCTTGCCCTCCTTATCCTTTGAATGGATCTTGAACGGAGGCCTGGACGAGTTGCCCATGCCCAGCATATCGAGGGCATACAGCTTCAATCCGGGGATTCGGGAGATGGGCTCAAAGTTTTTGTAGAAGAAGCCGAGGCCAGCGCCGTAGCCATGAACCATGACGAGTGTCTCTTCGGGATCCTCGCCAACTCGCTCGACGGAAAATTCGTTGAGGGCGCGGTTCTTGCCAGAGAGCTGGACCATGGATCGCCTCCATATTCTGGCGCCAAAGGAGTCGGTCTGATCGGCGGTAGAGAGGCTGCCCATGCTGGTGGTGGCCTCTTTGAGGAAAGGGATGTGCTTGAGCACCTTGCCCTCGGCCATGGAAGGCGTAACGCTTGACCACTAGAATGCCATTTGTTAGAGAAGAACAGCAAAAGTCGAAAAGATGAATTAGAGGCCCAAACATACCCATTGATAGGCAGCCTCTTTGTATCCTAGAGGAAAGTATGCGCCCTTGACCTGCTGTGGCTTCCCCTGGCGCAGTTCCTCGGTCGCCTCAGGGGGCGGTTGAACGCGGATCGCATTCTCGGTGGTGGACATTTTGGACACGGGATAAGCAGGAGACGCTGTAGGTGGCGTGGATGCGGTGTTGAGGGTGAGGTTGAGTCGCGATCGGTGCAGAATCGCAGTGACGGATTGGGTTTTGAGCATGCCTGAGGGAAGAAACTTTGTTCTGGTGAAGGGGGGCAGCTCTTATATCATCAAAGCCTCAAGTCACGGCCCCAGGCACCCGCGTCTGACAAGACGTCGTGGACTTTGTGGCCACGCAACTGGCTTATCTCTCTTGTGTCGCAAAGACGGCCGGATTTGGCGCTGGCGGAGGACGACGGAGTTTAGAACGCCTTAGACTCGGGGTTTGGGCAATCCGGATTCCGAGGCGTGAGAGTAAAAAGTGCGGCGTACGCAATGCAACGAAAATGAAGGAGAAGTGAGATGCAAGAGTCTTGTTTGACGATGGAGTAGAGTACAAGATTGAAATTAAATCAAGCTGAATTGTTGATCCGACAGAAAGATGGTACATGTAGACTGAAAGATTTACACTATTCTATTTTCCTCCTGTCATCCACGGAGCACATGTCCCTATTGCTTTGCTTAGCGCTAGGGGTCCATGATTAGGGGCTGTTTTTTGTTGAGCTCGGCGGGCCTTTAGTGGCGGGTGACCTGCAGCTGGGCCCTGTAAAGGCCACGGCTCTTGTCTCCTGGACCTTGCACGTGTCCATGATTTGGCAGACAAAGACGATTCAGATCAATATTGAACATTTGGTGAATACGTGTGCATGTTTGCAGCTGCGAATCCCGAGTGGAGGAAAATCAACTGTTCACGCAGCCTATCCACCAATCGCCACTTTGAATCTCAGCCACTACGTAATGCATTTGATGGCAAGTGTTGATGCTTTTACCGCTGCTGGCAATAGTCCGGAATGACCGATTCAATCACGTCTGCCCCGGATTCCGAGCTTCTCAACGAGTCTGTTGGTCCCTGCATGCAGTGATTGGCCACGTAATAGACCGCTGCGCTAGGAATAAATAATCAGCTGAAGGATCAATGATCAGGGCAAGTTTTGCCGTGGTAACCAAATCAAGCGACGACAGGATTAGTATTCAAATTATCATCTATAGCACTTGTTGATATTGTGTGGTACAGGCTCACTTGTTCAAAGAAGATACTTTTCGCTGGACGTTTGGGACGCGTAAAGAGCTGAAACTCCGCAAGCGATGAAGAGAACTGATTGGGGAGCAGTCCTGGCATGTGATCCCTGCTGACTCGACTTTGCCTTGTTGGAAGATCCACCGCTAAATCAATCTGCTGGCAGTCGTGGGCGACAATCTCCGCCAAAATACGGATACAATTACTGCCTATTCGAGATACGCTCCCGTTTGAAAGGAGATGCGGCTGCTGCCGGGATTCTCCACTTGCACGAGATCCAATGCCAAACACGGCGAACAAAGGCAATGGACCGATCTACTTGAGTTTTGATGGTTATTTTGTCAAGAGACAAGTCACATGTATGACAATTGTATCGATAACTAATTTGCTCCTTGACTACTTGTACTATACAATTGCTGTTGAACAGACAAACTTTTGGCGAAGAATAACCAAATGCTTTCATATCTGGCGCCTTGCCTCTTCTCTCTTTTTCTTTGACGAAAATCGCACCTATTTGCCTGCAGTTTTCCTCTTCCTTGCAATCTCATAAAACAGACTTCCATCGTACATCTTCCGGATGTCCTCCTTCATCATGCGTCCATCCTCGGGCCAAAGCAGGATGTAAATTGCAAGCCCTGTGCACACATTCGGTCAGCCTACAACGCATCACTTTTTGCTTCGAATAGCTCCGACTTACACTCCAAAACGGCTCCTGCCCATCCAAAAGGGTCGAACAGCACTCTCTGACCCTTGAGCAGATTCCAAACATCTTTTACAGTAATGTAATCCCTGTCATCGGTGTATTTGGAAAACATGTCCTCAAACTTTTGAGGAACGAAGCGTCCCTCGCTGTCATATGTCCCGCTATCGCTTCCATGCTTGTCTTTGTGAATGTTCTTGAGGTAGATGCGGAAAAAGGGATCGGGGAGGTGGCCAGGGACTGTCGGGTAGGAAAAGTTGAAATGGATAACAAAGACGGAAACCAGGCAGAGCAGGATATTGAAGCCCAGTCCGCGGAAGCCTCTGTATGTATCCAAAGGCCAGATGATGCCGTCCTTGTCCTGTACGCGAGTGAGAAGAGGCGCTAGGCACAGAAAGTAGGCTGCTTTTTCTTACCTGGTCGAAATAATCGCAATGTTGCTGCAAAACCTGGACCCAGTGTCAGTATGGGCTCATTGAAGATGATGTGGTGGCCAAACATACCGTCTGGTTTTGGTGCTCCCTCGCCCAATTGCCTTCCTGTGTGCCTTCGGGATGCTCGTATGTCGCAGCTATATTAGCTCTAGGTGTTCCTGTGCACGAACATTGGTTAATTCTTGAACAGCTTCAATTTCATCCTCTTCCCCACGCTGGAGCTCGTACCTGTATGTGAGAGCTTCACGTCATCTTCTGGCTGAAGGAACGGCTTCCGCTGGACAGTGACTGGCACGCTTCCGATATGACTCGTTACCGCATCTGAATTATCCTTTGAATCTGAGTCGATTCCATTCACTAATGCAGCTTTGTAATCCATTGTGGTGTTGCTATGATTCTGTGCCATTATTACCGAAAAGTAGGTGAAGAACGAGATGATGGAAAGATTTTAAATGACACGAGAAGTCAATATTACGGCAATTGAGAGCTAAGCTCAATAAGCTATTTGCAATGCGCATCAAATTGTCGTAAGCTCTGCGATGACGACATTCTGAGTTCATGATTGGGGTTTGAAGCTATCCCTGCGAGAAATTGAAACGAATGGATGCGGAAGTGATCATCTCGACGTCACAGTCCACATTGGGAACTTTATCAGCCCTGCATACCTATACAGCGATTTCTATAGCAAATAAGTAATTAAAAAATACATGTGTAATTGACATGTGACTCAAGGTTAGATATGAATACATACAGAGTCCAAGCACAATATTATGCACTCTTATTGAGCGAGTTTCCACAGTGCCAACACCGGAATGTTCTGGATTAGTTCAAAGTTAAAATGAGCAGAGAAACAATCGTCAATATATCATCACAAGCAATAAAATTAATAATACTTGAAAGGATAAAAGGCATAGAATTCATTTGAATAGGTGTTCAACTAGAAGTTATCAGTCCCTCTATGATATGCACATAAGAATTTCCCATGCGGCTACGGCGCCGAGAACCTCACGCGATACCTCTTCTTGCATCATGACCAGGCTAGCTAAAGAATAGTATCAATTCTTTTTCTTTTCTACAAGGCACTCTTTATCACAAGATAAATATGGACCAGCAAAATTACCAAAGAGGGCAATGGTCGAAGCGGCGATGGCCCCAGTCAAGACTCTCCCTGGCAGATGCCGATGATGCGGCATACGAGACACTTCTTGCTCGGGTACTTCAATGATGTCACTACAGATGTTATAATCAAAAATCAGAGTGAACCAGCTCGACTACCATGTTCATTACATGTACAGCATATAATATGTTTACATAGGAAACATCAACACTTCGACTTACACGCGATGCCCGCGATGGCTTCCAATTGTGAGAATACGCGAGGCAGCCAATCAGAGCTCGACGTTGACGAGGCGACGCTGCTTGGCCCCGCAAATCCAGAGGCACACGCAACTCTTCCAGGCAAGGCTGAGCTCCCGCTTCCGTCCAGCTTCATCCACCCAGTCTTCCCATCCTCAGGCGCGGACATTGCTACGACGCCCCCGCCGCCGCTTCCTCGTGCTTGCTGAGCCTCGAGCCTCTGCCGGCGGCTGCCCGCAACACCATGGCCGACGATCTCGACTCCATCGTCAAGGGCGCTCCCACGGCCACGGCCAACGCCGCCAACACCAGCGATGCCAGCCCCAGCCCCAGCGCAGACGCCAAAGCCGGCACGAGCCCCTTCCCGCCGCTGGGCCTGGGCAAGCCCGGCGACCCGCTGCATCACACGCCCAGCTCGCCGTCCATGATCTACCTGAATCTCCTCATCCTCGAGGCCTCGTTGCGCGCGCAGTTCCTGGAGCTGCGAGCCCGCAAGCGCCACCACACCTTCTTCCTCGCCATCCTGACGCTCTGGGTCGCATTCTTCGCTTATAAGCTGTACTTTGCCCCCCGAGAAGATGGCCGCGGCGTTGGAGGATCGATATACTGGGCGGTCGAGGGCGCCCAAAAGGTGTGCTTCATGGGCGGAATCATCACTGCCGCTCTCGTCTGGGCCACGGGCATCTGGGAGCGCGGCATTCGGTGGCCGCGCCGCTGGTTCGCCATATCCAACCGAGGCCTGCGCGGCTTCAACTGCAAGCTCGTCATCATCCGACAGACGTGGTGGGCCGAGGCTCTGTCGACCATTGGCTTCTTCCTCACCTATGGCCTGTTTTCGCACACGGCCAGTTCGTCGTACCGTCTCGTCGAGCCGCAGCTGCTACGCCAGGTCGAGAAGGAGCTTCAACTCACGAGCGATAACCACCCCACCTTGGTTCTGCCCCCTGACGACGACGAGTTTGGCGGCCATGAAGAAGATTTGGCGCCCGGCGGCGACTACGTGAAGCTATTACTTTTACCCAAGCCGTTTTCGCCCACCTTTCGCGAAAACTGGGAGCTATATCGTACAGAGTACTGGGAGAGGGAGAACGAGCGTCGACGGTTATTACGGCAGAAAGTCAAGCAACACTCCAAGAAGGTTGCAAAGGAGCAGTACGGTTGGCTGTGGTGGCTTCCCTGGCATCAGAATCCACAGCCTCGCGTACGCCGCGAGCCACAGAAGATGGTCCATCACCGTATAGCGAGCGCCGAACGCAAGCGTAGAGGCAGCAGCGTGCGCCGCTCGTCGGTGAGCTCGTCGAGAAGCCCGACTCCTCAAGTCTTTGACAGTGACGGCCAGACGCCGCGCAAACAAAGCCCCATCTCGGAGAAGCGCCGAAAGCCAGCAGGGTCAATATCCAAAGTGAAGAGACCTGGCGGCGACTCTAGGTCTGTAACGCCCGATGTGCCTTCACGCCTCTCTAGGGACAGCAGCGTGACTCTTGATACAGAGACAGATGGCAGCAGTGGGAGGACGCTACGCAGTGCGAGTAAAAGAGCAAGTCCAGTGCCTTTATCGCCTGATTGATTAATGATGGCAAAGATTGCAACGATGGGCATTAGCTGGGAATGGAACATGGCAGTAGACTTTTTTTTTTGATTTTTTTTCTGTATGCGTAATGAGAACATATACTTATTATGAAGCTTTTCAATCCGTGTAATTGCCCAGTGTGCTCTTCTCTTTGTTCTCTTGGATCAGACTTGTCATGCTTGTAATACAACAAGCGGTGAACTCGAGCACTCTGCCCAGGCTTTGATTTGTCCTGAGCATCCAATCATCATCATACAAAAGTCAGACCATCTCTGATACCTCGCTAAAAACCACCTCCATGAAAGTGTCCTACTGTTACCCAATGCAGTAATGAGAAGGCTGGGAGGGGGGTTTTCAGCCAGTCACCTCCCATTGTCAGGATCTTTTTCTGACTGTGACTCACTCCATGCAGGGAGGATAAATAGCGGCTAACTTTTTCAGCTCGTCCTATCAAATGTTCCCATGGCTGCATATATTTAATTTCGTTTGTGCATTAGCCTGTTTGCTGTTTCGGTGAGGCCTGAAAGTTGGGTTATAAATGTGACTTACCGGCACGGTGTCTTGGAATAAAAACATCATTGCGAACTTGCGCTTTTCAAAATCAACTTTTTTTTTTTTTTTTTTTTTTTTTGATTTTTTATCCTTGCAAACATCCACACGATATCGTTATATATATACCCTTATCAACCGCAATTCCATCATGGCAACCCAAATATCCCACCTCCACGCCGTCATCCCCTCCCCCAAGTTCCCCAACCTGTTCCTCCGCACCATCAAGGCCTCCGACGTCGAACGCTTCGTGGCCATTCTCTCCGCGCCGGCGAACAAATTCGATCCTCACAGCCAAAACATGTCGCTGGAGACGGCAGAGGCCGCCATTGCCCGCTCGCTCGAGTCGGCCAGCGAGCCCACCTTTGTCGACGCCCAAGGCAGCGTCACCAGGGGCCCGGACCGCGTCAACATGATGGTGGTCCTCAAGGGTGAAGACGGCAGCGATGAGGAGACGATTATCGGGCTGGGAGGCTTTGGGTCGATCAAGAGCCGCAAGCGGGATGGGCGCAGAATCCGAGTTGGCAATGTGGGCGCCATGTTGGACCCGGAGTATAAGCGCCTGGGTTATGGCCTTGAGGCAATGAAGATGGCTATTGGATGGGGCTATGCGCCGGCTAGCGAAGGGGGACTTCAGCTGGATTTGGTGACAATTACAACGTTGAAGGAGAACGAGTCGATGTTGCAGCTCGTCAATACAAAGTTTGGGTTGGAGGGGCAGGGGGTTATGAGACAGTCCGAGTTTGACGAGGAGAAGACGGAGGTGCACTATAAGCTGAAGAAGGAAGTCTGGGAGGATTTGAAGAGAACCTGGTGAAGGACAGAGAATTGACAGGGCCTTACCAGAGAGCTGGACAAGAAGACGTACATCAACAAGAACGAATGATGGACAGAGAAGTAAAGGAAAAGGAAAAGATAGCCGTCTATAATTGAGGAATAAGGAAACCAAAAGCAACGTCACCATAATCTACCGCTTCATATTCTCCCAGACCAGTATAATCACAGAGTCAATGTTGTCAGGCCCAGGCTCGCCAACAGCCTTGTCAATATAAGCCTGCCACACAGCCCCATCATCACTCATGACCGAGTCTACAAACTTCCACACTCTTCTACTTCCCGTCCACAGCAGCTCTGTTCTATCCACACCTGCATCGTCAATGACAACTTCATGCAATGTCGACGATTGGTTCGCTGCTGTCATGTTATCTGTGATAATCGCCTTTGAGCTGTGCTGTATCGTATCGAAATGCTCGCTGATGGACACTCCGACCGTGAGAGCCCAATTGTCGTGAAAAACATAGCGCTGCATGAAGCAGGCATCACACGCATTCGTCACCAAGTGCGCCACATTCACATCCATTCCATGCCGATCCAGCGCATTATGAAGAACCAGTGGCCGCACGCCAGTCTCATACGCATCAGCTTCCTCATTGATAACTTTGATGTCTGGATTGTAAAAGCCAGGCAAGACGCTCATACTGGCATCGCTATTCCAAGCAAAGCACGTCTTCAAAAGCACATCCCACCGCTTCGCATGGAATCGATCCCTTAGCTCAGGCATATCAAAGCACGAGAGTTTCGACAGCGTATTCAACGCAGCACGAGTGAGGAATACGGCACCGCCACCATACGTCGTCGTAGTAGTATTTCTTCGCGTTGGCTCCCAATCGTCCTGCTCGCTTGGTAGACCAATATAAACCTCTTCATCTGTTTTGTACGAGGCCAGACGATGCTGCAGATATGGAATGTCTGGAAAGAAAACATCGTCTTCAACAAGCGCATACCAGCGCTTAATAGCGCCGCCGCTATTGGAGAGAATTGCTCCAAAAGACTTGAGGAGGTGGGCAAGCTCGTGATATCGGCTCGTCAGAGACATTGGCTCTCCTGTAGCAAAGACCTGAGCATCGACTCCATTTGTTCGAAGAAGATTCTCAGTTTCCTCAACTTCGTCCTTGCCAGCTTGGTCAAGCATAAGAACGAGGCTCGCGCCGTTACTCTTCCTGTGGCTATCTGTAAGCCATCGAGTCCAGCTTCTCAACAGCGCTCCCTCTCGGTCCATAATCTTGTCATATGTCGTCGTTATTCCAAACACCAGTTCCGAGGCGTCGTAAGATTTCGAGCTTAAATCTCCCAAAACCGGTAGTTCCATCCTGTGGGTAACTCTCACATCCAGCGGATTGGGATGCTCAGTGAATACCACTCTTGCATCTTGAGAACCAAAGTTGTTGTGCACGCTATTCACAGCGGTCCACTCCGCAGAATCTTTGGCATGCCGAAATCTCCATGACAGCCACTCCGTCTCGTTTGTCAGCTTGAATTCACGGCTCAAACGTGCAAGATATTGCTCTTCTGGCGATAATCCTTCTCCTAGAGAATCGGCCGCGCTGAGGGGAAGGATATCATAGTCAGGCTCTCGAAACGAGTCCAGACTCCTCCAGACAATAAAGCAAAAGACAAGTGTAGAAAGGAAAGAAAAAATCTGTAGGTTGACGTTGGACATTGCCTTTGCAGGCAAGATTGTTGGACTATATGGAACAAGGTAAGCAGCGGTCTGGCGTCGCTCCTATCAACCGGGAATCTGCAGCGTCAATAGCATATCCAAACAGTACAATAAGCACAAAGACGTAAAGAGAAAATGGAAGAGTGGCCAGCCATGGAGAAGGGGGAGAAAAGAGAAAAGAAAAAGAAGCAAAGAAAAGAAAGACTCGGCACGTCCCGAGGGGGATCGGCCAAACAGCGTGGTACGTGTTAGGGTCTGGCGCTTTAAAAAGCGGATATAATTTGCTTCCACCAAGATGATCGGCACTCAGTCCCCCTGTCCGGGTTGTTATCTGACGCTCGAGTGTAGGCCGGCAACTTTGTGGAACGCGGCAGGAAAGCGACATGCCTAATCAATATATTTATCTGCGGATCTTGGATGCGAAACAAGACGATCAATTAGAGTCTGACAACCATGTCCGTTGGAAAGCAAACGGTCCAAAACGCCCCACTATCTGATGTTATGTTACAGTACAAAACCCTTGCCCAGCGCCATCTGAAGAATAAAAAGGGAAGCTCCTTGTAGTTGATCGTCCTCGTACCTGAGTGGTGCGAGCATGACAGGTTTAGCGTCCCAAGCAGAATATCCCCAGTACATCGTCATCATTATTAATTTGTCCACCTCTGGACCACCCCTGCCCACATGGTCGGTCCCTGAACAGGTTCAAATCTCTCTTCTTGTAACAATAAACAGGGCATAATATCAATAAAATTGTAATGATGTTGCGAGTCGGATAGGTATCTCCAGTACATGTTAGAAGCGTGTCATTCATCTTGGGAAGATGGAGCCTTAGATGACGAACAATCTTGATTAGAGGCAAGTCGGAAGTGGCCCTTTGGTTGAAGTGGACCGCATCGAGCTGATTAGCATTCTAAACACTATTTTCCAACCGTTGAAGTAGGGGTCGAATCTCCACCAGCATACGGCAGAGCAAGCTGCTTTGGCGTGGTCGGATGAGATCCTGGCTGGGGCTGGGCTCTGGGCCTTTGGCTTCCTTGTTGAGTGATTCGAGGCATATAGTTTGCTGGCAAGTTTGCACTCACAGTTGCCTTGGCGTCTTGATACAAGTCGAAGCATTCGGCAAGAATTTGGTCATTCGATTGATCAGCGGGAGCAATGCCAGAGTCGAGGATCTCCTTGATGTGATCTTCCAGTGCTTCAAACTCAGACTTGTCATAGCGGTATCGGTCAGGCAGTCCACTGTTTTGCAAAAAGGCGAGAAGACCAGCGATGACGGTGTTTGCGGCTCCGAGAATCGTGATTGGAGTGCCCTGTTTGAAGGACATGGAGCCGAGAGCCGTCAATGTCGCGCCAATGAAGAGCTGCAGCAACATCAAGATCCATCGGATGCCACTTGACATGTGATACAGATAGAAGAACTTGGTGCGCTGAGTGACAGTGTCTTTGTACAAGCCTCGAGGCATTCCCTTGGGCGGCCATAGCCAGCTGGTTGGATGGATTGGCTGGTGCTGCTCTCGGTCTCGGATGCCGCCTATGCCATGGGCGATGAGGCCCCATTCAGTAGGTGAGAGGAACCTGTGACGATGTATCTGGTGATACTGGTGGCTGTCCAGCGGCCTTTGAGGTCTTGGGCCTGAAAGAACACCAGCATGGCCGCTTGGAGCCGGGGCCGGAGGCTTGGTAGGGTCTGGATGAGCACCGGGATGGCTGTTGACTCCAACAGACAGAGGCGGAAGCGTTGGCGCATCTGTGGCGGGATTACCCTTTGTTGGCTTGGACATGATGGGCGACGGAGTGGTGGGCGATGGATCTATAGAGACGAAGGACGAAGAAACAAGAGAGCGGTCTTGGGGCCTGTATCGCAAATCACTGCGTGAATCCTCGAAACCAACGGTGAGCCTGCCCCAGCCTCTTTGCCTGATGGAGCAAAGAAATGAGAAACAGGATGAAGAGGACAAGTCATGGCTTCAGTCGAGGCAGAGGAGGAGAGGAGGAGAGGAGGAGAGTTTGGCTGTCGGCTAATTCTTCGTCTATCTCAACGAGAGAAGGAGTCAGGACGTTCCGGATGGCCTCTTTGGGAGCGAAAATGCAGGGCTCTTGCCCAGTCCCGGAAATGACATCAAGGGGTACCTGCATATGGAGATGCTTAACCTCTGGATTGGGACGAAAATGGATGAGGCAGGCACTGGCTTTTCTCGCCAAGCTGAGATACTTAAGCGACGCGGTGATAAGAGAAGCAAGACAGACACAGCGCTTTGATGTAGATGGAAGGGGAGACTGCGTTTGTAGAGCTGGTAACTCTGAGAAGATGCATAGCCAGTTTACTATATTGACAGAGTGGGATAATAGACAGCCATTCCTCACGATACTTACCATCGACCAAACAGCCTGATGCTACAGACACCAGTTACCGAGACGATATTCAGGAAAGGAGTGTAAATCAACCTGTGCCAATCTTCTTTATACCACCGCCTGATGTGGACCATCTTTGCGGATACTTGACTTGCAGGTCCCTAGCAGCACCTGTGCAGTGCCGTTGTGTGAAATCCGAATATTTACGCCGAGCTGGCAATTGAGACGGCGACTCCCCCATTCTACCTAGACAAAGTGATTCCTTACAGCAGTTCTAGAGCGCTCGCGATGTTGGTGAAGGCAACACAATCTTGGAACTCCTTTCGTCGAAGCCAGATTATAGTTGGTGCCCTGAAATGCTTTCTTATAATTGAGGAATATACCTGCCAGGCTTGTAAGCGACTAATGGAAATGAAAAAGTGTAAAAATCTTGAACTTTGTTCCAATTGTCATTGTAATTACACGGCTAGCAAGCGCATTAGTTGTGTGTGTTGTGAAGCTGTAATTAAAGGCTGCCTAGGTACGTACATTTATAACAACTTGAACTCGAAGCTCGGTGATGAAGTGGGTGGGGCAATTAACTTCACCGCCCTCGCAATGGCCGGCAGAATCAAAAAATATTGTGGGCTTGCGAGCTCATGGCTTGCAGCTTTTCTCGGCCATTGCAACTTGGAAAGTACATTACGAGACAGGTTTTCTGTTTCTTGAATATTGATATTGCATGTTTCACAGTGCTTCTCCGCTGAGGCATCTGCTGCGACTTTCCGGGCCATTGAAACCCGCGGGCTTCTATTCTTACAGCAACACATCCGCGACTCGCATCGTTAAAAGGCACTTCTCTGCCTCGTTTGCGCCAATGGCAGGCACCGTCGAGGTCGAAACCGTCGAAAAGGATGGGAAACAGTATCGTCTGGTAAAAGAGGGAAAGGCGACCATTTTGGTGCCCCATGGCGCCAAGATTGGAGAGGACCGAGGAGAGGTGCAGCAGGTGTTTTACAATCCCATCCAGCAGTACAACCGAGATCTATCTGTGCTCGCAATCAAGACATACGGCGAAGACATCCTGGCGAAGAGGAAAGAGAAGATTCTGGCAAAGTCAAACAAGCTAGGCAAGAACAAAAAGCGAAAGCGAGACGAGACAGACGAGGCCGATCCTTCAACCGAGACGGAACCGACTACGACTCTGGCTTCAGACCAGGTCACCGAAGCTTCGGAGGAACAAAAGACTCACAAATCAACATTCACAATGCTGGACGCCTTATCGGCATCTGGGCTGCGAGCGCTTCGATACGGCCACGAGCTTCCTTTTGTCACCTCTATAAACGCCAACGATCTCTCCAAGTCTGCGGCCGAGTCTATCAAGCTCAACGTGAGCCACAACGGCCTCGATGATATAATCTCGGTCACCAACGAGGATGCGCTTGCGCACATGTACCGCGCAATCGCAGACGGTCTCTCTAAAAGAGATCGACACGGCAATCCGTCGAAATCTCACAAGTTTGACGTGATCGATCTGGATCCCTACGGCACCGCTGCACCCTTTTTCGATGCTGCGCTGCAGTCTGTAAGAGATGACGGCGGTCTTCTCTGCATCACCTGCACTGACAGTGCTGTGTGGGCTGGACATAGCTATTGCGAAAAGACATTCGCCTTGTATGGCGGCACTCCAATCAAAGGCATGCATTCTCACGAAGCTGGATTACGGCTGATTCTGAATGCCGTCGCTACTTCTGGTGCCCGGTACGGCCTAAGTATCGAGCCTTTGCTATCCCTTTCCATCGACTTTTACACCAAAGTATTCATCAAAGTCACCAAATCACCGCAAGCTGTGAAATTCCTGGGCTCCAAAACCATGATTGTGTACAGCTGCGATCACGGCTGCTCCGCCTTTGAGACGCAATATCTCCTGAGGAGCAAACCGACTCCAAACAAAAAGGGCAGCGGGTCTTTTTATAAGCATGGCATGGCAGCAGGACCACCTACAGATAGACACTGCCAGCATTGCGGAAACAAGATGCATGTCAACGGTCCCATGTATGGAGGCCACATCCACTCGGCCGAGTTTATCGAAAAGCTTCTTGAGCAAATCCCCAATGCATCGCCGGAAGTATACGGAACCCTTCCGAGACTAGAAGGCATGCTACGAACGGCCTTGGAGGAAATCATTCCAGGCCCAGAACCGGATCCCACAGTCGACCCTAAAGACGCCAAACATGCAGAGATTGACATTGCTCCCTTCTTCATCATTCCATCTAAACTGGCGACGGTCGTGTCTTGCGCTGCTCCCAGCGACGACATGTTCCGCGGCGCTCTAATACATCTCGGTTACCAAGTTGGGCGAAGCCACTGTCGACCAGGCAGCGTCAAGACGGATGCACCTTGGTCTACTCTATGGTGGATCATCACCGAATGGATCCGCCAAAAGTCTCCCATCAAAGCATCCAAATTCACCCCGCTGATGCCTGGCTGGAAGATTCTGCATTCTGCCGGACTAGTCGGTCGAGAAGATGGAGCAGCGCCAAAGGAAGCCGACAGCGAAATGGAAGATGTTCAGGCAGCGACAACGGCAGATGCCCAGAGCGAGGAGACGGCGAAGAAGGGAGACGAACAGGCTTCCAGTCCCAGCGAGTTGGAGTTGCGGAAAACGCTCGTGTTCAACGACGATCTCGCCCGGCTGGGCCGCCTGCGGGATTCCCAGAAGCTGGTGCGATACCAGATGAACCCCCGGCCAGACTGGGGCCCGTTGTCCAAGGCCAAGGCGTCATGATGGATGGAAGATGGAGTAGATACCTATGAATGAATGTAGATGTATATATGACTGGACTTTTAGTATATTTACAGTTTGTCCAAAATACAAAATAACAATTGTATTCCAGAGAGAATTAAATCCCATCAAATGCCGTGAAAGCCGCTGCTTACGCCGAATCCTACAGAAACAAAACCATTGTATCACAAAAACACCCCCACCAGTTAATTGCGCAGGATCAACGTGGGATCGCGTGCGCTACAACCACAACTTAAAAGTCCGCAACTAAACATTTACATCAACAAAGCAGCGCGCAAACCGAGGCCTTTTTTTGTTTTCTACATATGCATAAAGTCATTTAGACAGCCTTCATTTACATCTGCATATTTCTTCCCATCTTGTTAAAACCCACTAAACAATTACAACGCAGCTTAGTATCCCGCTCTAAATGACTTCCGCGGGGCTGACAAACGTTACCGACGTCTCGGTCCTAGACGGCGTCATCTCCTGGAAACCCACCACCAACGCCACAAACCAAATCAAATACCAAAACGTGGTTTTTGTTCTTGATCACTCACAGGCTTCTTCTTCCGGCAGTGCAAAGACAGGCTACATAATCGCCGCCCTCGTCGAAGACTCGGAAAAGAGCCCCGAAGAGCGCTTCCAACTGCTGCTTTTGGCTACCGATTCAGTCCCGGATGAGCTTCTTCGGCGGTTTCGCATCGGCGGTTTGCCAGACTATTTGAGGCCTGTAAAGGGAGAGCAAGACGTTGATGTCATCGTGTCTACGAAATCGGGCGTCGGACTGTCTCAGCTCTTCTGGCAAACTGTGCTACAGCCTCTTTGGAACTCGGTTGACGAGCTGTCATCTGAAGTAAACGTCGTCATCACGCAGGACGAGCACAGCGTTCGCAATTTCGCCCAGTCACTTGCTTCTTCAATCTCCAAATCAAAAAGGACAGTCGTGCTCCTCAGCGGCGACGGCGGCATCGTCGATCTCATAAACGGCGGCCCTCACGATGCGCAGCAACAACCTCTCTTGGCTGTTCTCCCTCTGGGCACGGGAAACGCCCTCTTCAGCTCGCTGCATAAGCCCCTCTGGGTCTCTCAAGATGGCAAAATCCAAGACATCTCCTCCATTATTCTCGGCCTGAGAACATTGTTCAAGGGCGTCTCTGCCAATCTGCCTCTCTTCTACGCATCTTTCCCCTCTGGATCACGCATTGTGAAATTCAAACCTGCCGCAAATAAAGAGGAAGAAATCCCAGCAGAGGACAACAGCGCCGCAGCAGCGCTCCATCTCGCAAAGGAAGAGATCCAAGTCTCGCATCTCTACGGCGCCGTGGTGGCCAGCTACGGCTTCCACTCCAGCCTCATCTACGAGAGCGACACGCCTGAATATCGCGTCCACGGGGACAAGCGCTTCGGCATGGTTGCAGAGCAACTTCTCCGTGAATCTCACCCTTATATCGCCCAGGTGGACGTTCGTCACCCGTCTTTGTCAGAGTGGGAGACGATTCCGAGAAACGAGCACACCTACGTGCTCGTCACGCCGCTGTCCAATCTGGAGCGCACATTCACAATCTCGCCTGCAAGTAAGCCCCTGGACGGGAAACTTCGCCTGGTGCATTTCGGTAACATTGGCGGTGAGCGGACGATGGATGCCATGATGAAGGCGTATGATGGGGGCAAACATGTTGGCTTGAAGTGGGATGATGGACACGAGGTGCGGTATGAGGAGGTAGATGAGGTGAGAGTCACGATTCTGGAAGAGGATGAGCGGTGGCACAAGGTGTGTATCGATGGGACGATTGTGGACATTCCAAAGGGGGGGCAGTTGTCTGTGAGAAAGGAGGACAAGAGCGGTTTCCAGATTTTGGTCGATTCGCGAGTATTACCAAGTTCTTCATAATTACTACAACAGGTCTGTTTCAGCTTGACCACCACATCTGTCTTCTAATACATCATTTTGATTTCATCAAAATCTAGTTCAAGGATAGCTAATAGTCAGAAAGAGTCTACATCATGGAGCATCAAGTAGTTTCTTCACCCTCTTCTCCATAACCCGCTCAAAATCCTCCACGCCATTCTTCAGCTCCGTAATTCCCCCTCCTTTAATCCGATAAACGATTCTCCTTCGCATAGTCTCTTCCTCTCCCTCGTCGTCATCCTCATCTTCATCATCGCCTTGGTCTTCAATCTGACCCTCTATAGCTCCGCGCATGAACCATCTGTCGTGGCTCACCAGCACAACAGCGCCCTCCCATTCATTCAGCGCTTCTCGCAGCGCCGTCACAGTCTCGTAGTCGAGATGCGTGGTGACTTCATCAAGGATGAGGCACTGCGGGTGCTTCCAGAATAATCTCGCCAACTGACATCGCACCAGTTGGCCTCCAGATAGCTTGGAAATGGGAACGTCTGATGCCAAACGGCCGGGGAGGCCAAGCGTGCCCAGTAAGCCACGGATCTCTCCTTCGTTTAGCGCACCATCAACTTCTTTGGTCAGAAGAGCAAGGGAAGTTAAGCCCTGCTCGGCACGGCCAATCTTCTTTAATTCCTCAACGGCGTGTTGAGAATAATACCCCAGTCTCAGACGAGGATGCGCAGTGACGGTTCCCGATGACGGTGCTGATTCCTCAACTAGGAGCTTGATGAGAGTGGATTTACCCGCTCCGTTGAGCCCCAGAATGCCAATACGATCGCCCATGCCGACTGTAAGAGTAACATCTTGGAGAATCAATGGCAACCTTGGTGCATAGCGATAAGATGCCTTCTCCAACGAAATAAGCGATCCAGGAAATCTCAGCTCCGGAGGCTCGGGCAGCGAGATGATGACAGGCCGCTGCTCCGGTGGGATATCAATCCCCTCTCGGCTAGTTAAGAAGAAGCCGACGAGGTCTCTGTTCAGCTTAAATCTTGTTCCCTTTGCACTGACTTGCATGCCCCAGCGGTCATCCAGCTTCTTCTGCCGAGACTTTGCCTGGCGAATCTTGTTCTGGTCGTCGTTTGCCTTGCCCGCCTTGAGATTCTGGGCAATGGTCTTCTCGATGTGGGCTTTCTGCTTGTCTTGGGCTTCCTTCATCTTGATGAGCCACTGCCTGCGCTCGGATTGCGATCGTTCGTACGTCTGAATGTCGCCGTGGAAGTAGGTGAGCTGCTTGTCCTTTAAGATGAGAAGATCAGTACAGAGAGATATGAAGTCTCGATCGTGAGAAACGAGGATCAGCGTAGGAGGCTTGTCTTTATCCGCCAGTGATTGCAAGTAGCGCTGCAACCAGACGATTCCAAGCAGGTCCAAAAAGTTGGTCGGCTCGTCAAGAATCAGGATATCGGCCTCTTGTAGCAGCGCCGAGGCCAAGGCTGTTCGCATATGCCAGCCTCCAGAAAGGCTGGACAGAGGCTTTTCCAAGTATGCCTCGGTGAATCCGAGACCAGTCAGGATTTTCCGAGCTTCGACTTCGATTTGGGCCAGCCTTGAAGGCTCGATTTGGATTTGCAGGTCTGCCAGCATATCAGCTGCCTCTTGAGTTTCCGCTTGAAGAGCGTCGGCCGAGATTTCGTCCTCTGGCTGGTCTAGTCTAAATACCGTTAAATGTCAGTCGTCAATAAGACACAATGGAGAATTATAGCAGATCAGTAGATTCAACCTACAGTGCTTGTGAATCGGCAACCACCTTCTCAAAAGCAACAAGAGCTTTCCTCGCTTGCAGTCCTCGAGCACCGCTTCGCATTCTAGCCTCCTTGTCAACGAGAAAGAGACGTTTCTGAAGCTTCTCGTGTTTCAACCCTCTCAAGGCCCGAATCGGGGCATATGGATCCGAAGCATCGACACCGTCCGCGAGAACTAAGCAGAAAGGCGTAAGCACAAGGTTGAAGAAATGATGTTTGTAGGTATACCTTGAATCTCCTGTTCGATGATGCTACGTGCCGTGGCACGCTCAATAACCTCTTTCAAGACAGATCCCTCGCCCTTTTTATCCTTTGTCGTCTTGTCATCTTCATCAGATTCCGTAAGCTTTGTCTGCTGCAGAATTGCGATCCTGGAACCCTCTGGAATTCCTGGGATGAGCTTCTGAGCAATAGCTTTGAGCAGTGCTGCAGCAATGCAAAATCAAACTTCTGGTCAGCCTAGAATCTTGTGCTGAGCATGATAAATGACAATCCTCACTCGATTTCCCGGTTCCATTGCGGCCAACCAAGGCATAGCGCTGGCCCTCTTTCAATCGCAGCTTGGCGTTGGACAAGATCTCAAGGCCATCGGATTTTGATTTGCCTTTAGACTTGCCAGCTGCCTTTTCAGGCTTGTCTACCTTTTCAGCAGAAGTGACGATAATGTTGAGGCCGTCAATGTCGAGCTAGTTCAGTTTGTCAATTCAACGTTGGCCAGTGTAGATGACGCCATATTTGCAAGTCTGACGAACTTCGCGGTAGTTTGTGCTGTCAATGTTGAAGCGAGTCTGCTTGGCCGTGCAGAGGATGGTGGCCACAGACTCTGCTGCCATGGAGGTCATTGTGGCGAGATGGATAATGCAGATTTGGCGGTGTTGGTAACAATGGGTGAAGTTGGATGAATAGAGTATCACGCTTGGATGCGTAATTATTCAGCCGCGGATCTCAAAGAGCAATTGGCATACAAACGCCGAATGTCTCATCTCTTTGAGCAGAAAAGGTTTATCAAGGGGAAAGCAGACTTAAGTATGAACCGGAATAAAAAACGTAGTGACGGAAGAAAGAAGGCCGAAGCACCTACTGCAGACTTCCTAGACAAGAGCCCAGAAGTCGCATTTAGCTTGGTACTCGTACAGCAGCGTCTCCAATAAAAAAAAGATCCATTCGCTCAGGTCGATCCGGCTCGAAAAATGAGGGCCGGACCGTAAAGCTGGAGCTCGATCTACAACCACTAGGAGAAAAGACAAAATCTGGAGATTGCGGCGGTTCGGCCAGTGACTCATCCGGATTTATAGTGCCGCATCTCGAGGCCATTTTGTACAACATGGGATTGCCGCTTCTTTTTGCATCGAGATGGCTTATGAGAATGACTCTTTTGAATGACTCTCGCCGAGACGAGGTTTTACCTAAACGCGCGATATGGCGAAACGATAATCTTGGTTCCAAAGCGACGTCATCGCCATCGCGTTTCACGGTGTAATTGGTAACCGCGTGATATGAGCAGATCCATTCCATCTTACACCATCGAGAATAACAATCAACGCATAATCTCGTACTTGGCTAACCAAAGCACATTATTCTTCCATTTCATTTGTACTATTGTGCACTGCATATTCAAGCACAATACGCGAAAATGTGGAGGTGGCAGTGCAAACGTCTATTCTAACCAAATCTCTCAAATCACAGCTCGTATCTCATTTGCCCCCGGGACGTCGCTTCAACCCCTTTTTCCCCGCGATCTCTTTCTCTTGCCGCATCTGTGCGCGAAGGGCAACATGGAATATACGAGACATGGATGAATGAATGACGACGTGAGCCGATGATATCATCGCCAGAGACGCCACATTGACACATTCCTGTGGCACCGACCCTATGATGACAACAAACGCAGAGATGAATTCAATGAAGCGAGACACATGAGGCAGAATAACGAAATGCTTTACAAAAGAAAGATCAATAGATTCTAGATAAAGAACGACAATGACGATAACAAGGTAAATAAATGGTAGACGAATTGCAGGTATATAATAATGTATGGGTATGATACAACACTTCAAGGAAATCACTCTTACTCTCTGACGCAGTCAAAATTAATTAATTTTTCTCCTCTTCTGTTCTGTCCACCAGACCATCCATATAACCTCCCTGAAAAAACACCAACAAAAAATATCCTGCTGCAAAGCTCCATGTAAAAAGTGAGAATGGAGATTGCAACAACTATCGAAGGGGAATCATTCGCACTTTTTTTCGAAAATAGAAAAAACCACAAGAGAAGATGCAAAGTCAAAAACCAGAGAAAAAAAAAAGACCTCCATATTAAACAAAAAAACACCCCAAAGTTCTTCCTCCCATCTCCCAAGGATATACCGCCCCCCAAAGAAAATGTGCGCTATGTCGTAGACTCGTAAACCCTCGTGGCTGCGCTGAGCAGTGAAACTCTTGTGTTTTTGGCTACCCGACGTTGAATACCACGTCTCTACTCCGTCACAGATTCTTACAGGAGAGCAATGACACCGGCAGCGAGAAGCAGCAGGGCGCTAGCACTGGTGGTGGCAGCACCGCTGATAGTGGAGGGCTGAGAGGGCTGGGGAGCACCCGTGGCGATGGAGGCAACGGGGCCCTGAGGAGTCTTGGACTGGTTGGGCTTGATGGGCACAGCGGTCGTGACGGTGCTGTTAAAGCCGCCGATGGCGCTGGTGAAGCCGGCACTGGTGGCGGGAGCAGCAGTGGTCTCCTCGGCCTCAGTAGTGGTGGGAGCGGCAGTGGTCGTAGGAGCAGCGGTGGTTGTAGGGGCGGCCGTGGTGGTGGCAGCCTCGGTGGTGCTGGTGGTGGTAGGAGCAGCAGTGGTGGTGACAGGAGTCGTGCTGGTGGTTGAAGTGCTGGTCTTGGTGCTGGAGGTGGAAGTGGAAGTGGAAGTGGAAGTCGTTGAGACAGCGGTGGCGGCCTCGAGAGCGCCGGCTACCTTGTAAGCAGCGGCGCAGGCAGCGAGATCCATGCTGTCCGGGCAGCACCAGGTGGTGGCGGCAGAGTCGTGGGTGCAGTAGTAGCCAGAGTCACAGGCGTCTAACGGGGTTGGTTAGCAATCTTTCTCCCAGAGCCACGCAATTCAAGTCATAAACATACTGCCGGAGCCGTCAGTGCAGCAGCTCTGACCAACGGAGGGGTTGTAGCAGTGAGACTTCTCCGTGTTGCTGGCAGAGCACGCGCTGTACGAAGCGCCGCAGGCCTCGGAGCAAGTCTCGCCATCGCCGCACTGGGTCTGCTCAGGCTTGTAGCCGTTGGTGTCGCGGCGACCGAGGCTCATTCCAAGCACGGGCATCATGGCCAGGCGGTAGGGCTTGGGCTCGGCGCTGACATGAGCGGCGGCGGCCAGAATGGCAACAGAAGTGGCGGTTCGGAAGAGCATCTTGACGCGGTGAGAGAATTAAGGATTGGACAGTTTGTCGCTGTAGGAAGGACAGTTGGATTTGTTCGTTTGAATCGGAGAGACGAGGCTCGTGATGTTTGCGAAACGAAGGTTTGAGGTTGCACAGCGGCGTGTAGCGACCCGGAAAAAAGAATGGAACGAGTATTGACGAATACTCTGGGTGTTTCAATGAGCGTGAATAAAACTGCAAGACGGACGAAACGAAGGTGGGAGAGACTGGAAGAAAAAGCTTTTCGAGATGTGGATGGAGTTGTGAGAGGACAGCAGGGGTCGGCCAGCGCAGCAGCCAATGGGCGCCACGCAGCAGCTGGTCGAAGCTCCGAGTTGGTGATTTCCAGGGCAAGGCTTGGGTACCTGGAGCTAGCGGGATAGCGCGCAATGGGCCAGTGGATTAGTGGATGGGTCCCTGGACAGCTCGCCAGAGGCCCCCATGGCCCCCTACCTAGCAGCTACTCCTTTTCCGCAGGCTGCAATTTCCCAGCAGCGCCAAACTTCTTCAGTGCGCGCACACACCGAGACGAAACGAAGCGAAGCGAGACGAGACGCCAGAAGACAAAGAAGCGAGACGACAGAATCAAAGAGGCGAGATGCAGCTAATCGAACGGACCATTCATGCATCTATATATAGGTGGCTGCGATGCTCTGAGCGCCCAGCAGCTTCTGCTCGGGATTCTTTGACGCTTCTCTACGCGCCCGCGAGAAATCAAATCAAACCAAATCACCACGACGAGGCCATCGCCACGAGTAATCTTCGCGGCTCTCGCCCACCCTCAGCTCAAGCAGAAGCCCAAGGGCCCCGGCCCAACCGTCCAGAAACACATTAGCCTCAGACCTCTGGAGCAGCAAACACGAGGCTAAACCGACTAGCTGCAAGGTACCAGGCACAAGCTCATTTCCTCATCTCCACTTGTCGATGGTGGCCCCCGGGCAATATTCCAAAGGCCCGCCACTGCTCTGTAGTGGGACGGTAGCACAGGCGGCGGTGACGAGAGGAAAATGAAGACTGGCTATTCGAAAGAAGAAAAAGCATTGGGCAAGTCCGGCATCTTGTCGCTTCTTGGATGAGTAAGTAGATCATGAACCGCGCTGGGGTAATTAAGCGACGTCGGCCATTTTGCGGAGAATGGTGGGAAGACGAGATACTATCTCACTCTCGCCCATGCGACTGATGCAGGACGGGCTTTGGGTCAATGGCTTTTGCCGCCCAGGACGCGCTTTGATGAGTTGCTCTCCAGCCATAGCCAGCTGTTTATGCAGAGGCCTGGGCACACTCACGCACTCACACACATAATTTGCGCTGGTTGTACAGCAGCACACACCAAAGGATCCTGGTTTCACCAATGCTGGCTCAGAATCCACCAATCAAGCACAGGCAGCGTTGCCCTCACCGCCAGCAAGATGAGCAATTACCGGTGGCTGGGCGACCACTGCCGATCGCGGCTATATGGCACTGCAAAAGAGCTTAAGGCAAAAAAGCCTGCGAGGGAGAGATGGAGGGAGAAGCATGTTGACATGTTGACACCATCTTGCCGGATGCAAGACCAACTCAGATCACACGCATCCGACATTGCCGCATCTCGCTCGCTGCCCATGCAGTCATGCGTCTGTCCTCCCCTCGCGTTCACGTGCTGTCTCACCATGCCCAAAGCCATCCCCCGGTCTTTTCTTCCTCATTAATGAGCAATTACTCAGATTAGCTACAGCACGCGCTTGTACGAGAGCAGAACAAGGGAGAAGCTTAATTCGCGGGAGTTGTGCAGTAGTAGGCAGTACTGCCGTGCCAGACGCATAATGCAGGCGCCCCGGCCAATGAAATTGGAAACGGAAAAGGGGACCTTGATCTTACCATGACATGCGAAACACCAGCTGTAATCTCTTGGCTAGGCATGTACATGTATATTCCCGACGGAACAAGCAGAGTATGGCAATGCTACCTGCTGTACGGAGTAGCAGAAGCGATATCACGGGCGCGCAGCAGTCGCATGAAGCTTCGCTCTTGTGAGTAAGATTGGACTTTATTCTCATTCAAGTAATCCAATTCGTCTTGGAATGGCAAGCTCATGTCTTCGTAGTCGACCAGCCAGAAGCTACGCTGTGAGTCGAATTAATACATAATACGCCCGTAAATATGGTAATGCTTCATACTACCACTGGTTTATAGAATTCTGGATTGTGTCAAATCGGTTCAAGGTCTCGGCTCTTACGGCTGGCCAGAGTAGAAACCTGTAAAACTTAATAAATAGACTTGGTTTCAGCCATCTTGCTACGGGTAGCCCAGCCGCATCTCCGGAGTTGCTCATTAGACTAATCACTACGCCTACCTCTTACGGGCAGTCGTGCAAACTTATACTACAGTAGAAGCTAGAGATGCAGCAGGAAGAGAGAAGAGAGACGTGATGACAGCTATTTATCCGTACCATATTATACATTCCATTAATCCTACAGAATTGCCCTAGATCCTACTGACCCAAGGCTAAAGTACCATTACATCCTCAACGTCTCATCCTGCCAAATCACCACCAGCCATCTTGAAACAATAGCACAAGCCAACAGCTTCATCAACTGAAATCCACGACCATTATCTTTGCCAAAAGAAAAAACAAAACAGACACTTCTCTCAGCTTACCAAACACGCAAACACAGCAATAGACCAGCCACCCCAGAATACAGCAAGGAAACGAGTACTAGTCTTTCCATCAACTTGTTTTCGCCGACCTCGTCACAGCTCTCTTCTTCTTCACCGGGCTCTTGGCTAAGCTTTTCCCTGGGCCTCTCCGTTCTTCAGGCTCCGAGCTTCCCTACTCGCCCTCTTCGCCCCCCAGCTTGGCAATCCACTTGTGCATGTGCGAAAACTTCTCTTCAAAGGTGCGCTGGAGCCTCTCGCCCGCCGCCCACATCGGGTCGCCCTTTTTCCAGTACGTGAAGCAGTTGTCAAAGATTTGGCGCACATCAGCCTGGAAGTCCTCTTCGGTTGCGTACTCTTTCTGATCCATCTTCTGCTTGATCGTGCTGAGGTCCATTGGTCTTGAGACTTTGTCGAGGTAATCCGGCACGCCGTCCTCGACAGGGTCGACTGGTTCCCGAAAAGGCCCAACTAGACGAGTCCAAAATCCTATCAATGAGTTAGTAACGTACTTGGCCAAAGTAGCAGACAGATCGTGTAATTTTACCTGGCCCTGACAGCATTCTATTAAGTAGGTCGGCACAAAAATCGAGCTTCTGCTGTGTTGAAAATGTTTTGCCCTCTAGAACAGCTGCACTTGTGCGTCTCCTCTGCGGTTTCAGAGGAGGAGACGACCCAGATTTGCGATTTTGCTTGCGGCTTGAGCCAGTATCGCTGGATATGCCACTCGACCGCCTGTTCTTCTTCGCACCAAGGGCTTCTTCATCAGTCAGCTCATCAAGATAATGAACATTTTTTCGAATCACCGTCGTAATAGGAGCACTGGACGATTTAATAGAGCTCGGAGGAGCGGCAGCGATGGCAATTGTAGCTGCAGTGGCGGTTGGGGCTGGGGTCGGGGTTGGAGGAGCTGGAGGAGCCATCGTCTCGAATGAACTCATGGTAACTACGAGCTCACTCAAAACTTCTTGGGGCAATGATTTGGCAAACTCTGCTCTTGCATCCGAAGATCTCATATATTCCGCAGCCCAGGACAGTAGCAAGACTCGGATGGAAGAGCCCTCGGGAGTGTCTCGCCAGACTTGGATGAGAAGAGGCGTTGCCGGGATGCGGCCAGTGGTTCGTCGGCATTCCACCATTGCTTCTAGCGTATGCTCGCATAGCCCCTTGATGGCAAGCTTGTGACCCAACTTCCACAGACCAACCAGCGATTCATAGGAATTAGCGTTGATGTTCTCATCCCCAATCTTTCCAGTGTAGAGAAAGCTTTGTATCAGCCCGAATACTTGGGGCGTTGCATCTGGAAGCTTCACAATATGCTCTATCGCAGGCTCTGCGGCGTTTTCTTGGAAATATTTCTGATAAAACTCGGAGCGGTCGCAGAGAAAGTCTTTCTGAATGCCAAACGGCTGCTCATCGGTACCTACAAGGATGATGACGAATATGGGATGTGGTTGACTAGAGTATTATTAGTTTTTTGCGTATGACGCAGGAGGAAAGTAGTCTTCTCTTTTTTTTTCCCAGTAGTACTCACGTCCAAGTGAAGGGTCTTTTAGCTGCAACTTCTTTTGAAACGTCTTTTGAAGCTTCCTTCGACACCTCCGTCACTGTTTCTTTCGGGGCTTCCTTTGGGATTCCGTTTGGTGCATCGTTTGTAGTGCCATTGGCAACTGCCTCTGGGGCTGCCTCTTTCGAGGGTGGATCAGGAGACATTGTAAGATGATAGCCTGATGAAGAAATTAGCACATGCCATGTGAATCAGCCAAGTCAGCAATTGCAAAAATTCAAGACGGCATAGTGAGCTTGAATGAAACAGAGAGGTCGGTGCAATGAGGGAAATGTGCAAACGAAGGCATCGAAATCTCATATAGAACGATGTTGCTCACAGCGCTGATGAAGCCACTACGCGAGAGTCATTCTAGAGTCACACGAAATTGAGAATCAACAAGACGTGAGCCTTTATGAGCGCGTGCTGTAAGCCTTTGAATAAAACACAAGGCAAAAAGGGAAGAGAAGGAAAACGAGAAGAATGATGCGGCTCGCGACCGATTCACTCACTATTCTGCAAACGCCAAAAACTCTAATAGATGGACGTACCTCTTGTCAATTCTGCCTCTTGGACTCGCCACAGCGATAAATGCAATTAAATCAAACCAGACAGTTGTGAAGGCCCTTTGCCATGTCATGAATGCCCGGTTTGAAGGACGCTGCATGAACAATCGTCGGAAATGTCGTTTGTTCGCTGGCAGGAAACGGCGAGTTGAAGAGCCCATGAAGGCGACTTTCCGGAGCTGAGAATCAGGTGTGGCGCGTGTGGCTTGCAGTTCGTGTTTGCGGCTTATGTAAGGAGCCGAGTCCAGACAAAAAGAAAAAAAGGCTGCGTGCCTACCCTGGAATATTGCCGGGTTCGCTGCAGACTAGATTTGCGAATTCGCCAATCAGCTGGGCTTCTAAGCGATGGATGTCAATATTTACAGCGGTAAAGCAAGCATGGGCCTCGGGCTTTGGTATCAGAGAGACTGAAGAGTGGCATGGCTGAAATGCTGGCAGCTGTCAGCTCCTTTTGCATGTTTACTCAGCCTGCGTTTAGTACTTGTAAACACTATTCGCAACTACAAGTAGACGAAAGTTGCATTTTCTAATGCATGTTGGTAGTCGAGAGCTGTTCCCCTCATGGAATGGCAAGGCTGAATCTTTGCAGTGTTTGGACTGGAGAAACTTTCGGACAAATACTTGTAAAATGCAGGATGCAGCCTAGACGATGCGCATCTCCACCAATTGAGTGAGGCCTATAGCATCCCGCAATCCCATGCCTCACGCCCAACAACACCAGGCAGCAGTCTGCCTTGCCCGCATTTACTAGTACTTTCCATTGGCTATTTCATCCATAAAAGGCTTGCCGTTTCAACTGCAACTCAAAACCTCGGTATTGGGGGGAAGCAGTGCGCACACATACAAACCACATTCATTCCATATTCACAACAGGCAAAGAAACATGGCACACTATTCGGAAGTTGAGCGAGGCATCACACATATTCGCATCCAAAGGCAGTGCGGTGCCTGTGGGCAGCTCTTTATGCCTCGTGAAACCCCCATCATTTCGAGTACGTATGCATCGCCTTTCTTTTCACTGCCTTTGATCAGGCACATGTATTCTTTTGCCGAGCGCGAATCAATAAATGATGTTGACGATGAAACACAGTAACCCGGAAAGGCGCATCTCTGGAAATTTCCAATGCCTTCATGTTCTCGGGCTATGGGCATTCGTACGAGAATAGCTACCGGCGCGCAAGTGGCAAAGAGGGAGCCTTCTGCAATAATCCATCTTGTCCCCCATGCCGCAAAACGGACGAGAGCATCACCGTCCACGCCGACTGTTTCCATCTATTCACGCAGCGATGCGTTGTCAAAAACGCCGACAGCGAGGCGGCACGGAAAAAGGAGGTCTTCAGACGCCTTTGGCTGGTGGGCAGGAAACGATATGCCTGGCGCAGCATGGTGCCGCACAGGTTCATGAGCAGCGCCACGCTGGAGAGGTGCCCGCCGGAGGTGATCAGCGAGATATGCGGCTTCGGCCGAGTTTTCCTGCCCGAGGTGGCGCTGCTGATCCAGAGCCATTCGCGGGAGCATATCCTCTGGCGATTCTGCTCGATTCTCCAGCTGCTGCGAGACCTGGAACTGGCAGAGACGCTCGAGACTGCCACGTACCCGCTGCCCAAAGTGCTGTCGTGGTCCCGCGGCGAAGCTCCCAAGCTTGTACAGGATCAATCTCTTGCTGGGCCCTGGATTACGCTTACGATTGATGCCCGCGGCATCAAGAGCATCCAAAGGATCTCGGAACTCTCGAGAATCACAGGCAGCGAGTTGCCTCCGCCTTCTTTCGTGTATGCGATAGAGCCAATAGAAAGCCTACAGCACGCCAAGATGGACATTGAGGCATGAAAACCACTGTCCACTCCACCTTGACCATTCCGTTAAAAACTAACCAATATATTTTCAGCTCGGAATGGGTCATCTCGACAATGAACCCCGTCTTGGCGGCATCCGCCTACGGAGCACGCTGGCTATTCCTCACAAGCTCCCATTTAAGGAACCAGGAGAACTCAGTCCTCTCAACACTGTCAGTCTGGATCCGAGCAGCTGCACGGGAATCTCCTTCTTCCTGCGCGCCCACTACATGGTTGACATCCATGTGCATTGCCATCCCACGCGGCATCTCCCTACGCATGTCGAGAAATTCAAGTACATGGAAGCCATGTTCCCTGACGGCAGGGACGACGGCGTCGAATGGATCTACATGCCGCTGACGGCACGGGATGCAATCACGGCACTCAGGTCCAGAAAGCGTGGAGATTTCCGATCACCCTACTACACGGTAAGCAAGCACAAAACGAGTGATGTGATTTATTTTCGGGGGCTAGAGAAAAAAAGAAGAAGGAAAGAAGAAGAAGGAGGGAAAAGAAGAAGAAGAATAAAAAAACAACGAAATGACTAACAATTTTTTTTTCTTGCTTTTTTCCAGTTCTACACACAGGCTGGAGAAACGATTGTGGTTGGCACCCCCTTCGAAGAGGAACCCATACCTAGGGACCAGAGACCAGAAGAGGTATACGCGCTGGGAAAAGACAATGGTGCGCGACCTTTCAGCTTCGTCTACGAGATGCGATCCATGTTCATGTTGAGCATGATCCGGCCCGACACCGAGCTCGCGACTGACGCTGACGCTCAAGGCCGGTATGCCGCCACAGTCATAGATGATGAGCCGACGAGGGCGTCTCTTGGCGCAACCGACCACACTGCCTCGCGTCCTTGGAAGGCCTACTACTCCTCGGCGTCTTTGGAGGGCATCCTCGACGTGCACGTCTTCACCGTGGGCTGGAAAAAGCTCTGCAAGGGCATTCTGATTGAGTACGAAAACGGGTCCAAGAGAGCCCTGGGGCAGTGCCGCCTGGGGGTGGATGACGTCCAAAGCTGGCATAGGCCTCTCAGCATGCATTGCGTGCCAGTGGATTATGAGCGGAATGTCAATGATCTTATCAACGAGACTCGTAAGTCCAGAAGCGCCCAGGTTACGTTTGACTGCGAGAGCAGCCATGTCACGGAGGATGGCTCGCTGGAAGAGAATCATCACGAGTTGAAGGGCCGTCTGAATTTCTGGTTCACGCTTAATGAAGTTTTTCTACAGTTTGTAGATTAGCTTGCCATTACTTCTGCCAGTGCTTCTGTTGCCTCTACTGCTTTTATAAGATGAATGTTCAAGATACTTCTTTCATAGTGGTAAAACTTTGCTCCCAACGTTGTGTAAATTTTTATTTCTCGGTCCTATCTGTCATTTTGGTTTCCCCAAGGCACAAACCTACTCTCTCAAGTGTGTTGGACGTCCATCTACAGTTTTGAGCTACACGATATAGCCTAGAAGCTATTCGTTTCAGTCCTAGATTTACCCATAAGCTCAGCCTCAGAGAATACACCCGTCTCGGCAGCGGATAAGACGACAACTGGCTTGTAGGATTGCCTAGGAAGAGTACATCTCAGTGTCGTCCCCTGCCGTTCTTATAAGAGAGCCAATAGCAAGCAACCCCGAACCTTGTGCTGTTGGTTGCTCAATATCCGGCCTTACCTGATATGCCTATTTCCCTAGCTGGACAAAACTGTAGTTGGCCGTAAAAGTCTAGGAAAAAACCCAAGTAGTGCGGCTAAAGGAAAGCAGGGCTCCCATGAAATTTTTGGAATTTAGCCTGTTACTCGAAGAGCCTCGTTCAGGTTGATACACGTACACGTATATGCGTTATGCTTCACAAAGAGTAGAGCTTCGAGGCCTGAATCTGAAGCCCTTACCGGCTTAAAATATGAACCTTGATCCATGAACCAAAAGATATTGCAGCACCCATTGCCTTCACATGCTTACCAATGAGCAGGGCCGTTTGCCTACACTAACGCAAGCAATATGGCAATGCAACCGACCCCAGGCTCTCTCCCCATGTTGATCTCATTTGAACAAAAGCTACTTACATATGCTACTGCCGCCAAGGAGTATTCTCTAGCTAGTACCTGTCGTACTGTACTGTAGTATGCATTATCCAACGCAGCGCATGGAGCTTTTGCTAGTTTGCTGTTGTTAGAGCCGATCGTGGACCAGTCGCGATCTATACCCTGCCATCTGTGCGTTTTCCCTCACCCCCGGACCTTGGTGCAACCACACGGAAGCAGCAGGTGCGCATCCGATGCAGGGCTCCCGTTAGAGACTGCATGAGGTAGTAAATGGAGGGGGTGGAGGATAGAGGGGGGAGTTGCGATTGTGTCATTCCAAGACGATACTATGCCCTGTCTGTATATACAGGACAGTTGACGTAAAAGATCTTTTGCTCTGGCAGATCAAGTCTGAAATCCAACTAGCAGTAGCCCGTGTGTATCTGCGCCTAGGCTCGGCGCTCGCATGCCCTCGGCATGTGTCAAGTTTCTGGATGGCGCATGACACTATCGAGAGGTTTTCCTTGTCCTCGGCCCATCGAGGCCTATTGTGCAGATGACCCTGTCAACGACGACGACGACTATCTGAGGGGTTGGCAATGCAAAGCGATAAAGGAATGCAGATGGGTAGCATTTCCTGCGCTCCTCGTGAATCGCCCGATCCAGACAGCGTTTGTGATGCCACTTTGTATGTGACGGCCCTTTTCGGCTTGCAGCGACAATCGCCCACGTTTCCCACCTCCACCTCCAGAGTCGGCTCCAATCGGGGCGTGCCGACAATGGCGGCTTTTCTTTTTCACGACCCGACCCCCATGTCTTTTTCTCATCTTGGTTGGCTGGCACGCTTCTTGACGGATATTGACAGCAGCCGAATTGGTGGTAGGAAAGGGCTCAGAGACACAAGTACCCGGCATAGCCGCGGAACTCGGTGGAAGAACAAGGCAAAAGAAGAAGAGTCATTTGGTGCTCTGTTGAAGAACCGGGCAAAGCATCTGATTCGTTGGAGCCTGACAAGCTCACATCACATTGGCATATACTTGTACATACACAGTAGCAGCAGCAGACAAGCTCGCTAAGCACAAATCCAACCTTGACGGTTGCATTCTCTGCGGTTGCAGTCCCCAGCAATACGCTTCATATCCCACGCTGTAATATCAGCAGCCTCTTTTTCTCTTGCTCCCCGTCCTCGGTAACAGGCAATGCCCATTATCTCCGCAGCGCGCTTGTTGCGTGCTAGCCGTCGATCCGGGCATGGGGGGAGGAACCACGTTGGCAGTTGTGTGGACGGGATGGCGCCGCATTCTTTCTTCTTTTTGGACGGGGCCATGGGAGAACTCGGCGCAATTCCAAGCTGCCTACGAGCTGCTATCAGTTGCTATCAGTCGGCGGCATCTCACTCAGCACTTGGCAACCTTGATAACGGCCAAGCTAAGTGTATGCCGGTTCCGAAATTTCCCTCAATGGCGGCTCAATACAACGGCAAAGCTTCCCTGTGCTGTGTGTACTGTGCTTGTAGTGTCCATGGTGCCCAAATGTGTCATGCTCGTCTCAACACGTCCTGGGGCTCTCATCGTACCACAACCCGGGTCGCGATAAGACTGCTGGAGCCTCTGCAACGAGATGGACTGCGTAATCGTATTGGCGGCATTGCTACTGTGCACCCCGTATCGTGTTATTGCCCAGCAACTCTGTCCCCAGATAGTGCGTGCACGGTGGTGCGGCCGTCCTTGGCTGAGCGCTTTTCCGCTGCTCTCGAACCACGACCCCATACGGAGTAAACAGACCCCAGAAGCAGAGCGAGCGAGACTCCACCACGCCTGAATGTCTCAGACTGGCTTTGGGGCCAAAAAGGCCAAGGCTTCAATGTTTGTCTAGAACAATCCGGCCTTGATTGCAAGCTTGTTGGCGACGGCTTTTGGCGGCTGCGCAGAAAGAAGCCAAGCTTTGCAAGCTGAACAGAGTCAAAACCCTTTCTTGTGCTCTTTTTCGTGACCTGGATGCCTTCTGCACCGTCTCAATTGGGAATGAATTGCCTCATTCTGTATGCGTGCATCTCTCCCGCCACGCAATCCTGGCGATGACGATGACATGGCCGCCCTGGGACTAAATCCGCGTCCACATTTGTGCATAACAAGGGGCACAAGGGGAAGAAATAAGGCTGCCTGCTGTCTGTTCCACTCGCCCGCTGTAAAGGCAATCAGTCAGTCACAGAAAAAAAAAAAACTCAGCACGTTATAGCTCTTGGTGGGAGCAAGGAGAAAGAAAGAAGCGGCTAAGAGGCGTGTCTCTACGAAAACGTGGAGTCAAGATCGGGGATTTTGCGCCATGTATCTTTTCCCCACAGGTACAATCCAGCACCAAAATGTTCCAAGTGGATCGTTCAAAATTTCTCAGCGAAGCCGGCGAACAAAAAAAAAAAAAAAAAGAGACGAGCGAGCGAGAAAGAATGAGCCAAAGATAACGGTGGAGACTAGGCTAAACGCTGATGCAATTAGGAGAATTTTTTCCAGAAACATGTGGGCAAATGCATGGACCAGCAACATTTTGCTGAAGGCGGCCTCATGCGCTGAGAGCAAGCTGTGATGGGACAGTTTTGATCCCATGGAGGCTAGCAATAATTTGTTTTACGCACCATTGAGGATCTGATAAGGCGTAATAAGCGCAAAGACTAGACATTGAGGACCCTGATTGTTCTTGAAGACGACAAAGAAGAGAAGAGATTTTTTTTTTTTTTTTTTTTTTTTTTGCTTTTCGGCTATACAGCTTGATCATGTCCTTGGCAGCAGCCAGGAACAGAAAGCAAAAACCGCCAGCCTCATCGTGTGGCTTGGCGTTGAAGTTGGCCCCAAACGGGCCAAGAGGTGGCAAACCGTCAACGAAAAGGAACGGAACAGGCTGCCAAAATTGCGAATTCCGACGTGGCGCCGAAGAAAATGGCCCATCAAGGTGCCGGGCCGGGACACACTTCAGCGTTTATTGCGTGCGCACGCCCTGTAAGTACGAGGCACCTCCGAGCCGACTTTACAAGACATGTCAGCCGAGCCGGGCGGCCGAAGTCGTGCCATGCCAGAAAGCATCATCAGCCTTGTTGAGTCGCGCTGGCTGGTTGCAGCGGTGTGACTTTGTTTTGCTCTGCATAGATGAGATGAGTCTTGTTGGGGAACGAATACGTGAATACATCGTAGAAGCATCACGCACCAAGCATTCAATCGACTCACTACTCCGTATTCTTCCTTTCCTCTTCGCCGCCGCCACTATGCCAACCCATCATTACCTACCTATACACAAGTTCACGCTCGAGACATGTTATACAGGTAGGTACGCCGTTAAACGAAATTGTGAATCCGCTCAACGCGCGTATCGTAGTTTAACCTCGACCAAGCCCTTTAGCCACCTCCCCTTCCCCAGACACGGACATTGGACGGGGCTGAAATAAATGGGCCAACAAAAACATATTTTTGAAAGAAAAAAAAAATTCATACGATTCAATCATTCAACATAATGCCATATAGCGGGCTGGGGGAAGATGGATCCACGGGCTGGGGGAGAGGAGCGCTCAGCTTATCACATGTCGGCAAGAAACCTCGCTCAAGTTCTAGACACTGCTCAGGCTCAGGGTTTAAGAAAAAAAAAAAAAAAAGCAAAAAGGCAATTTTTCCGCCTGGGCCCCGGACCAAGCTGAACTCCATGTTCACTCCATGTTCATGACGTCGTGATAGGTCGACATTGCTGCTACGGTCATCAGGCGATGCGAACATACAGATCATTCCGCAACCCGAAAATATCCCGCTTTGTTTATTCTTTGATTCATGGTTCAGCCAGGGTCGCAGAGATGCCTTGCGCACGGAAGGGTCTCTCCGATCAAATGGGCTTCAACCGTTCGTTGGAGAATATACAGGCTTCCTATTGCTATCACGCCTCGGAATCTTGTGCAGAGGCAAAGTATGTAAAAACTACTGGACATGCCGAGGCTGGATCTTGCAGCGCAGAGCTGGAACGCAACAACATCTAGACTAGCCTATCAACTAGAAGAAAGATGGAAAGAAAAGAGAAACATTAGCTCTCACTTTACAGAGAGCTATATCATATAGAGCAGTGCTCCGTGAGCATGCAAATTCACCATCTATTCATGAAATGGAATCTAACCCCAAATTAGCATCCCGGCCGGGACGACGCCGCCACCTCGTCATGCTATTGCTCGCTAGGGCTCTGTTTTTCGATATGAGAGCAAAAGCCGCCCGCTTTGGTGGGGAGATGCGGCTCCATCTTCGCTCCATCTCGGATACACCTACGGCGCAGAATGGCTCTTCGGCCGTTTGCCGGCGCTTAAGCCACCCCCAGTTTTTTTTTCTCTCTCTCAGCCCAGCTCTCCAGGTCAAGGACGGAGTAGTCAGCTAGTCATTCAAAATCAGTCAGTCTCGTTGTTACTTCGGTCGCCATCCCCGGTCTCTTCGTCCTCATAATAGTAGTCTTGGAGCCCTTCCTCCGTCTCCGCCTCATCCTCGGTTAGGCCAGCGTTTTCGCCCAAGATAAGATCCTCGCTGCCTTGCCATTGAGACGGCGGCGGTGGCAATGCATCTTCATCCTCGTCTGCCCAGCCATAGTCTTCGTCGTCGTCGCTGTCCGGCACCTCCAGATCCGTCTGCCCCAGTTTCCGCTTTGGTCGCGGTGCCATAACCGCCACCTCCATATCCAAACTGTTGGCCTCGTAGTGGACACTTGATATGCCGGCCTGATGTCCAAGTTGAGATTAGTATTTCGCAAATGCCGACGCTTGGGGAGGATCAATGTAACCCACAGATTCAACTTTAAATGCAGATACATGCTCGACGGCGTCTTGGGCCACCCTGCCATCAATCTTTTGCAGGCCAGCTAGAAAGACGCTCGAGGACTTGCTGGCGGTCCACGCCCAGTCCCGGAATAGAACTAGCCTTGTAGACACGCCCTGCTCCCAGACCGAGGTGTTGATCGACGGGATTAGCGTAGCCATCTGCTCGCTTCGCATCTTGGTCGCACATTGGGATAAAAGCACCACGGCGCAGTTCTTAGTTGCGGCGAGCTTTTGCAACGTGGTGATTGTAAACTGTAGGCCTTGCAGGCGTTTTGAAGCTTGAGTGGGACCTAAGGAGGCCAGGCGTGAGAAGGTGAGAAAATCTCGAGGTGGCTGTCTAAGAACACGCACCTTTTGCAGGCTTTTTGTTCCCCTTTGCGTCCAAAGACCTCGGCAGGGAGGAATTTATCAAGGCCGATAAAGAGCTAATGACGATGAGCGAAACATCTGAAGCAATAGCGGCGGTTGTTGGTCGAGATATAAACGCAAGCAGATGAGGCAGCGTCATGCAAGAGTAGTGAACCAGCTTGGCCGGGTCCACGTCTTGAATACTCTCTATATCCGCCAATATTCGGGATTCTTTGACGCTCTTTAGCACATTTGCCATTCTCTGTGTTTGTAGTTTCTGGAAGCAGTCTGGTTATCACGCCCCTTGTTAGTTCTGGAGACAGTATCAATAGTTGTGGTTTCATTTTATATTCGTCAAACCGACCTACCCAGACCACACCGTTACCATCACTCAGGGCATTGGCGGCCAGTTGAATCCTAAAAGTTCCGTCAATCTCTAAAGCTTCATCATATTGCACTGAGATCTCTTACCCTAACGCAGTCTTGCCGCAGCCAGGAGGACCCCATACCTCAGTTACCTGGCCACGCTTGACGCCGCCATGCACAGCAGCATTTTGAGAATCCTCCGAGTCCAGTCCCAGCAGCGCACAGTCAAGAGCTGCCAAGCCTGTCGAGATGTGAGCAGCCGGATCAGCTTTCAAATCTTCCAGAGCCTGTGACGCCGGCACGGTTGGGAGACGATCTATCTCGACCTCGTTAGCTACCACGCACAAATACGACAGCCAGGCCAGCGCAAGAAACAAGACTCACGCGTGGAGCTTGGAATGTCAAAACTGGCTGTATCATGGCCATGGATGGCATGATAATCCATCATCCATCGCCGGCTTGCCCTGGATCTCTGGCCAAGCTACCCGATTCAGCTGCGCAGACAGTGACGGGCGTGAAGCGCTTCATTTCGCAGACGCGCACGGTTGAAGAACGAAAGCACGTGATTTCAATTTCCAGGTGTCCCAAAGCGGCAACCAGCTCCACCGCAGTCCATCTCTTTTCACTTCCTTACTACGACCGAATAGCTCTTAATTCTCTTATTGTCAGTATTATAGCATTTGATTTCCTTTATTGTCAAAAGATTGTGTAAATTTGTTTGCTCGTTTGTTTGTTTGCATCACCAAAGCCCGCAACGCCCAGCTCACCTCTGCGGAGAATTGCGCTCTCGTATCGGCGAATCTCAAGCTTACCTTACCAGGGGCCTGTTTGAAGCTTGTCGCCTGTGCGGCGTCTTCCAGACCCCAATAGCTTGGTCCCTTAGTCATGGCTTTTCTGCGCAAAGCGGGTACGAAAGAGAAAAAAGAGCACGGACAGCTATTTAGCAGCTGAAGCTGAAGGGGGTGCTGGTATTGCAAGAGGATACAGCCGAGCATTGCTCCGGCTTTTTGTGTGCTTTTTTTGGCGCTTGGTTTTATGGACAACGTTGCATGCATGAGTTTGTAAGTTGAACGATTTGCCACTTGGATAGTCTTTGCCTTTAACTTGGCATTGACAGCTACTACTGCTGTATGATAGTGTCCAGTAGTTGTTTTACATGCCAATACTCATCAATAGCTCTCAAAACGGCGACTCAGTACTCGCCAAAACAACCCGATACCCATCCGCATCCTCAAACGTCCTCCCACACCGGTCCCAATACGGATTAAAGCTCGTCACGGCGCCAAACCCAGCCCTCTCCATGCGCGCCACCGCCTCCGCATGCTCCGTCTCGTCGGGCAGGTAAAAGACGAGCAGATTGTCCTGCGTGGGCGCACGGCCGGCGGCGTGCCCGGCCTTGGCCGTGAACTCGAGGTGGTACCCCGCGTCCTTGTGGCCGAGCATGATGCCGTCGAAGCCCTCGTGCTGGTCGAAGCGGAAGAGCAGCTCGAAGCCGAGGCCGTCGACGTAGAAGGGGAGGAGGGCGTCGATGTTGTCGGAGGGGCGGGCTACCCGGAGGATGGCTGACTGGATGGGCATTTTTGTAATATGGTAGGTTGGTAAGTTGTGTAGTTTTGCTGCTTCAGACTTTGCCGAGATGCAGATTGATGGATGTGGTGTTGTTGACAGAGCGCTGGCTTGTATATCTCAGAGCATCAAGAAACAAAGTCGAAAATATCGCACAACTTTCCGCTCAATGAGCAATCCTTAACCTAACCCATTGCTTACATGTTTCGGCTCTATTCGTAACTACGAAGCCATAGAAGAACTTGTTAAACCCAGACTCTGCAACTTGTCGATTCGCATTCTCGAGTTACGATACGAGCCGAGGATGGACTCCGCAAACAACAACTAAAGGGCGCTGCTTGACGTCACTCTATGCTGCAATATGCATTCAGTACTAGGTATAGACGCAGTCGGTAGAAAGAGCTTTTAGCTAATAAATCAGTAATCGAAAGTTTCAATAGAAAAAACGTCAACTCATCTAGTCCCATAACCCAAACAGCAACAGCAAACATTGAAACTTACAGAACCCTTCAATTCTGGGCGTTAGCCACATCTCGGCGTTACTGCGTTCGAGCAAAGCCAAGCCACAGATGGTCGAATTAAGGTGCGAGATTTGCGCCTCAGATTGCTTTGTTAGAGCGAGCCTATGCCACCAGTCTAGAAACTTCCAGACGCCTTAGATCTGGGGAAAAAAACGCCATTCTCGGTTGAGATTTTTGTATGGGGTAAAGTTGCAGCCTAAGCAAGATCTGCAAGCCTTCTCTCGCCATCGAGACAAGTAAAACTGCTGCTCTAGGCTCGCTAGCTGAAAACGTAGAAACATGTAGGCAGGCAGACGTTTGAATACCCCGTCGCTGTCGCAAACTACTCCCGCCAAGCAAAGTCCGCCTCGCCGCCCAAAGCGGCCTTTTCTTTCGAGAGCTTTCCAGGGACGCCCGGCGTACTCCGGACAGGCACGTATCAAAAAGACCATCTGTACATAAAACTTGTGCCGCAGGCACATTACGCAAGCACACACTTCCAAGATTTTTCTGTTCCTTTCTTTTTCTTTTTGCTCGGTCCCTCATACGGCCATGCTCCGGCGTGGGTCTCTTTCTTCTTCTTCTACAACGCCACAAAGGGGGTGTGCTCAATGACTCCCAAGACAAGGCTACTACTTTTTATTCGCGCGGCGTCGCCGAGATTCTCCTAATGGACACACACGCACACGCACACAAACACAAACACGATACTAAAAGGTATTAGTAGTACAGTAGTAGTAGTAGTAGCAGTAGTTATTGTGACCTCATAAACCCAGTTGGGGGGGATTGGGATGCAAAACTAAACTCGGGCTGTATAAGGGGCGGTGCGGCACAAACAAGCCGCAGAGAGAATGGAAGCCCAGTTTCACCCTTCGTACGACGTTCCCAAGGCTCTAGGATCATGATAGGCCATGGTTTGCTCTTGGGTGTAAATGCAGCCTTTGTTAGCCTGGCGAATCGCTGGCCTGCAGTTCGCGCGCGTTACATTGAAACCTCTCCTGTCACGCATCATACGTGGTGCCAGTCGCTGTGTGACAACAAACAGGTTCGCAGCCGAGCCAATTAGTATGCGCCTTTGCATTGAACAGAGTCGAACCATGGCCAGATACTCGCAGCGACGAAACGTCAACTTTTGGTCCCTTTCTTGTTGGGCGACGATTCAACTCCTCTACCACAGCCACGCCCCCCCCAATCATGACTCCGAATCGCATCCCCATCTTTTCCTGTCTCCCCGTGGGGTGGGAAAAGTATAAGCCCCTCTTTTGCTTCATTAATCGAAATGGCTGTTTGTTCCTGCGTCCGGCGGACAGGGGAAAAAGGGCATAAAAAACATTGCAAACATGAGAAAGATAGGGGATAAAGAAAACCTGACAATGTTTCAGCCTAAAGGCAGTTCTCGATGCTGGGTAGCGGTCATCGACAGAAAACGACTCGTCATGCTCAAGAAGGTTTCCGGAAGAACTAGAGCTTACGGGCATTCCCCCAGGCTAATATTTTGCCTTGTTCCCCGTAGTATTGCCTTTTCTTCCTGGCTATCCACGGGGAGAGGCCGAATGAGTGCCTCAACATTGCGGCAGGCTATGCCTATCCAATACGCAAGTACACATGAAGTGACAAAGGTGCCCGCACTTTTGCATTTTGACAACGACGGAAATCGGGGCGAGGCGAATATTCTCCAGGTTTTAGCGCACACACCCCCATGGAGGCGTAACACGTTGCATCGTAAGAAACCGAAAAGGCTTGGGGGACAAGATGAAAAAGTCCCAGCCTAGGCTTGAGGACTGATGATGCCACTTTAGGACCCCATTGGCGCTTTTACTTTCTCACTTAAATTTTCCTCTTGGCTGGCGCTGACCGTCAGCTATAGCGAGTCGTGGTGGTCGTAGGTAATAGCTCGCAAAAGCGCTATTAGCCGTCCTCTCCCGTACACCCCTTTGGGCGTGAGACTTGCCAATCTATTAGCCGGCGGGATCGTCTCTTATCAGCGCAAGTGTCGCAATCGTCGAGGCCAAGCAGCCAATGGCCGAGGCCAATTGTCGGCTATCGCACAGGGCGAGGAACAAGCCCTTTGCTGCGTTGCAGGTGAAGGAAACTACTGTAGGTGAAAGGCCCGTATCCAGCATACCGAGCCCCGCCTTCTGGGGAAATCGGAAATTGGAAAATTGGCCGGACATTTTGAGAGCAGAGAGATAAGCACGTGGGCGATATTGAGGTCTGATATGGGCCTTTCGGTCAATAGCCTGCTCTCGTCCGCGCTGAGACGGAAAAGAGGATTTTTGAGGCTATTGAATGGAGCCCGCAAAGCCAAGATTGTGTCCTTGCATGTGCGATTCCATGTTGCATGTGAAAACAGGGCTTCTTGATGGCTGTGTTTGAAGATGAGATGCCCATTCAGTGCTGAAGCCGGCTCCCGAGGAGCCCCGGGTGCAGCCCTCCAGCAGCCTGATCCCGGCAATGCCACCATCGTATCATTGTTGCTAAAGCAAGGCTTGGGCAATAGATCTCCAGGCTGAAGTCGAATCTGGCATGTTCTTCTGCCAATAGATGCTGCTTACGTGCCCTGAATACTGCAATGTACTTTGACATGTGCTTTGACTCTGGAGTTGGGTCCTGCTCCTCCGTAATTCAGCCGAGGAGGCCGACTTTGCCGGGGCGTTGGATAACAAGCCTCTGGCCGCATCCGGAAGGTTTTCCCTTCGGGGAGATCCATTGTGAACCGGTATCTCGGTTGAAACGAGGAGGAATATGGACATTGGTCTTTGGTCCTTGCATGTCATGCTCCAATCTGACACCAGTTCTCATGCTCCCAGCCTTATGCACCCAGCATGGCGCTCTCTCTCCTTCTGAAAAAAGAATGGCAAGCTGCTGCTGGTCATGCTGAGTTGTGAGCCGTGTTCCTCCTGGACTGGAATGTACGCAGCAACTGACCGTTTGCGCCGAGCATTGATCCGGGGGAACAGGCACGTCGAGATGTCTGATACGGAGTACAGACGCAGCCCGTAGATGGACCGAATACCTATTCAACGCGGGCCATGCGCATCAATCATGCCTCGTGCTCAGATATTCCTTATCTTTCTTTCGCATGTCCCCCTGTGCGGGCTTTAGGCGGGCACTGACTTGCGCTGGTGGAAGCTGCCGGGGTTGTCGTCAGGATACTAACACCTGAGCGAAAATGGCGCTACTATGGCCTCATCAGTTATGCCACCGTTGGTACATGATGGTAATCCTACAAGTACTTGATATACCTATTCCACTAGTAGTACAGTAGTAGGTGTAATAAAGGATGGGGGCGTTGTGATAGATCGCTGAGCAGACACGAAGGATTGGCCATCACATTGTCCAGCGAAGGATGCCGCAAGTCTCGTCGTTATTCCAGAGCTCCAACTCCTTTTCGTCTTGCCATGCACAGCCCCGTATTGGCGGAAGATTTTGATCTCATTTTCTCTTCGGGCCATGAAACCAATGCCTCAAGCTCTGTAACCTCTGTTTCATGCGCTGCGTCCAAGCTCAGGTCGTATTGTCAGTGCTGCCGCACTGTTCCCTTGTCCGGGGTGTCGGCCGGGCTTCCCCGTTCCGAGAAAAGTTACGTGGCGGTTTGGTTCGGTGACAAGGGAGCAGCATTTCAGGAGATCTAGATCAATGGGCACCCCGGAATTTCCTGAAGCAGCCTAGGCGCGCAAGGGTTGGGGGGCGACATGCAATATCGAGCGCACCGGAAGAGCTGATAGTGGTGATACTGTCCCCAGCCGGCATACAGCTGAAAGGCTCAATAGAGGCAGCACAGGTACTGTACATGAATACACCGAGAGCAATCTCTGCAAAGGCCCGTTCTCGGTCGGAGACCAAAGCTGAGAATGCGCGCTAATGGAAATGGCGAATTCGCCTTTACGGATGCCTAGACCGTCGATGGGGGCCCTCGAAGACCACTGCGGATCTCTTTTGCTTGATGCTGAAGCCGCATCGCACGCCTTGCTGATAAGGATAATACCAGTAAGACACTTGGATGGGGACGGTGGATAGGCTAGGCTAGCAATCTCTTTCTTATTCTGCTCTGCGCCGCACCAATTGCAGGGAAAAGACGCAGCGCATCTGGCCAGAGATAGCAACCCCCCACATTCTATCGTAGGGAGGGGACCAGGGGTGTTTCTGGGGACCCCGGCCGGGGGAAGAATGGAGGCAGCGCAATTTGACAGGGCCCTCGCTCTCCAAGACTTTGCGGCGAGAATAAGGAAGGTCAAGAGTCATGTCGAACAGATAGTCGGGAGCCGTATCTAGACCACCGGAGCATGGACGGGAGTACTTTTGATCTTGGGAAGGGCACGCTAGGAATGGCCAACGCCACTCGGCGCCGTGGCGGACTGGGAATACTAGCATCGAGGAGCAAGGAAAAGTCTGGGGAATGTGTGTGTTGCACACGAGGGCTGGATTTTGCATATCCGCACCCCATCCATGTCTCACGGACCGTCGAGATGGCCCAAGAGGCATCACGATAGAGCCGCTGCAATCAACAGGCTCGGTTGTGAACTAACGCTGGGGACGGAGTGGTGGTGATTACCTGTCTTGTTCACTCCGCAGAGCACCACGAGGAGGCGGAGAAGCAAGCTTTCTGCCGGGCCAGAGCAGATTGATCATCGCAGGCCTGGCACTCGCTCGGCTCATGGCGTTTCATTCTGATGCCGTCTCTGTTCAACCAGCTGCAACCAGACGTCTCTCTCTATCCTTGCCTCAGTCAAAGACAACCGCAACCAGTACGGTACTGCAGCATGTAGCATCATGACACCGTTTCCAAACGCTTCCATTCGTAGCCGTGTCTCGGCTATTTAGCTGGCACCTATTCGACCAACTCGCCCTTTCTCTACAGCCCGTCGTCTCGCCCTTGTTGCGTGGCCTGGTTTCCGTTTGTCATGTTGGAGGGCTACCGTCACGTCGGCCAGTGATCTTCAGAGCCAATCTTGCCTCACCTGAGGTTCGAGCATGAATGGCGTTAGGACCAGTGCAAAATGCTGCTGTAATGCTACCTGCCCGACAGCGCACCAGGCTGTATTGCGTATGGCTGGCTAAGCGCCCGAGCAGCGAGCCGCAATCACCCATCATGTCACTCATCATGTCACTCACCATGCCTTGTCCATGCGACCAGATGATTTGACAGATCCCCCCCCAGGAAGCGTGACCACATACTCCATGGGGTTTTGGGGCCATTCTCACGATAACCTAACGGCAACGAGGATGGCTCCCCTGATATGGAGCGGCACAGATGATACCGAGTGGTGCTTGGTGGGCAATGATAGTGGTAGCCTGACCCAACAGGCGAGCTGCCACGGCTATTGCGTTTGTCTGTTGGTGGGCGTGACTCTGCCAGACCCCCACCTGCGGTCCATCGAGGCTCACTACCAGTTGGAAATGGAGTTTGTGGTATGAGGGAGCTGGGCCGCTGTCACTTCGGCCCCCAAAAAGGTGGGATGTAGCGTCCTGATGACCCTCGACTGGGGACTGCGAGCAGAAGACGGGCGCCGTCCAAGTATAGCAGACGAGGCCACAGTTGACTGGGCAGTGCTGGAGATGAAAAGCAGAGCCGGGACAGCGTCATCCGGGTGCGTGAGCGCAAGTTTCCATCATTGAACCCCAACCCGTGATGAGCAGTTGTCAACCCCAAGATGATGGCAAGACCAGTGAAATCCCACCCCGGCATGGCATCATCATGGAACGGCCTCGAGGAATGTGCCGCGCGGAGTAATTTCAGCGTCTCCCAAGCTATCAGCAATGCTGTGCGTGTGAGCTGCATTCTCGACGCTGGTGCTAGGCGGCGTTGGCAGGGCTTCTGGGGCCTCTGGGGCCTCTGGGGCTTCTGGGACCGTCGTGGTGGTGGCTAGCGTTCGGCCCCACGACGCACGGGAAAATGAGTCGTGCCCAGGCAGAGCCGAAGTCGAATCTATAGAGTAATGGCTTCGCGCGGGCGATCACTGAATGCGCCAGAAGAAATTTTGGCAGCTTCTTTTCGGGGCCCTGAGCGCGCCAAAGGGGCGACGGCAAGCCACGCTTTGAGATGGCGCACTGCGTATATTACTTTGATTAATTAGGCTACCCGCCGGAAGTAAAAAAAAAAATCAAAAACACTCAAATATGATACCGAGTAGATACTAGTAGGCTTACTGGTGCTCATTTACATTGGATACTTACCTAGGCGTTATGACTGTTTTCGAGATGTTACTGCAGTCGCTGGCCGCAAGCAGTGTCATGCTATGCTGTGTAAAATCGCTCTCGGTGCCATTGATTTCACTTCGATGACTACGAACCCTCGTACTCGTAACTCTTGGGCGTCTCCAGCCTCTGAAGCCACGCTGATGGTTTTTCCGGGGAATGGCGGCCAATCAGTCGAGCATGACAGACGCTGCGCCTCACTTCCCCCGATATCGTCGCCTGGGGGCGTGCAGAGTGAGCTGTGCTGGGTTTTTACAGTACAAGAAACGCATTGAGTGCATGGAAACGTAATTCATAGTGCCCATACTGTGAGTAGCACCAGAACCAGAGTTTGGTATAGACAGACGGCTCGGTGGAGCGAGCAGTCAACAAAGAATGAGCCCTGAGCAAAAAGAAGAAAGAAAAAAACTACTGCAACTGCTACCTTCACCGTTCCTCCACCGCCAAGCCCACAACTTCCCAACTGGCAACTTGCTCGCAATCGTGTGCCGAGGGGTGGCTGCAGCGGCCCTCGACGCTAGCATCGCATCTGGCAAGGCAGCTTGGGCAAGTACCAGCGCGGCGGAGGTACTTTGCGCCCCAGCGCCAGCAACAGCGAGCATCTCCCGTGGGCCGAAAAGAGTCTGGCTGGCTGGCCTGGGGCCAAGCCGCCGGTGGTGCTACAGGTACGGGGTACGAGTCGCACATCGCCCATCTCGCCATTGCCGGTGGTACACGCTACTTGGGACGTGCTCAGCGCGCTATCTCCACGCCGCACCCCTCGCCCCGTGCGACACTGCGACACCCCCCTCCCTCTCGCCTTCCCTCCCCCTGCCGCTCGCTCCTGCCCATTCGCCCCAGCTGGGGCTCCCACTGAGCGAAGACAAGGGCTGGGGCTCGAATGCTGGGGCCGGAGGTACAACCATCTGGGAGCCTCCAAGTACCCCGTGCCCCTTTCAGGCCCTGGCTACGTGTCCCCCTCCTCGTCCCTCCAGCACCCCATCGCGCCATCCAGCCCGCTGGACGCTGCCATGCAGCACTGTCGCCCACCCCCAAGGACGCCGCCTAAGCCCTGCGTGACGCCCCTGATTTCCCGCCGCGTATAGCGACCACCAGCATGTGCAATGCGCTGATGCAGCCGGTTACAAGCCCGCAAGTACCTCTCCGTGCTCCCTTGTCCTGTACCAAGTACCGACCCGGCCGAGCCCGCCCTTATTAAAGCGATTCCCTCCCCCCAGTCCCCTCCTTCTCCCGAGAAAAAAAAAAAGTAAAAAAGTTCTTCTTCCCTTGACGACTCAAGAAAAGTCAAAACCCAGACTGTCGCCACTTGCAAACCGTTCGCGAATCTTGCACCTTGCTATCATCCTCCCCGACGACCAAGAAGCACCTAGACACATGAGAGAAAGACTAGACAGCACCAGCAGCAGTCGCAATCAGATATCCTTGCGTATATAACAAAAGCAGCCCGTCCATCTCGCCCCGCCAAGGACAGTCGCACATCCTGCGTTCGCATCATCGCAACCGCATCATCACCCAACCCTCACACTCGCTTGTCCAGACAGCTTCGTTGACCGCCGCTCAATCACATGCAACGAGCTCGGTCTGCCGTGGATTTCTCCAATCTCCTTAATCCATCGTCGGCAGCACCCAGCCAGGACCAAGGCAGCGGAGCAATGTCTACCGCTGCGGTGACCGTCATCAAGCCCAATGGGCCCATTCCAGGAGCGCAGGCCTCCGAGTCTGCCAACGAGCTCCCTCGTCCCTACAAGTGCCCTCTCTGCGACAAGGCCTTCCACCGTCTGGAGCACCAGACTCGACACATCCGCACCCACACCGGCGAGAAGCCGCATGCCTGCCAGTTCCCGGGCTGCAGCAAGAAGTTCTCCCGCTCCGACGAGCTGACCAGGCACTCAAGGATACACAGCAACCCCAACTCGAGGCGAGGCAACAAGGGCCAGCAGCAGCACCAGCAACACCTCCACCAGGGCATGCCTCACCCTCTGCACGTCGACGGCATGATGGCTCCCCCCCCTGCGCCCAAGGCCATCCGCTCAGCGCCCGCCTCGGCCCTGGTCTCGCCCAACGTCTCGCCTCCTCACTCGTACTCTTCCTTCGCCGTGCCTGCGGTTTCCATGCCTCACTATGGCCGTGGCACCGACATCTCCATGCTCGCAAACGCCGCCCATCAGATTGAGCGCGAGACTCTTTCTGGCGGCCCCTCCAACCACAACTCAAGGCACCACCCTTACTTCAGCCCTGGTATGCAGGGCCCTCGGGGCCACGGCCCTTCGCTCTCGTCGTACCACATGGCCAGATCTCACTTCAACGATGATGACGATCACTACCACGGAAGCATGAGGCACGCCAAGAGGTCGAGACCCAACTCGCCCAACTCTACCGCTCCCTCTTCCCCCACCTTTTCGCACGACTCTCTGTCGCCCACTCCGGACCACACTCCCATCGCAACTCCCGCTCACTCACCTCGACTCCGCCCCTTTTCCGGATATGAGCTGCCCAGCTTGAGAAACTTGTCTCTGGGCCACAACACCACTCCGGCGTTGGCCCCCATGGAGCCCACTCTTGATTCTCATCAGTTCCCTCCTCAGGCGCAGGGACTGACCTCTCGCGGCTCTGGCATTTCACTAACCGACATCATCAGTCGTCCCGATGGAAGCCAGAGGAAACTGCCTGTTCCCCAGGTCCCCAAGGTTGCGGTGCAGGACCTCCTCTCCGACGGGATTTTCACCAACAGCGGCAGGAGTTCAACCACAGGCAGCCTTGCCGGCGGTGATCTCATGGATCGGATGTAGAAGAGAGCGATGAAAAATACCCCACGACGGTGCCTCGAATGATTTGATGACTATGGGCTATAGAAGGATAGAAAGAGTTGGCGTTTCTGGTATGGAATTGGAAATGGAAACAGTCATCCCTCACAGGACTTGACGCGTGGCTTTATTTTACTTTTCTCTTTTTATTTCCTTTGTTCGACATTGTGTTCGATTTGGGTTTGTTTTTTTAAAGCAGGACTGGATGGGATCCTACACGCATAGGATGGCCAAAGGACATTATAGACATCACCACTTTCCCAGGCGGATAAAAATTTTATTCCGTTTCTCGGCTTTTGTTTTTTACTTGTTTCACAGTTTGGGGGAGTTTCAATACAGTGGATGCTTATTATGCAATACTACTAATAATTGGATTTGACGCTGCATACTGTAAGCAGCAGCACAGGGGCAGACTTGAAAAGCAAAAAAAAAAAAACAGGAAAATATATTTATTGTTATAAAATCACGCGCTCTCCATTTGATGCTTGTTGTGCTATGTAGTAGGCCTGTGTTTGACTTTTGGTTTGCCTGCAAGATTGCATCCCTTGGCCCATCTACCGCCAAGGAGCAACCCGAGCCCGGCATTTGGACTTGTTTTTGACGGTCGTCGGCAGCGGCATTGACCCAAGACGCTTGCGTGTTACAAAATATGGGGATTATCATGCAAAATATGGGGGAGGCGGCGGAGGCGGCGGCAGCAGCAGGATATTATCAGGGGGTTTGGTGGTTGATGGAGGGGAGGGAAAAAAAGCCACGGGCAAGGCGGTGCATCCGTGGGACCCGCGGCCTATTACAGCACAGAGGGCTTAGAGGGCACAGAGGGATTGGAGATGGATGACTTCATCGCCGCACCACAAGTTTGTCTACTTGCACTGATGCTACGGTGTGCTAATTGTGATGGATGAGTCAAAGAAGCAGTGCTTGTATGGTGGATGACAATAGAGACAGTAACTGTAAATTACTTGACGGTATTTTAATGTATACATTGGGTCGATACGCAAGTTCCAAAGTTGCCTCCTTCCGGTGTTTCCCGTCTTATCTCCTGACTGTCCACTGGCTATCGTACGAACCAAAAACAGTAGGCCTGGAGTCCTCAAACAATACAAGAGTGTTTTGCGGGGAAAAGAAAGAGAGTTTGGTTGTTTGTTTTAGATTGTGTCTATCTAGTATCTGTTTTAGTATAAGTGGCTTTTATTCCCGGAGAAACCTTGATTTTGAAGGATTCATCTGGCAGTTGCCCGTTTATTTTGACAAAAGACAGAAACGGAGAGAGATGCTACAGTTGGATGGCTGTTTTGAGGGAGTCCAGCTTTGGGACCCTATCAGCCTATCTCTGGGTGTTTGTTCCTAGCGCAGATTACGCTGATCCGATGGGTGCCTCAGCGCTAAGAAGGTTTATCTCTGGGGGATGTGGAGGGGGGGAGATTAAAAAAAAGCATGGAACCTTGGCAAGTCGAAACAGCAGACCAAAGCAAAAAAAAAAAAACGCTGTTACAAGTTACAAATGATTTATTGAAAGGGGTGGGTTGGTTTTTTTCCGAAAGGGGGTGTGTGTTTGTTGTGGGATGGTTGATGGGATGGTGAGGGCGAGGATGCTTGTAGGGCCAGGCAGCATTTGTTTGGCTCGCTTAGATGGAATGGGATGGAATGGAAGGGGGGAGTGTGGAGAGAAGGCAGATACCAAGTTAGATACGGGGGAAAAAACAAGGGAGATTTTGTATGTACTTGTATAGAATGAATGATACGAGCTTGATTACATAGGGACTGGATACTACTAGTAGCCATGTGCCTTGTTTCTTATGAGGGTTGCGCTGCTGCGACGCCTCTGGCCGGGGGGCTGTGGAGGCCACATGCCTTTTGCCTTGTGCTGCTGAAAACATCTTGTTCTTTTTTTGGTGGTTTCATTGGGCCTATTGGCAGCTGATTGTGCGTAGGCAGCAGTTTGCTTGAAAAAAAAAAATGGTACGATGAGGAAATGATTTCTGTTTGATGTGGCGGGTGATTGCATGTTGTACAGACAGGTATGAGACACCGGGGCCTTTTCCGTTTGGTGTGTTGAGTTGCCGTGCGTGCCCTGCCTGAAATATGAAAATTTACTGCATGTATCTAATGAGGAGGGCATACAGTGTATACTGCAGGTCGAGGCTTTTGATTGGATTCCCCAAAGTCTGGGGACCTTCTTTGTATGATTTGGACCCCATATGCGTGCGTCCGTCGGTGTCTGTGTGTTCCTGTGCAACACCGTACTCGCCTACGGGAGCGGCTCTTGTGCCAGCTTGTATGTTTTAACATGCATATTTTTTTTTTCATTCTAGTGAATGTGCTGACGATGGTAACTTTTCAAAGTACATGTTGGTGGTGCTGCATGTTAGGCACCACAAAGATATCTGTGAGGAGCATATAGACGAGTCTTCAGCTTGGCTCTCACGGCATGTGGGTGACGACGCCCGGCTTCTTATTCTTCTCTATCAGGGTCACTAGCTACATGTACCTATCTACCTACCTGCTGCTAGTAGCCTGTTCATGCGGTTAACTGCAAAAGTATGTAAGAAGAAGAGCCAGTAACTCGTCTGCAAGAGGACTGGATGCATGTTAATGGATACCCTCCCTACTGCTGCTGCTGCTGCTGCTTGGAAACCTGGTCGGTAAGGCTGTGTTGGCCTTTTCGGATTGTGTGATGCCGCTCATCCATTGGGCAACGGCAGGGCACCGGAAGCACACTTGCGGTCTAGATGTTGAGATGGGGGAAGGGATCGAGATCACGTCAGCGACTCTTTGGCCGTTGCGGCGCATGGGGAGAGACAAACTTGCCGGCCTTTTGCTGCTGCTGCTGGCGGGTGATCTGATCAAACGGATGTTTTTTGGTCTGCGTGTTGCGTATACTGGGCATGCTACACGAGTACTCGTAATGACATGCTGATACTAAATATTGACTACCTACTGCTCCATATGTCTGCTGGTGGCAGTATCATGAGGTCGGGTAATACGGGGCGACGATGGTATCCGAATCCGAGGCCAGACAAGGGAAAAGGGCCAAGGATCATAAATAGTAAACAAATAGATGGCAAACATGGCCACGGTAGTGTCTCCTTACTTACAAAGCCATTGTTTGCATGCACATGTATGTAGGTAATAGGAGCATGCGATGCAACTGCTCTGCGTAAAGACAAGCGGTGGGGTTGGACTCCTGGTGGCTTGCATGACTTTTTAGCCATGGCTACAGACTCTGCTGCAGTCAAGACATTCTTTGCTTTTTTTTTTTTTTTCATCTTCCCTTTTCTTCTCCTGATGCACACTATTTTTCTTTCTTTCCTTTTTTTTAAACCCTTTATTTCAATCTTTTCCTCACCGCTTCAACAAGCCTGGCGAATTAGGAGACTTGACGAGACACACCACATTCTGCTAGTCTGAAGTTGTGTAACACAATACAGCAAACGGGGGGGGGGGGGGGGGGACGGCCTCTTCCTTGTGCTTGTTTTACCCGAAATCGTTGCACTAAACCACGTCGAAAGGTGGTGTGCTGTAAAAACTAGAGAGACGAGTACGCAAAGGGCTTGGTTGCCTGTCAAAAGTTTTGAGGACCAAGGAATTTAGAAGGGTGTTGGCAGACGGCATTGTACAAAGGTCAGGAATGGCGGAGGGTGTACTTTGTGCGTCACGAACTTTGATGGTGGGGGTTTTTCTTTCCATGTTAGTCGTCCTGCCAGTTTGAAGCATAGATCGTCCTTTTTTTGTCTCACGTGTTGGTGAAGAATTTTCCTTTCTTCGTGTTTCTTTCAGGCAACTTGGCTCTACTTTCCCCTACGGCTACAGTGCTTTCAATTTCTGACATGTCCTCCACGTGAGAATTGCTTGGTGGGCTGTGACTGTGGCACATGGTGTGGGAAAAGCAACGCCAGTGAGAGGCTGTAGCATAACGCCCGCTCCGAGCTCGCTGGTCTGCGGCCGTCTCATTGGATGCTCTTCTTGTCTCTCCTGATGATTCATCATTCACAGTATTAATGCATTTGTGCCTCGTTTCATACTGCAAACGACTTGACTTGTCTCATCCGTCAATCCATCAGATTTAGCCATCCGCCGCAAATGTGGGGGTGGGGTTTGATTGTCCTCTGTGGGCTTTGCATCGGGTTAGCAGCCAGGCGTCAGCAGACTGGCTGTCGCGATGTAAGCCTTCGATCGCGAAAGAAGCCGCCGGTTGTCGTTCGACAGAATTATGAGATGCATCGCCCTCATCTCCAAGAGGAATAGAGCGAGAGACAGACGCCGCACAACGGAGATTCTGGGTGGCGAATCACTCCACGGCCAGCACCAACCAACCGTCTTGATACCACCTACTATCAAACCAATATCACGTCTGTTTTAGGTGCATATCCGTGCATGAATGGATGGGCAATCTCTGATTAGAGATGGCCCAGGGCTGGGGGAAAGGCGGGGAAATACAGCAGCCTTTCCATTCTGCCTATCTTGTATCTTGCCGATAAAGCAGCCCATGGACGCCTTGATATCTCCCGGCCCTTGTGCCCTTGTGTCCTTCTATACAACCAGCATCATATCATCCTTATCTTGCATTCCCGGCAGCGATGCTTGCGGGGGATTTTACCCAGATTGCAAAGTAGCAAGCCGTGCTCAATCAAGCCGCGGCTTCTGCCCGCTCCGCTGCCCCGATCAAGACATGCTCGGCAAAAAATCCCAACGCGGATGGCGAAGCGATTTTCAAACTATGGGTGCTGGGTAAAGGCAGAATTTACCGAGATTGATACTCGCCTCGTACGCTGTAGATTTGCAAAAGAAACCCCCACGGCTCAAAACAAGAATAAGAATGCAAAATCACATGGCGTGAATGTACCGCTGGAGATGCTCTTTTACACTGGGGGATCGTCAGGCAGTGGGGTCAGAGCACACACAAAATATTGATGCTATTCGGTGATGACTCTCCGAACGTAGCGGGAAAAAGCCTGGAATTCCAGACTGGCCACTGCGCTGGGCCCTTTGATATCGGGCCAAGTGCTGCTGCGACTCCATAGCCAGCGACTAGCAGGCATAATCGTCAGCTGAATGCCTCGTATGGAGCGCAGAAATGAGACTGTTTCGTTGGCCGCAGTTTTAATCACGACGACAGGAAAATGCGCTTGCGGCGCCAAATTCGGGCCAAACAAGATAAAAAAAAAAAAACTAGGACAAGATAAAAAAGAAGCCCAAGTCCAGGTCTTCCCTTTTGCGGATTGGCGATGATACAAATTACCCAGTGCACGCACCGCTCCTGTCTGATACGAGCATGATGGAGGCATTTGTCTGAGTCTCTGGAGTACCTTGTGGCATGTACTGACTAGCAGCCTTGGATAATGAGGCTATCGCTGTCTCTCTCCAGGTTTGTCGCACCCCACTTGGACCGGGTCGCTCCATGCCACTGCCATTGCAGGTACCGCTTCTAGATTCACCTCTGCACAGGCACTAGCATTACGCATAACTATAACTGTCAAGCGAAAATCGCCTGTGGCGAGCTGCATCAAGATGGTCGCATTTTATTTCTGCCACCGCCCGGCTGGCCTGCTACGTTGCAATACTGGGCCGCTGAGCAGGGAACAGGAATAAAAATTTTAAGACAAAAGAAAAAAGCCCTGGAGCGCAGTTTGCTGCATGGGGAAGACGTCGTTCAAGGAAGGTCAGGTATCCAAGGCGCACCTAAAAAAAGGAACATGCCGCGCAGCAGCCAATCAATCGCCGCCGTGGCAGGGCGTCCACCCATCAACGCAAACGCCCCTGTGGCTTGCCGGTACGTACCGCCCATCTCGACAGGTACCGCGCAGCCCCTGCAAAACAGCGCCCTGGCCGGACAAGAGCCGAAGTACCCTTTGGGGGCCAGATGTGTACCTGCGGGCTGCGATGCGATACGCAAGCATTGCAGCCACGTTCCTCAGCCTCGCAACGACGAAACTCGCTCCAGCTCGGCGAAACGGACGCAGCAGAAAATCAACCTCAAACAAGCACCGGCATCCCTGCCCAGCCGTGCCAACACAGCACAGCTGCCCGTCCGTGCGAGCTGCAGCGCCAGATGTACCTGTAACTCGCATTGCATACCGCCGCTCGTGCCAGAGCTGGTATCTGCGACCTGGAATCGTGCCTGGACTGACTCGGCGGCCGCAGAAGGGCCTGGCCTTGTTCAATGCGATGCCATGCCATGCAAGGCACGCACCGCTGCCACCCACATTTCCATCGGAATGGGGGGCCCGCAGAGAGACACCGCAACTTGCTGCAATCTGATTCTTCACATCTGGAACGCCAAAGCAGCCCAAGGCCCATCGTACGAGATCCGCTGCCGCTGCGCAGAGTCGAAACCCCCGCGGGCCAACAGCCAGGCAGGCCCAACAAAATATCGAGAGCCGCAAGCGAGCCTCCGTGCCCTCTGCACAGGATCAGATCATTGCCAGTATCATACAACACCTGCAGCACACAGTTGATCCGAATGCTACCCCGTCGACGCGGCCGTCTGGTTTGCCGGCCATCCGCCAATGTGTGTATCGGCACACAGCCAGCACGATCGGATGATGGCGATCCACATGCTATATGATCATCTCACGCCTCATGCACAATATATTAAATCCGTCCCGGAGGCCACTATACTACAGTATACTCTGGGCGCTATACGCCCATGGATAATGCCAAGCGCCATGCAGACTGTATGTACTCCGTACGTCTGCGTGTATGCGCAAATACATTTCAAGCCAAAAGACGGAGTAGTGGGTTGCCTCAGTCGTCTCCCCGTTGCTCCACCACCAGTCTCTGATCCGCCTGCTTTCTGTCTTCGGTCAATCAGTGGACTGCGCTGAAATCGCCAGATGGTGCCTACTCCGTACGCACGCAGGGGGAGGAGAATAACCCCCCCTAGCGATTTCAATGCGCCGAAATCTATCCTATCGTGGGGGGGGCTCAGAGAGGAGCAGGCCCAGCTGCAACAAACCCACAGCCAGCAGGGTTTGTAGCTACTGAGTCGATGCAGTTACTCCATTACTCCTTATTCACTCCTCACCGGTATGAGCTGAACATGAGCAGTACGAGTAATTCTGGCTTCCCCTTCTTCTGCATCTCCTCGGGGCAGACTGGGGGTTGCATCAATTACTCCGCTCCGACGAGCACTGGAACTTACCGCAGGAAGAAACTTGGAAAAGCCTTTTTCCCCACAGTCTGTGGCGTCTCTCCCCCAGCTGCTGCTCTGCTGCTGCTGCTCAGGGATGTCATATGCGACAGTACCGAGTGCATACAGACCGGCATCTGGGCCTTTTGACGCATGCCAGCAAAGAGCCATTGTGCTATAGCACGGGGGCAGATAACATTGTACAATTGCCGCATAGCTCATTTGTGTGCCATCTCATATGAATGAGCGTCAGCTAGCTCAAATGACCTCTAGCTCACAAAGCTAACGATATCACATCACCACCTTTCGGATAATGTACCGAGCCAGAGATGGAAGGGAAAAAGCCGTCTTCAGGCATGTGAAAGTGCTACGAGCTAGTAGCTCTATGGGAGTATCTCCGAGATCTTTAATATGCTCGGCATAGTGCCGACATACGACCAAGGCTCCCTTCCATTCAGCCGGCTGTTTTGATGATGCCTGATACCTGGTTTAAGCTCGGCTCTTTTCGCGCAGGAGAATTAAACAAGAGATATTCCGTGAAGCTGAAGATGAAGGAAACTCCATCGGACCGAGAGCGGCATTCAAATTCGGCTGGTTAACCGACCAAATGCCTTGTTGCCAACCCCAACGGCCCGGCAATTAAGCTTCCGAGCCCCAACGACCCCAGATAAGTTATTGCGATGTGTCTGGTTCCATTGCGTGATTGCTAGTTGATTATCTACCACGTATGTATTGATATCTATTGATATCTATCCAGGCGGCTGTAGATACCATGTACGAGACACATTTGCACTCTTCTATGCTTGTCCGAACGCTGTAGTTGAAGCCAATACGCAAACCGATGACGACGAATATCAGACGGAATAAATTATATCCAAGTCTGGCAGCGTCTGCTCTCCAACACAGATCTATTGGCTGGATAAGATGAATATTGTATTTTTCCTGCTCCGTAGATAACCTCTGCAAAGCGGCTTATAAGCTCAACCCGATAGTTCCCGATGTCAGGTGTAGATTGATAAGAAACCCTGATTCTGGAGGCTTGCATAATCCGTGCTAAGAAACGTAAGAGATACCTAATAGTAAAACAGAAGTCTAGGCAGACACGTGAAAAGGGAAAAAAGAAAGTTGCCGCCGTTACTTTGTCTCCCCGGGCGTTCCTTGGGACGCGTTTTTCGCTTTCAATTATTAGGTCCGAAAAGCACGTCAATTGTGGCAGATTGATGGCTATAATTGACATCAAGACGCAATGTGGGTTAACTTAGGCGCCGCTGAAAGCCAAAAAAATTAAAAAGATCGGGGAGATTCGCTCTTCGCTTTAAAGGAGATTTACTACGTCTAGTAATCTTTACAGTATAAATTTTTGACAGTTTTTACAAAAGAGATCCCTGAAGATTTTTACAATACAGATCCCTGAAACGCCATATCTTTTTTACTATGAAACTTATGTTTTTTTTTTTTTTTCCTACAGTAGGTGCTTCAAGGCGTTACGGTTTCTTACCAAGTGGGAATAGTAAATTGTCATGTCACTTTGTTGACGAGATACATTTGGGGGGTTTTTGACACCTCTTGGCTTGAAGGATGGCCTAACGATGAACTCTGATATTTTTCTTTCGTTTCAATGTTGATTCATGTGTCATGCATTGAAATGAAAGATAGGTGGAGGGTGAGTGTAGTATACTTGTGATGGCTTCGATGCTTGTACCTCTTTTTTTCCTTCTTCTCGCTCTTGCTCCAATGCAAGGGAGCTTCCCGCCGTCGTATTGTTAAATGCCAACTATTAGATGGCAGAAATGGTTCTGTAACAAGCTTCCTTGAGAGAAAGGACAGGGGCAGATGGTGATTGTTGGAGTTGATTGGGCAACACACCTTTTTTTGTGTCCTCGCGGGGGAACTTTCGTTGGTTATGCACATTTGTAATATATTTCTGTTGTCTCTTATAATCTGCCAGCCAATAATCATACTCATCTCACAGTGCTGTTGGTTTTATGAGCCGCAATCTCGGCTCTTCTCGAGATGATGGGGGGTCAAGGGAGGGAGAGTGAAGCCGGAGGGCATTTCAAGATAAGCATATGCATAGCCTTCTAAACCGTTCCAGATGGACACGTCTTTTCTGCCAAATCTCTAGCCCCTCATTTATGCCTCCAAGGTTAGTATTTGTAAACGGGAAAAAAAAGGGAGTTCCACATAACCTGCGTCTGTTGGTTGTGCCTAGCTGCATATCTTCAACCAACAAAGGGCGGCAGGAGGACCTTTGCCAAGCGACAGATTGCATGAAGGGAGGGGGGCGGACCAAAAGCACCAACAATGCATAGGAAACTTGGCAAAAGGGACGACGCTGTGCTCCGCGGGGCCCCGGGTTTTTCTGTCTGTCGACTTGCAGAAGGGGGCCAATGCCTCGCTTTTCCCGCATTGCTGCCCAGTTTGTCGGAAAGGAGAAGGTGTATATGGTATCACGCATGGCCGGAGCTGCAGGTCTGAACATGGGGGCCGAAAAAAAAACGAGACGATGAAACGAAGTTGGGTAGCGGCAGAAAGACACCGATAGCCGACAGGCAGGGTGACTCTGACAGGTACGGTGAGGCTGCAGCCAAACGAGAAGAGGAATAGAGAGAGAGACAGACGGCACAGGGAGGATGTGGCACATACTATAGGAAGATAGGAAGCTAACGGTTAACGTTGGCTCTGCCTGAGAAGACGGAACGGTAAGAGATGGGATTTTCGACCTGCTCTTTCTGAGGGCCTACATGCTGCAGTGCCGGATGGTGTGAGTTGCAGTCGCGGTGACGAAATGGGTAGGTTTATCGCCCGGCTGAATAGTTCTTTCTGCGGCCTCGGTATGCATATCGGCTCTATGCAAGGAGTTTACGGTTAACAACGGAGATTAACGAGAAAGCTTCTCGAGACGAAGACATGTCCAGAATGGGATGCTTGCCGATGTCGTTGAGTAGAATACCGTCATATAGAATTTGCCGGTGATGGAGAAACGTCTTCGAGAACGGTTTTGAGAGAGCATGTCGGCAGAATGGGTAGAACCCCCCCTGACGAGATAGATGCCTTGATTCTTCCTATTTGCTGGATAATGCTAGTTAGAAATCATTGCTTGGTCGGATTGAAGGAACTTGGATACCGGACATGCAATGAAACTATCGCCATCTGCTGCATGTAGCATCGCAAAATAGTCTCTATTTAGCTAGGGCGATGTATGTCGATGCTCTGCTGAACTGACGTTATGTATCACTGTGACGCTGTAAGAGACCAATCAATATTATCCGGATTTTTTTCAAAAGGAGAATCGTAGTTGACTCGTATTTTTAGGAAAACTGTAAGAAGAAAACGACAACGAGCCGTGAGAAGCTCGATATAGCATTGCATCCGGAAGCAATATACCGAAATAGACTCCGTTCAGCCGCTGCCAATATCCAGATTTTTTTTCACAAAGTCAGATTGTTCCGGAAAGAATAGGCTGAACAAGAATCAATGAGCCTAAAGCCCGCCGTCCAAGATGTAGATGAATCCTGACAGATGAATCATCTCGCCATACGCGTAATGCTATACATAATTCCTGCTTTGAAATGGATCGATAAAAGCTGTCCTTTGATGATGTGCCTTTTCAGGGCCATTCCCGTGAGACGTGAGAGCAAGGCAAAACAACACCTTGACGCGCCGTATCCCACATATATTCTTTAACCCCATTTGACTCCGAAGAAGCTTACTGGCTTCTTCCCTGCCCGCGCGTTGGCAGTATCTGCATTTTCCAGATAGATCCTTTCGTGGCCCTTGACGTCCACGAATAGGTATTTGTAATCGTATTCGCTTTCACCACGAGGTATCACCATGTGGCATTGCACTACTCCGTTCCCTTTGGGGCCCTCGACCTAGATATTTACCGTATGAGTATTTGCATATAGGTAACCGAGTTTTCGAGCCAAAGGACTTACATAGAAATGCATCATGAGATGCTGATTGCCCTGGCCGTCCGTCCTCTCGGTGGATCTTTGCAGATATTCATGTAAGCGTATTGTTTGGCTTCCAGGTGCTTGAATTACCTACGTGATGGGCCGTGCTCTCCTCCATTTGTTGAATGTCTCATCTCCGTGGGCCGAGATTTTGTTCGCATCGCCTAGGAGCTCAAGGCATCTGTGATCTTTCTTAATTTTATCGACAGCTCTGTTGAACTGTCTTGTCTTACTCTCGGGAGAGAAGACGTCTGTCCAAAGGAAATAAAAAACGCCGCTCTGTGCGGCAATTGTCAATTAGCTTTACCGATTTCAAGTAGATTTACAGCTATCCAATAAAACAATAGTGGCATTTTTATATTGCACGTACAGTAGCGACCAGGCCGACTATAATCATGCCAAAGTTGTACGACTGCTGGGTTGCCCTCGCCGCCTTCTCAGCGGCCGACAATTCACTCCATGGAACAAATCCGGTATCGTTAAAGGGCGTGACGCTCCTTCGTTTGGGCTTTGGCGTCGTGGCAGCCCCAAGGCCAGTCTGGGTCGCATAAGTCCGCGCAAAAAGCAGCCGAGCCGATTGTCTGATTGTGGAATTGGCGACGACTCGAATCGCCGGGACGGTAGTTGTTGGTGTCATCATGGCGGCTCCTCGGCTTCCATCTTACCGAGACAGCTCGCTTAGATGAGATCTCCGCAGGGTAGCGTAAAGCCAGGCGAGTTGAAGCAGCAGAAGCTTGATATAGAAACGTGAAGCTTTCACAAGCAGCAATCGCTTGTAGTAGTGCTCGCATCTTGCGCGCCACCGCCCTCGGCAGAAAACCCAAGTGGGGAGACCGCCTAGCTAGAAGCAGATTAGCGGCTCCAATTATGCCACTTTACCGCATCGCCAAATGGGCTCTGGGAGTCTCCTTAATAAACATTATCCCAATCGTGATTGCACCTCGTCCTCTCTGCTCCATCTCGACGCGGTCGCTGTAGAGACGAACACTACGACGGGCTCTAGAAATATCGAGGAATACTCGGCAAGACTCGTATCGGAACCGGACGCCACCTGTCACGATGAGTGCCCCCCTCGCGACCAAGCAGCAATCGCTGAAGATCTTCGAGAAGTTGAAGACGAAGCCAGCGAACAAGGTATGGAAATACGCAGTGAGCACCGGTCAGGACCGAGTAACTAAGCGCGCCGTTGCCTCTATAGATATGCTTTGACTGTGGACAGAAGAATCCTACGTGGACTTCAGTTCCCTTTGGCATCTACCTGTGTCTCGACTGCTCCGCGAACCATCGCAACTTGGGTGTCCACATCTCCTTCGTGCGATCCACAAACCTCGATCGTATGTATCTCGCAATGCTTTCATCATTTCCACACATTTTCTGACTCGTGCTCTCCAGAGTGGCAATGGGATCAGCTTCGAGTAATGAAGGTTGGCGGCAACGAATCTGCGACCAAATTCTTCCAGCAGAACGGAGGCACTGCGGCATTGAACAGCAAGGACCCCAAGACCAAATACCAGTCCAACGCGGCTACCAAGTACAAGGATGAGTTGAAGCGACGTGCGGCGCGTGATGCGCTAGAGTATGCCATCCCGAATACTCCGACTATATAAACACAAATCTCTAACCATGATGCTAGATACCCCGAGGAAGTTATTGTCGACGGCCTCGAGGCTGATGGCAGCTCCACCCCTGCCGGAGAGCCTGACGATGATTTCTTCTCATCTTGGGACAAGCCTACGATTAAGAAGCCGACGCCACCCTTATCACGAACTGCAACTCCCCCCGTCGTCGGCCGCACTCCATCTCCGTTCCTCAACGCCGGCAACAAGGACGTTCCCCGTGCCGCGTCCCCTCTATCAAAGACAGATTCAACCGAGTCGAAGCCTGCAGCCAGCCGTGTCACCACATCTGCTGCTTTGCGAAAATCCACCCCGTCCGGCGGCCCCAAGAAGGCCAACATCCTTGGTGCCAAAAAGGTGCAAAAGCTGGGCGTCAAGAAGGTTACTGGGGATATCATTGACTTTGACGAGGCGGAGAAGAAGGCCAAGGAGGAAGCAGAGCGTATCGCCAAGCTGGGATACGACCCTGAAGCCGAAGAAGAGCAGGCCGCAAAGAGCAATGCCACTTCATCTGCTGCCGCCATCATCTCCCCAACTCCCATTAGCCCAGCCCCCAGCTCGCATACACGACAAAAGTCAAATGCTGAAATGGAGCGATTAGGAATGGGCATGGGACGTCTCGGATTCGGCCAGATTGGCGGTGCCAAGGCCTCTGCGTCTGCTTCTTCTGCCAAGAAGAATGCGGGTGGTTTCGGTTCTGTTGGGCCTGTAAAGGCAACTGCAGCTGGTAAGTTTTGCCCTCAAAACCTTGACCATCATACCCTATTAACTTTTGTTTTTCTTGTATAGATGACTCCGAGACATTTGCCCGTAGCAAATTTGGTGGCCAAAAGGCCATTTCCTCTGACGAGTTTTTCGGCAAGGGTTCGTATGACCCTAATGCTCAGGCCGAAGCCAAGACACGACTTCAAGGATTCGAAGGCGCTACGGCCATCTCCTCAAACGCTTACTTTGGACGGCCCGAGGAGGAAGCGGAGGAAGATTATGGCGATATCGAGACGGCTGCAAAGGACTTTGTGCGAAATTTTGGAATTACGGCCGCTGATGATTTGGAGAACTTGACCAATGTCCTTGGCGAGGGCGCTTCAAAACTACAAAGTGCTATCCGATCTTACCTCGACGGTTAAGTGCCAGATACGCAATGCTAGCCTAAAATTGGGGGAATAAGGGTACATACATGAACATCTTGATTTCTTTGGATGAAAAAATTATGTTACAGGATGGGAAATGATATGGGGTGACGGAAGTGAAATGCTATGGAGGACTCAGATGGTGTTGGAAGGGAGGGGGGAATCTACATGAGAATGGCGCAAATTGTAATGTCGAAAGAGCCGACACGAATAGACGTGGGGTCTTTTTTTTCTTTTTTTTCTCTTAATGTTGCTCGGTTTCTTAATCTGTTTCTCTGAATATATATGATTAACCCAAGCTTCTGTTTGTAATCTACGTGATATTAATGTTGTCCCAATTTAGGTATCTGGATGAGGGTCACGATGAGTAAGAACCACGATCAGCTACTAGTAGTTCAATGAACTCTTTAAAATATTTTTTAATTTTGATTTTTATTGTATTTGTTACATAGTATGCATGTAATTATCAAAACTTGATATGCTACCTGTATAGTCTACATGACATGACGTGGCATGAAACAATAAGAGAAAAATGCAATACCAACAGGCTTCATTCAAAACAAACCCAGCAATACACAAGGAAAAGATGGTCTTGATGTATATTTAATTTTTTTTACAGCTTGGACTGAGCACCGATGATGAGCTGGCTGCCCTTCTTGAGCTGGGCAACAGCATCGTTGACGAGCTCATCAACAACATCCTTGGCGGGCTTCTGGACGTTGACAACGGCGGCAGCCTTGCCCATCAGGAAGGGGCGGAACTGCTCCAGAGGATCCTCGTCCTCGTCGTTGTTGGCCTCCTCGGCGGTCTGGACAATGGAGGGCTTGTCGCCGCCGTTGAGGACCTTGTCGAGATCGGCCTCGTAGGGGATGGTGCCCTTTGCGGCGAGCTCCTTCATCTCCTGCTGGCGGTTGGTCTCCCAGTCGTTGATGTAGGCGTTGTTGCGCACGCGCATGGGCCGGCCGGTGAAGATGATTGTGCGGACATTGTCGTCGTGGCCGGCGGTGCGGACGGCGTCCTTGTGGGACTTTGGGGCGCCGGCCTCGTCGGTCAGGATGAAGCGGGTGCCGACCCAGACGGCCGAGGCGCCCATGACGAGGGCCGCGGCGAGCGTCTGGCCGTTGCTGATGCCGCCGGCGGCGATGACCTGGACGGGGCCCTTTGTCAGGGGCGACTTTGCGTTGCCGACGGCCTCGACGACGGCGGGGATCAGCACCGTCGTCGGCGTGTCGCCGGTGTGGCCGCCGCCCTCACCGCCCTGGGCGCAGATGATGTCGGCGCCGACGTCGAGGCACTTTTGGACGTGCTTGACGTGGCCAATCATGTTCATGTACAGGATGCCGGCCTTGTGCAGCTTCTCGACGATGGGCTTGGGCGGCACGCCGATGGCACAGACGAACAGCTTGGCGCCGGACTCGATGATGATGTCGACGAGGCCATCGAGCTTACCCTTGGTGTAGTCGTAGCTATTGGAGAATCTTGTTAGCCTCTGTACTGTAAATGTTTTCTCATCGTTTGTTCTTCTGCCTCTTTCACCGCGGCAGTTCACGCCGACGCTGACACCGATTTCAAAGCATGTGATTATTGATAATCGGTGTGGAGGTGGCGTTTTTTTCTTTTTTGGGGAACAAGGCTTACTTTGTCTTACGGGCGCTTCCACCAACCTGGGGGAGAAGCAGGTCGACGCCAAAGGGAGCGTTCTTGTCGTTGAGGTAGCTCTTGAGCTCGGCAATCTGCTCCTTGAGCATGTCAGGCGTGTAGCCGACGCCGCCGATGACACCGAGACCGCCGGCGTTGGTGACGGCCGCCGCCAGCTTGGGGCCGGCAGCGACGTTCATGCCGGCCAGCAGGACGGGGTGCTTGATCTTGAAAAGATCGGTGATGGGAGTGCGGATCTGCTCTGTTTGCGCCTCGTGGTTAGCCGTCTCCGTCTGTCTCGTGGACGCGATTTGGGTGACGTCGGCGAGTTTTTGGGGACAAGTGGCAAGGGCAGCGGAACTTACGAGGAGAAGCCATTGTGGAATGATGTTTTCTAGTCTCGCCGGGGAAAGGGTATCAGGGGAGAAGAAGAAAAGACGATTTGGATTGAAGAAGGGAAGAAGGAGGAGAAAGGAAGGAGAATGGCGGAGGCAATTCCAGCTTAAGAATAATATTTTAGATTCCCGGCCGAGAGGGGACCCCGAGCGCAGACGTCGTTTCGGAGCATCTCCATCATTTGACCCTGACGAGCCGAGGCTTGGGTCAGGCGCTACGGCCAATGGGGGCCTAGCCTTGCCTGTGGGGTCTGGGGAAAAGATGCCGAGGTGCGCGGCTTAGTCATCTGCCGAGCGAGAATTGCATGAGGAATTGACGGAATGGCCTGAGCATGAGCTTCGCGAGGTGTCGTGGACGCTTGTTCTGTTTTGCGGGGAGGTTAGCGCTGCGCATTCCCCGGATTTCAGAATGATGTGAAACGTGCTGGATGCGCGAGAGGCTGTAGATGCCTTGCATGAGAAGGATAACGTAGGTGTGTATAGATACGTATATAACGAGTGCTTCTGATATCCCCCTCCGCGGTGTCGTGTGGCGTGGAATTGATTAGTAGCCGGAACCGGAATTCATCAATCACTTACACTGCGGGGAGAGTTTTGCCATTAGCACCAGCATCAGCATCAGCAACAGCATCAGCAGCTGACCGAGGCATCCAATAGGTGTCAAGCTGAAGATGTTCTTTAGTGGCTTCCAGAAACAGACCCGCTTTTCGACTCCAGGGTAGGTCGCATCGGAAAATTTGGAACCACCAAAATCTCAGCAGCCTCAACAGCTCCAGCTCGAATAGCACAGCAGCTCTAGTTTGCAATTGCCACCCGAGTTCAGCTCCCCTCATGGCAGCACAAGATCTTCCAACAAGATGAGATTCCACATACAACACCACGCTCCGCTGATGAGGGGTCTGCGCAGCTCCGGCGTGCGCAGCTTCCACTCATCTCCGCAGAGTCACTTGGCCAGCATCCACCGGCCAAAGCCACGAGCTCCAGCAAAACGAAGCTCGTCATCAAGCACGCAGAATCGATCTCACTCGGGATGTGGTTGTCATCCTGCTCCAGCTGCCGCTGCTGCAAACAATGTCAAGACCGCATACATTGCCTTGGGAAGCAATCTTGGGGACCGCATATCAGAGATTGAAAAGGCTTGCATTGAGATGAGCCGGAGGGGCATTCGGGTCAAGCGAACCAGCAGCCTCTGGGAAACCGAGCCCATGTATGTAACAGACCAAGACCGTTTCATCAACGGTGCGTGCGAGGTGAGACTTGTACATTGGTTGGCTCGTGTTTGCGTCCAAGACCGACTATTGCTGACCTGAATACGTGCTCCAAGGTTGAGACTGAGCTTGAGCCTCTGGGGCTGCTTGACGAGCTACAAGCCATTGAGCGGGACATGGGCCGCAATAAAGTGATTGATAAAGGCCCGCGCAATATAGACTTGGACATTTTACTCTATGGCGATGAAAAGGTCCAAAACGACAGGCTCAATGTGCCGCATATTGGTATCCCTGAGCGCGAATTCGTCCTGAGACCGCTGGCCGAGTAAGACAACTCATCTTCCACCCTTTGCAACAGACATGTCATGACTGATCTTGATTTCCTTTTTTTTTTTCCCCGATTTAGATTAATTCCATCAAAGCCGCTCTACGCGTCGCAACCATGGAAGCTTGTCCAGGATTACCTCAATGACCTCACTCCTGGCGAGCCCCTATCATCCATTACTCCAATGTCTTCAGCGCTGCCACCACTCACACCCCTCGTACGTAACAGAAAAACTAGCGTCATGGGGATCCTGAACATGACGCCTGATTCTTTCTCTGACGGCGGCCGCAACAGCCTGGAAACGCTGTCCAATACCGTCAAAGACCTTGTTCGCAACGGGGCATCCATCATTGACGTGGGCGGGCAGTCGACGGCTCCTGGGCGCCCCCAAGTATCCGCAGAGGAAGAAACTTCTCGGGTGGTGCCCGCCATCGAACTCATCCGCTCCATACCGGAAACCCGTCACGTCGCCATTAGCGTCGACACCTATCGCGCGTCCGTCGCTGAGAGGGCCATTGCCAGCGGGGCCGACATAATCAACGACGTTTCCGCCGGCACTCTGGATGCTGAAATGCTGCCAACTGTGGGCAGGCTTGGAAAGACCATCTGCCTGATGCACATGCGCGGGACTCCACAGACCATGACCCAGCTCACTTCCTACCCAGAGGGCCTGGTGCCAACCGTTGCGGCCGAGTTACTCGAGCGCGTGGCCGCAGCCGAAGCAGCAGGTATCCGAAGGTGGCGGATAATTCTCGACCCAGGGATCGGGTTCGCAAAAACGGCCGCCCAGAACCTGGAGCTGCTACGTAGCCTGGAAGAGCTCCGGGAGTGGCCTGGCTTGCAGGGCCTGCCGTGGCTCGTTGGCACGAGTCGGAAGAGCTTCATCGGCAAGGTGACTGGAGTGGACGAGGCTTCGCAGAGGGTTTGGGGCACGGCCGCGACGGTGGCGGCGGCGGTTCAGGGGGGAGCGGATGTGATACGTGTGCACGATGTTCGGGAGATGGCCTTGGTCACGACCATGTCGGATGCTATCTGGAGGGCTTGAGCTTTGAAATATGAACCTGACTCGAACTCTGGGCTGCGCGTCTATTACTACTACTTCCTTCTCGACTCCTTCGTCTCCATATCTTTTGACCTGTCTCTTTGGTACCCCCTCCTCCCTCTTCTTTCTTTTGGTCTGGATGCTTCGTCTCCTCGCCATGACCTTCCACTTGCTCCACACCTTTCCAACAGGGGGGGGTATCATACAACGCAGAGCAAGCAAGAACGCTGGCCATCTAGACGCAATGGACACATTTGGAAACCGGGTAAAATACGTCTAACCCCCTGGTGACTTGATGCCTCGATCCATCTTTATCTGGGAAAATTACTCGGCCTCCCTCGCCGGTGGGTGGCATACTCCATTCGCGAGTTTTTCGGACACATTTCGAGCTGGGTTCCTTGTCATACATGATGCTTGATCCCTGAATCGTGTGGTAACAATCAAACCTTCGGAAAACGGCCCTCTCAGATGTACCGTCGATCACCGGTGTGGACTTGCAGCTCGTGCAACCCCAGGAAACCTGAAGCTGATTACGATAATGAAGGGGGGAAGGGTGTTCGGTAGGAAAAAAAAAAAAAAAAAAGGCCATGCAGTGCAACCAGCCCCCCCGATAGCCGGGGCTTTTTTTTTTATTGTCCTGACGCTGTGATATTCAAGCTTTCAGACCGGTGATCCCCCCCTCCCTCCCTCCTGAGATTCGATCCTCGTGTTGGGCCGGAATACCTTTCCGGGTGACACTGCAACAAAGCCATCCGTATGGCCTGCTGCGTGGTTTTCGTTGTGCATGTACACACATATATGCAAAATACGGGCGTTACACAAAAAAACATCGCATCTGGGCGGCAACGGGGCTACGACTACGGCTACAGCTATTGTGGCGTGACTGATAACAAACCAAAAAAAGATGGCTCCTCGTTCGTTGCGAGTGGGAAAAAAAACAAAAAGAAGCCATTCACAAGGACAAGGGTGGAGGTTCCATGTACAGCTACAACACCACCAGCCAGACGCTACAAAGAGAGTACCTACATACATTCAGCGAGTAATATGCAAGGTGGGCATGCAGGGTCGCAACACGTGGATTTGGGTTACCCAACGGTATGGCTGCAACAAGCGAGTCAGGCTATCCTCCATATTATGTACATCGAAAAACGCAAATAAATGAAGAGAAGCGAACGAGCGGTCCGCCTAACCGAATGAGAAGAAGAGATTGTGTGATGTGAAAAAAAAAAGAAAGGATGGGGAAACCCTCCTGGTCAACTCCGCAAGGCAGATATGCTTACTTGAGACAGTTCACTCCCCCCCTTCCTCCGGAGTCTCTTCTTCTTCGTCGTCGTCTCTTTTTCTCTCCTTCGGCCATGCCTAGCCGCTACTAACACACCCACCCCTCCCCCTTCTTTTCGCTGCGGCTGACTCCTTTGTGAATAACATCTCCGTAGACCCAACTGCTGTGACACTTGATCCGATTGCGGACGTAACAGTAGATGCACCTGTAGGGCTGATCCGGCAAGCAGAAGAAAAAAAAAAAGAAGCTACAAACTAGTAAAATACCCTGGAGAAAAATATGATATATGAGATACAAAAAAAAAACCAAGGGAGAGCTGAGATGGGCCTTGTGCTGTGTGTGCTGTCGTGGGAATACCCAGTAGCAAAAGGAACGAATAGAGTATGCCAATCCAAGCGTAAGACCGACGGAGGGGGAGCCAAAAGCTGGCGCAAACAAAAGAACATGCCATGGCTTTTTGCTTTTTAATTCATCTTTCTTCTGAGTTCTTATTACCTCATACGACACAACACACACGCTGTAAGCCCATGGCAATAAGACTAGCCTGGAGGAGAGTGCCATTTCTAGGCATTGCCATGTGAGACATTGCCAACTAGGATGAAGGGCTAGCCTGCGAGTAATTTCATATAGTCGCCAATGAGCCACCGCGCAGCCTTGCTGTTTAGCTCTCTTCTCTCTCACATGGTGTATCCTTTCTGCGGTCGTCGGTGATAGTCCGTCAGTCCGCTTCAGGTACTTTTCTCGGGATCCTCTACCGGATCCTTCCCCCCCCTTTCCCAGTAAGAAAAAGGAAACGAAAAGAAATGAAGAGAAGAAAAGCAAAGCAAGTGGTGGTGATTTTCCCCCGGGTTGATGGTTGACCCTGGGATGATCCATTATATGTTTGCTTTTTGATAGGCCAGCCGTGGGGTCGCAGCAATAGGAGGCCAAGCTTGTGAATGTGCATGGCAGTACAAAGTAGTACTGATAGTAATACAGTTTTGAAATTCTTCCGGTCTCCGACCAGAGATGCTGTGTTGCCGGCTTTCTGTCCCTTGATTTTTTCTTTTCTTTGGTTTTCCTCGCCGGCACTTGCACGCGAGCATCACCGAAAAGGTTTCCCTCTATGAACAGCACCAAGACAAATAGAGCTATCCTCGCAGTTTCTTCTTCCTCTTCTGGTTATTTTCATTTCCACAGCTCGTTTCTCGACAGGGGGTGGCAAACGATGTCCTCATATGCGGGCTTTGACATGAATGACCTGATGCTATAGGGCGTGGGGGCATGTTCCCCAAAAATTGGGTTTTCCGAAGGAGGGGGCGTACGACTATTAAGACAATGAGCAAGTAAGTACAAGGAGATACGGCCAGGGTCCAAAAGCACATGCTAAGGCCTTCTTTCGAGCTCGTACAGTAGTGGCCTGTCCCAGAAAACCAAAATTAGCTGAAATAAACCGGGGTCTGGGGTCTCGTTTAGGGGTCTGCCGCTGCAGGGCGGATCATAACAGATGCACTGTATCCCTCCCCTACTTGTACTGACTCTTGCCTCTTTTCCCATGCGTGGATCTCGCGCTGCAGCAATGGTAGCTGTCGCAGCGGGGAGCTGCTACAACAGACTCGCATCGTGGCCTCTGTCAACCAACTAACACGGCAATGCATGGCCTCTTATTGCCGTAAGTTGGAGCCGAGCCTTGGGCGGAGGACGGCGATGAGCCGACGAACCCAACCACACGCTCGACGCCCTGTGAAAGGGTCGCATGCATCTTGTCCGAAGACCCTGCGAGAAACTGTTTGTTAACTTCTTGATGGAGCATCGTCTGTGCTCTCACTGCTAGAAGGCTAGGGCTGGCTGATAATGGCAGCAGTGGCTTCTTCCCCGGTGTCAAAAAAAGGGACGGGCCGGGTCGAACTATGGGTCCAAGGGAGATGAGATGGGTCTCTATGTTGTGCGGCGTCACTAATAGCAGTGCTAAACACAGTGCTGTTGTTATCTGCTCGTCCAGGCTGTGAGCAATGAGCATAAGCCTGCTTCATGTACAACACCGTCTCTGTCGAGCACGCTTCGCTTGCCCTTCGACACTGATTGTCGCCAGTCTTCGTTGCAAGAACCCGATCCAAGTCTAGATATCATGTATCATATTATCTTTCTCGTTGCAAAGTGGGCCGATTGACCAACGCAGCCTGACGTCTTTTCGCCATGTTGTATGATGGAATATTCTCGCCTATGCACGCTGACAACCACACTCTCCAAGATTTAGAGCGGGAAAAGAAAGTGAGCTTTACAAGCAGCATTAGGGTCGAGCGAGCATTAATATCAAGCCACCCGCTTCGATTTAGCTGCAGACAAAAGGCCTAGTTAGCCAGAGCCACATACACGCTTCTTAGTAGTGTGTATATGCAGGGTTAGAGGTATGCAAATTGCATAGAGAGGTGCGCCTGTGAAGTGCAGCTATTTGACACTTCAGGTAAAAGAAAGGCGAGAGCAAGGGGAGTGCGTTGGAACTGCTCTCACCATTGCACAAGACACAATACGGCGTGCAAACTGTCCTCGACCGGTGGCGTACAACTAACTCAATGGGGCAAAGGCGACATGAGTTGGCCTCCCACAGACAAAGCATGCGAATTGGAAGAAAATAAGAGAGAACAACAGAGGTGCTTCATATGGAAGCATGCCGGTATCACAGCGAGCCCGACGCGACAGCTACCGTTCCTAATAGGTAGCACTACTAGTACTACTACTAGTAGTATAGCCCAAGCCAGAGGACCCTTGAGATGTTCAGCTGCATGTCCTAAAGCAATTTCCCGTGGGGGCTCCCATATCAGGTACATACCTTCTTCTGGCGTATACAACGCCACAATACCAATTTCCAATCGTAGTGCTGTAGTTGGATGGTTTCCGAAAACCGAATACATCATATAGAAAAGTCCCCGAGACGCCCACAGCGTGGACGAGTAAGTGCTGGCAGCAGTAGAATACATTGCCCGTTTCCAATAGCATGCTGTTATGCGGCACTGGGCTCTCCAGGACAATATAGTCTCGTGTCTAATGGCCCTATAAAAACCCATCAACTTATTGAATCCCGGGTACGGGGTACTTTGGCCTCAGCCCGACGATGAGAGAGTCCACCAGCAAACACTATTCTCGTACAGCGTGTAATTAAGCCAAGTAGGTATTCCGCGCACGCATCTTATCGGTGAGCGTGGGATGAAACTGCGGCAGATGCGGCCATTGATATTGCCCCACGCCGAGACCGTCGCCGTGCGTCTACTCCGAAACTCAATGGCTTGCGGCTGGCCCTTCACCGTGGTGGTATCGTGTCTCGCTAGTGGCTTCGGTTAGAGGCCGGCGGCAATACGCCGTGTTTGCAGCCCGCATAAAAGTGGCTGCACGCTGCATTAGTATGCTCGCTTGTGAATACACACTCCCCCCTGTGCTTCATTGGAGGTCATCGTACCTGTATGTGGCGGAGACAAGGAGCAAGCTCAGCTAACAAGTTTGCTGAGCATAGGACAAACATTACTCAAACTTCAGCTCTCAAATACTCAAAAATGTGTAAGCTGGCTGAAATAATATCGGCTAAGGAGGTGGGACAAGATATTTCCCAGTCCCCTTGCAATCATCCTGCAGGCACAATAGTATATTGTGTAATCATGTTGTATTCATAAAAGGGAGTGGCCTATCGCAGTACTCGAGAGGGAAATGAGAAGGAGAAAAGAGAAAAGAAAAGAAAAGAGTGCACCGACAGTGGCGGTACGACAAGTATGGAGCACTTCTCAGCCTATGCAGGGCCAGGCTCTGCCTATGCATGCCCCCCCCTCCTTTGTAATCATTCCGCTATTGTTATGCCAACGCCACTGTGATGCTCGCATAGGGATCCTGGTACCTGGTCAGGCGAATGTCTGCATGGCATAATAGCCCGCCGTAGCTTTTGTGACAACACGCAGTATCCTTCAAAAAAGGAAGCGGCATTATGCGGAACCTAAAAGAAATAGAATAGAATCGTCATAAATGCAAGAAGAGAGAAAGAAATAGGGAAAAAGAGGAAACAGAAAAATTATCAAGAACATAAAATAAAAAAAATAAAAAATATTAAAAGAAAGAATCCAAAAAAACAAAAGGACAAAAAAATAGAATCCAATCTGAAAGAATGTTGAAAAAAAAAAAGAGTCCAAATCCAAATCTGAATCTCTGCACCGTCGTTGGTATCCAATCCTGATATCCCATGCGTTGCCGCATTCATCCAGCCCAAAAGACCAAACATCACTTCCTTTGCCCTCTCTGGCCAAGATAAGGCCGAGGGATGAATCTATTCCAAGCAAAACAATTCTCTTTTCCTCTCGCAAAAAAGACTGGCCGTAGCATTCAATGTGTGTCCTGGATATGCCGGAGCTTGCTGCTGTCGACACGAGCCCTGCGGCCTGCCCAGTCACGTATAGTGGTCCCGTATTCCCAAGCCCTCATTTCCCAAGCAAATGTCGCTTTTGTTGTCCCGATTTCTAGTCCTTCCATTTGTTGCAATTTATTTCCAATAGTCCAGTATAATCCTTGCAGAGGTTGTTTGTCGTTTTCATTTTTCAATTTTTCAATTTTTTTTTTGTATGTTTCCCTTTTGCATTTGTCCCCCCCACCCCTTTTCACCCTTTCCCCGTTTTGGTCGTCGTGACGTTTTGATTCGTCGCAAGACCAACGCCAAGGCGTAACGCCGCGTGCATAATCCTCTCAAGTGATAGCGCCTCGACTTACAAAGTCATGTTTGCGCTGGGAGACAAGATCGTAGGGTAGTAACCACCTGAAGTGGGTTTCCCTTCAAACACTGACAGCTGGCGACGACTATCCGTGAGCGGTGGTGGATGAAAGACACGAGGCGTAATGTCGTACTCACTCTTTACCTTGGAGTCGGTGGATGACTGCGATGGAGTATGCTCTTGCTCGTTGCGAGTGCCAAACATCTCAAGAGGTCGCGGCGGAGAGCTGTCGTACATTGACCCAGGATAGTATAAATATCCCTTGGCATTCCCAATAGCTTTTTCGTCGTCGGGAGACATTGCCACTTCTCCAGGAACCTCGTGATTCCTTGGCGTTTGGTATACTGATCCTCTTGGGTCGTAGGATGCATTATACGTGCCGTTCCCGCCAAGCATGCTGGGATGAGGCGAAAACTCTCCAATGCTTGCCAACGAGGAATAGCTTCCCAGTGATCCAGAGGAGCCTCCTGGGCCGCCGCTTTGGCTTCGTCTCTTTTCGTTTTGGTAATGGCCGGGGGAGCGGCCGCGGACAATCATCTTCTCAGATTTCCTATAAGCAATCTTGACAAACTTCTCAGGAGTCTGTGAGCCAAGGTCTGCCCAGAGCTCGACCATAAGATGGTAATACTGCTGAGCAGCCCTCCGCTTGCCATTATTTTGGGTGGCTTGCTTGAACTGGATACGCTCAAACGTGTGCTCAGTTGCAGGCTGACCAACCCCCTGTCCGTTGCCGTAACCGTCTTGGTACATTCTGGCGCCAGATGCGCTCGAATTGTCAGTGTACATGCTGGCGTGATGAGGCGGGACGGAATTTTTGGGCGCCAGCAGAACCTTCTCGGGCTTGGATGTTGGTCCCTTGTCCCTCTTAGGAGTGTGTTGAACCAGCTCAATGCTTTGATCATTATCTGCTACGACGGCAGAAATCGACATGTATAGTCCATAGACTTGGAACGACTGAGTGGTTCCAGGAGGGATGAAGTGAATTCCCGTGTTCGCGTAATGCGGTTGCAGCGAGTATGAGCATGCGCAAGTCATATAGTTTCGTCGATAGCAGGTCCATTCACCGTCGGCAAGAAAGAATCCCTTGTCCACAGTGCCCGTAATCTCAACCTTAATTGGCGTCCCGTTATCATATTGAAGGGACCCAGACGTCTGGACGGACATGAGGGGAGGCACAGCTGTTGTGGAGGGTCGGTTTTGGAACTGGCTAGCCTCCATCCTCCCAGCCGGAGCGACATAAGAGGTGAGTGGGCTTGGGGTTGGCGACAGCGGCAAACGGCGGAGAGGTACTCCCGGAAATGGCGGAGACCTGACAGGGTGCTCGGATGGCCTCCTAAACGAGGGTGTTGCAGTAGAGTATTGTTCTCTGGTGCTTACTTGCGCTGTAATATGCGGTAATCCAGCGGAGCGGTGCTGTTGGTGGGTGTGAGCCTGCGCCATGCCAGCTGAGGCCGCGACGCTATTGTAACTGTATAAGCCGTCGTTAAAAATGAAGAATAACAAGCGACCACGCCTCATCACTACCATGCTTCTTTGCGCATCACCAATACCACCACTGTCATGGATTGTCTTCAAAGGGGGATAGAAAAACCTACTTATTGTTTATGCGAGATCTAACATCTAGGCTCGGAAATACTTGAGCTGCTGCTGGCTGGTAATAGGCACCGTCCTGAGGATAGTGCGTCGTAGTAGCAAGGGCAGCAGTAGGGTGAAATAAGCCCAGAAGGCCAGGAGGCTGCGGAGGCTCTATTGCTAGAGCCGTCGTATTTGCTTCTTGGGTGTACCTGGGCGTCTGATTAGAACGAGAGGGTTCGGACAAGTATCTGAAAGAAAGGAATATAGAAGACAGGAAGAGAGGATCTATCATAAAAAGGTATATATGATAAGAAGAGAGAGAGAGAGAGAAGGAAGAGCAGGTAGTGATGGAAAAGAATGTTTATGGAGATCAGGCCGGCTGAGTACCACAAAGCCAAGAAGCTATACCTGCCAGCACGAGTGGTAGCACAAGGCCAATGCACGAATCCATTTAGCGGCCAGCGACAGAACAGTGATGTGAGCACAAGCCCAAGTGCAACCATTAGTGCTGAAGCTCGCAGGCCCCGTTGCAGGGCTGCTTAGATAGAGGCGTATAATCCTGCTGGGTAGCGGCCCTTTGACGAAGGGAAATTTGGGTGGACCGCCCAGGTAACGGTGGAAATTTGGTGTGGTGGACAAAAGGCAGAAAAACGTACCTCATATCGCCAGACTGAGAGTGTATATCAAGGTAATCAAGCTCCGAGCATGGAGGTGGTGGCGACGAGTCGTAGTCCTATGGCCCAAATTCATTAGAATTGGATTCGAATAGAACGTATATATGCTTTTGAGACATGACGGGGGATGAAGGCCAGCAAGCTTTGGTGCTGCTTCTGCCGTTTCCGCTGTATTCCATTCGGTTACAAGCAATCCGACAACACAATGAAGGGTTATTTGGGTAGATGCCTACAGACATTAGCATGGACAATCTGAGAGTGTGGTACCCGAGATGAAGGGGGGGGGTGTCTTTTAGCTGTACAGCCTTGAGAAGTACAGTACATCCAGCTACATCCCAGTACTCGGAAGCAGTGCAAGGGCATATCGGAAGAAGGACGCCAAGCCGTGCTGGGGATAGATGCGGCTGGCTGTAACACCAAGCAAACTAGTCGTTGGAGGGGAGTCTGCATCTCCTTCGCATATGGAGTCGAAATCGCCCATGGCGAGATCTCGCCACAAGCGATAGCAGCTGCAAGTGCCAGAGAATCTGATGTATCCCCCTCTTCGCCACATCCCCAGCAAGGGCGTGTGCAATGCGACGCCGATCATGTTTGATATGACGATGCTTTTTGACAGGGGATTCACAGCAAAAGACTTCTTCATGCACATTTCAACGTACCTCAGTGTGAAATTTAGGGCGTTTTCGTCTCGTATGGAATGAGAATGACGAACCCATTTCGTCTTCGTAAAAAAGTTTGCTATTAGGTGTTGGAGTACCCCCAGGATTGCTCGTAAAAGCGGTTATATGTCAGGATGAGGGGGGAAAGCGAAAGAATGTAATAGTACCTTCTGCTGCTGGGAATGCATGCGATAGGATCTCTGGCGGAAAAGGATGCCCGCAACAAGGATAAAACAAGGCTGGAAAGGCTGTAGAAATCTCAGAGCTGCCAACAACGTGATCTGCAGCCAGACAGTGTAATGTTAAGGCAGTCAATCGCTGATAAGTAAGCGTCAACCCGTACCCTTTATAGTCTCCCTTGATCCTTCATGTAAGGCGTCGGGAAGCTCCAGTACATCAATCTCTCCGCTTCTGTCCGTCGCGCGTGCCTGTAAACTAATCAGTCCGCATTCCGTTTCGAGAGATGGTATATCGAGCATCAAGATATAGGATGGCCAAGCTTCCAGTCCAAACCTTGCAACGTATATCGAGGACTAATTTAGTACAGAGGAGTTCTTACTAGTAGTGAGGCGACAAGCAGAGATCAAACAGGCTCTTCGAGGAGTGATAATGAACTGTAGAACAGTTTAGTCTTTGCTTCCATCATTGGCTTTCCTCCTATCTCAATTCTCGTGTGGTCACACAGCTAATGATTGATGGAGAGGGGGGCTCTGGGCTGAGAGGATCTACCGAAATCTGAACATATATCGAGTTGACCGTAGGACGATGTTGAACCTCTAATGATTTGGACGTCTGCGCAACAAGAAGAAAGGAAACTTACCGAAATACCTAGTCGGCTAAACGAGAGAATTGGGTTTATCGATGGTCTGTTGTCTGTAAGGGGTGGATGCGCTCTATGAAGGTATAATGTGAATCGTGATAACAATGGTAGCTATTGTAAAGACTGTGAGCAGGGATAGGTGGGAAGATCAAGACACCCTATAGCTTGAGGTGGATTCAGTTACATAAAGTCCACTCGGAGACTCAGCGTAACAATCTGAGAAGACTTCTGTTATCGAAAGGTAAATGGCATGAGTAGAAGGTGATGGAGAAGAAACGAAAGACGGCAGAGAGCGAGAGCTTTCAGTGTCTTATATGTAAATACGGCCAGAAAGCCTTGAAAGAGCCCGGGCAAGAGACTGGGTTAGACTGAGAAGCTTAAAGCAGGCGTCTATCGTGTGGCTGCTGAGACAGGGTCTACGAGCTCAACTGGGAATGGCGTGGAGAGCTCACAAACCGCACGTAGTTTTTCCTTCCTCTTCTCCCTCCATCTCCACACGTATCTATAAGGCTATATCCTGGTTCGGGCAAAGCAAGTCGTATATGTGCAGGCTGTGGATCATCATAATGCATATGACTGGCTGCCGCGGAAATAGCTTGCTGGGGGGGCTCACTGAGTGAGCGAGGCCCAAGGTTTCCTAGTTACAGGAACAAGCAAGAAGCCGCAAAAGTCGCAGGGCTATGCCCAAGCTGCAAGCAACTCGCGACCCCAGCCAAGCAGAGGCTCTGAAATTCGTCGCGGAACCGGGGACGCGACCCGTTTCGACTACAGCGAGCATGACTTGGCCATCGAGCTCATTTGCAATCAGGTCATTGAGAGATGGCTTGCGTGCTACACGACCCGGAAGCTCGAGCAATTCGCTTGCATGGCCTCAGTATAGACGGGCTGGGCATCGACCAGAAGTCCATCTGAAAGCGTTGTCCAGCTCGCCGCCATTGCGTCAAGGGTTGTCAAGTTTGTTTTCATCATCCCGATTTGCTTTGAATATAACCCGCTTGCTGCGATATCACACCCCTCCCCCCCCCTTCCAGGGGACTAAGGCATGCAAGTATCCAGGCGCCATGTCTCCGCCTACAATGTGGTCTCTCGTGTGAGCCTGTTGTTAAGAAAGAGATCCTTGGCTGGGTTCGAACGCTAGGGAAGCGGCGGGTAGGTGCATGAGATTAGCAATGCGTTGGAAAGAGGAGAAGCCGGATTAACGCCCAGCCACTCAGATTCAAAAGTCAAGCCAAGCTCAAGACGCACCAAGCCCCCACAATGAACTCTCGTTCAAGGCACACGCCACTGCTCTTATTATCAAACTGCGATGGTCGTGACTTGGCCAGCGCACTGCATGTCCTTGAAATGCTAAGATTATGGGGCCAAGCCCAGCAACTTGCTCATTTGCAGTGTGTCACTTGATCAAACTGTATCTGAGGGTCTAGAAAATAAGAGAGATAAGCAAAAAGGCAATGCCATCTGAACGCCCAGCGTGGATCTGAACCTCGGTTTACATGTTTGGCCACGAGGTACTCTCTTCGTAATGCAAACGGTATCACAGCTTGGGCAGCCATGATTGTCAAGGTAATGTTACAGACACGCGAGTCTGGCACTCAGGTTTCATCCTCCTCCCCAGACTTTAGAACAGACAGCAGGTTACTATCAGGCGGTATGGAGGTAGCTTGACATGCTATAGAGACAAAGGAATTAGTAGAAGGGTGTGGGGCTGACGCCTTGCAATCCTTTGCAGAATGGCGCTTGCTTTGTGGCCACCGCAAACTCGATAGTGGCCAATTTGCCCGTGAATCATCTTCTTTTAGCACACTAGAGAGCCACGCAATGTTGATGATAGCCAATGATAAGGCCATCTACCCGAGCGAGGTGGACTTTGTCGTCTCCGATCAGCCGATCCGACAGCGGAGGAGAAAACAATCGAAAACCGGCCAGGCAAGCAAGGCACGTAGCAGACCTTCAATGTCTCCAATGGGAGCCTTTAAGGAGCCACTCATGCACTATCTGTCCGTGTAACCATTCGAAGGACAAGGGCGGCACTGACGTTTAGAACAAAGATGCCGTATCCTGCACACTTGATTTAACTCTCCGGACGAGAAAGGGGAATGAGAGCATCGAATGGCTCTGATTCCGCATTGCTTGTCTGTGGGATCAAACAAAGACCCAAGTGTTGGCGTTGTCAAAGTATACATTTAGAGCTTTTTCGGATCGGCCCGTTGCCAAAGACGCCGCGTTAATGTACAAAATGGTCCCTTTGGCGAGGCAATGGACGAAGCAGATTTGCCAGGAACATGGGAATGGATATTCTTTAACGGAGCGTCCAGAAACATGGCCCAAGCGAAAGTCGTCTCGTCCATTAAACTCCCCTTGGACTCTGACAGGGAGGCCAAACCAAGGTAGGTAACGGGTCAAAGATCAGATAGATCTCTGTGAGAGGTGAGAGGTCGTAACGGCGATTCCGCAGCTTCACATCTCGATACGACCAAGGGCGAATCTGAACATGTCCTCCAAAATCTAAACTGAGCAGCTCCTGTGCTATCAATTGCCAGCCACAACAGAGCACGAAAAGCCAGAAAATGTCTTGCATTGTTGGCGTTACCCATCTTTGGCAGCTTGTACCTGTAAGTCAAAGCCAGAGGATGGGTGACACAAGTTTGGGGGCCGCCTAGGCCTCAGCGTTGTCGTCCTTTTGGGGGTGGAGGTAAAAGTAGATGCTCGGAAACTCATGTTGCCGCCGCCGCTGCTGCTGCTGCCGCTGCTGCATTGCGCATTGGAGGCGAACACGAGGGAGTCGGCCATGGTCCGAATCCTAGGGCCCCATGTCTTTGCGATGTCCGTCCTTGCTGGCCGCCTATAAGGGACCGGCGAGTCCAGGCCAGGGCCAGGCGAGAGGGCGTGACGAAAGCTGAGAGGAGCTGAGAGGGCGCCAGGGTCCAGCCGTTGAGGCTTTTGTCTCACGCTCGGACGTGGCTTCTGCTGGAGCTGCCGCGGCAACTTGCCTACATCCTCATCGACCATCCATTGGCCATCCATTGGCCATCCGCAGGTGCTGATTCGCCCACTGCTTCGACTTGTTGTCTCCATCACGCTCACCTCGAGATGTGCTGCATCTCAACCGGTGTGCAGGGGATCTGCAAAGGCGTTAACAGGGCGCTCAAAATAGCATTCAGAGACATACTCGTAGAGCGCAGCGCTCTCCACGAACCCGGGAGGTGGATTTGCAGACAATGCTTTGGCGGTTTCTGGCCTCGCCGGCTGCGAGCGCCACGTCTGGGTGGAAGTTGAGGGAGGCTGTATGTCGTTGCATCGTGTCCGTTTATTGGCTACTTGATCTCGGGCTACGGCTCCCTTGGACACGGAGCCGCATGCTATGGGCTCTTCTCGCCTGTAGCTCGCTCCGAAAGCTCCCTGGAACGGGGCCCTGGGGGAGCTGAGATAGCGCCTGTGGAGGTTTGTTCGCAGCGCTTTTACAGGGCCTATGGGGCCTATCGCGTCTGGAGAAGAGGGGCGGTTCGCTGATCATGGGCATGGATTCTGCCAAGGGCTCACCGAGATTGGCATGGAAGTACTCGATACGCGGGCAGCGGCAGATGACGACACTGCTGCTGCACCAGGGCGTTGCGACTCTTGCAGAGATGCAGAGGTATCGTGTATGCCACCTCACGCTCCATGCAACGTATCTAGGTATACCAATACAGTTGAAAGTAGTGCCTGACACTGCTCGTACAAGCTGGATCTTTATCTTATTACGGGCTTATGTAATGGAGCGTATGTACATACTACTCGCTTGTACCTCTCTCTCACCACATCCTCTGCTCAAACAACTTGAACCTAACCTACATGCTACCCATAGCAGCTGCACTTGAAACTACCTACGTGTAGGGCGATGATGATGATAACGGCACTCGATCAAATACGCCCATTCCAAACACCAAATATCATTTGCCGTAGTCGCATCGGCCGTTTCAAAGCACACTCCTCTTCGCAGGGGCGTCGGTCGAGGAAACTGGGATAGAAGCCGGGAAGCCTCACTCCCTCATCGCCAGTCGCGCGCCACAGGCCTCATCAGAAAGGGGGGAGGCTAGCAATGCCATCATCCATCCTCCACGCTGCCGTGGTCGCACGCAAACTCGTCGGCCGACATTATCAACGCTACGCCCAGCCTACGGCTTAGATCAGATCCATGGCGAGGGCCTCTGGTGGCTGTAAGTGAGACACTCTGTCGTATTACTTGCTAGCATCGTGCCACCAACCAGTTTCTTCCCATCTAGTTACCCGGATGCGCTCCGGACGGCGCATGATTGTGTGCCAGAGACACGCTGACGCACACATACGCAGCTGCTGAAGCGTTTCGACCCTCTGCTCTCTGCCACTGCTTCCTCTCCTCTCCCGTCCTTGGCTCCTAGCGTAGGCAGGCCAGCAGAGAGAGGCACCTCGCCGACAGCCGGTGGCCAGTAGGAGTTGCGGTAGCGGAGGATTGCTGCTGCAAAGGCCTTCTGCTCGGCCTTATCCAAAACGTCTCATCTATCCGTCTCGCGCTTACGGCTGATGCAATGCCCAGTGTCTACTTCTCGTGGCGGCTGCTACGTCAGTGCAGCATGGATTGCGGCGTTGGCCCTGCTCCTTTTCCCCTATGCCGGCTACGCACATGATGTGATGCAGCTCCCTCCAGCAAGGTGGTTGAGGTAGGCAACGTGGTTTGATGGGACAGGCTGCTTAATATGACTGACGTGTTTGCCTATTAGAGGTCATCCTTGCTAACTTTAATCCACAATTTTACGGCAAGCGCCGCTGGAGATACGAGTGAATAACTTCACTAGTTGTGGGAACGCGTGACTATGCAAATATCCAGCTTTTCAAACGCTGGGTTAATATTGTACCAAGTTGCGGCACGTCCGAGCTTGCCACACTGTTCCAGTTGAAATACTCTATCGATTACATATGGGATGCTTACAATTGAGCGTATGGCCAAGTGGTCATAATGTGAGTTATGAGACCGAAATTTCACTTTTGCACATAGTAGACGTTATACACCTGCGGCCCATATGCCTACTTTTTTCCAAAACAATCATGAATATCTCCAACTTGGTTACCCCGTGTCTACTCTTTACCAAATCTAAACGCCTAAAAACTTCTTTTAATCTGTCTAGAAAGCTAGTCTGGCTTTGTTGACAAAGGTCACTCTGATGTCGAAGCCGGCTCAAATGAGGAAAGGAGGCAATGATATTGAATAGATAATTGCACGATCACATGCGAATTTCAAAAACTCTTTTCCCCTTTTTGAAATCACTCTAACGCCGTAACTGCCAGGAGCTGTTTACGTTTGCCTCCACGCCCCTATTACTTTGAAGAGAATTACTATAGCAACTTGATCAGCCTTCCAGGAGATGTCCGAAAGTTTCAATTTCTTATACTATTCCACTTTTGTGCTACGCAAACTTCATATTCCGCCGTGTGTTCGTATCGACGGCTACTGTATCATAGATGCTCAAGTAGCTATTCACGTCCATTCTCTTTCAATCTCAGAGAAGGGGATACTTACGATGGCCTGAAAGGCTTCAGGATGCCGAGCAACTGCACGATCGCCATTTTGATAGTATTTTAGCATCGTTTTCAAGACGCTAAATTTGGCGGTATGTCATACATCACAGCCGTCTGTCCGAGATTGCTCCCCTTTCCTACATATACACCCAAGCAGAGATTCAAACAGGGCGATATTGTTGACCGATAATTCAGCTGCATGGTAGTGAGTGACTGCTGCTGCTGGTAGGCATATCGGTGGCAACCGTATGTGAATGGGTGTATTTCAGATAGTTGCCATCACTCATGCCGATCCAGTTCTCTAGGGAGGCTACGGTATCAGCTTCGGTTAGTATGCCAGTTGACAGCCAAGACAGTTCTGGAGCCCTTCGCGTCACTCAGACCCCTTGATTATCTCCTGATTACCATGCTGTTCGCTTCGCGTTACCGCTTTGGGCAGCTGAAGCTCATCGTTTCACCTGCCTAGCTGATGAGGCAAGTATTACGATGGCCGCCTCTTGGCTCGAGAGAGATGGGCGTCTCCGCTACCCACCGCTATTGGTGCTCATTAGGACACGCCTCCTTCCCTTCTCTCTACGCTTGTTCTCTAAGCTCCACTTCGCAATTGACTTGTTAGGCGATTATCTGGACCTTCGAAGTTAGGTGGTAGCACGCGGAAATTGACGGCAATCAGCTTCTTTCTTGCCGAGGGCAAAGATGGGTTAATCGATACTTTGAGCCACGGATACCAGATAAATGCACTGGAATACAAAAACCGAAGCTGTTGCCAAAAGATGGATGGGGCTCATCAGCTGGATACTGACACTCTAGTACCATCAAAAGGCTCCGAGACACACTGGCAGACGGATGTGTACATCGATGCGCGGAAGTCAGCAGATCCAGATTCGCTCTTTCTAGGATAACCGAAAAAGGCATCCAAGCAGCCTACGCCACTCCAGTGAAAGCATAGGCTACCCTCTGAGACTAAACAACTCTGTGCTACTCACGCAAGCAGCGGAGCGTGAATGACGCGCAGGTGTCGCAATACGTCGGGCAATCTCAACCGGTGTTTGCATATAGCAGATCGCCAGTGAAGGAACCTGAGCCGCTGCGGGATCGGACAGTTCCAGATTCTCTCTGATAGTTTCGGAAGTAAATGGGAATGCAGAGTGTTTGGACCCAGCTGCGGGCCCTGAAGTTGGCCACACCCCCATTAATGATGCCTACATGGATGAGGATATTTCAAACAAGGAGACCACTACATGTACGGATCTAGACACAGCAGCAGCTTCTGGGGGCTCAAACACCACCACATGTAAGAACTACACTTACACCCCTCATATCCAGATACCAAGGGAACTTGATCATGCGAATAGAGCATGAGAGGTTGGGAGTCGCCGTGATGTGTGTGGATACTTGGAATACGTGCCCGCCAACCTTGTTAGATTTACTTTTAAAAATGCTAATTGCATATAGACAACTCGTCAGAACTAAGAGGCTAAATCTACGAGCTTTTTTACAACCAAAGAAGGTGGAATAATGAAAGAAACGCCTTCAACCATTGCAGCTACGTTGCATCGACTGTCGGTTTGAGGGGGGCAGGCCACTAATGAAGGAATAGACGAGGGGAAAAAAGAAACGCTGCAGAATGTAGGACTTCATACGCTTCTACGGATGCTAGAACGGATGTGAACATCAACACAGGCGGACATGCCAAGTGATTGGTCCAAGCAAGCAGAGCCATCTGCTTTACAAAAAAACGCGGCACAGCACCGACAGGGGTCTCTGCAAGACGATAACTGCTCAGGACTGATTTCTATTAGACTTCTAGACCGGCGGTGGCGCATGCAGGTAGCCGGGCCTGCCTCCAGCAGGGGACTCATAGTATAAGCCGTTTCTGCCTGCGGAGGAAGCCGAAGTGATTGTGACTCTTGATCTCATCGCTTTCCGGGGTCTTATGAATGGATGGTGGCGGAGGACGTCCAATGACTATGACTCTAGTCAAAGCGGGTCTAGTCCGGCCTTGTGGCGCCTCCTCGCCTTGGCCGGCGGGGCTTTGATGGTTTCAACTCTGGGAGCTTATCCGGGGCCTGGAATCGAGTCATCGCTGCTGGTGCTGGTGCTATTTAAGCGGCTCGCAACCTGCGACTTGGTTTCTGCAAGCTTCCGGTAGCACAGACACGTTGTTTTGCTGCTGGCATGCCTAAGAAAAGGCAGCATCTCAAATCATTCAAGCCAACCCCGACGGCATCTCCGGCGCCTGGGGCCTCATCCAACGCAGCTGGTGAGTGTGAGCTGCAGCTCTCATGTGCCTTGTTCGTGCAGGGAGCTCTCCTGCCTGACGGAAGCTGACCGTTGCCGATCCATACGTGTAGGCAAGTCTTCTAGGAGCGTCAACGAGCTTCTGGCCAATTTGCGGCACGCCTCCCTTGGCCCAGAAGCTCCGCGACGACAACTACCCATAGTCACACCGTCTGTGCCGCCAGCCCTCAGGCAAATACTGCAGATCCCAGAGAGTCCACTCCCCGCACCCAGGCGGCAGCAGAGGCAGAGGGTTGACAACAATGGCCGCCGGCTCCCTGCCGGCCCCCCTCCCCCTCGAAGCTGGGTTACTGCCAGGAGCGGTGCTACGAGTCGTCAAGGCCAACTGCCGCGTTCGACGGTGAACCGGTGCGGTCTGGTTGATTCGACTTTGCCAGGCACTTACCTGCCAGCCTCCCGGAGTCTCATTGATATCGTCCTCAGGAGGATTGCTGCTGACTGGGACATCCATCGGGAGTTTAATCAGTACTATCTGTACGACATACCCTCACATCTCAAGTCGGCACTGATTCGGTGGATTGGGATTGCAAGCCCGGATGGCCTATCACTTGATGACTTGAAATTAATACTCATCCCTCCTGAAATCTATGAAGACGGAGAGGGCGAGGATGATGGCTCTGAGTATCATACCGCGGTTAACGCCGAGGTGAATTATCTCGACTTATCGGGCGCTTTAGGTCGCTCCTTGTCCCTCAAAGAAGTCTCTGAGCTTCTGTATCCGTCCAAGAAACAAGAGGTCCTGGGTGAACCCCAAGAATCTTGGGATGAGAGCGAGGTTACCCCAAGTCCTCCGAGAGTGCTGCTGCCAAATCTCACGCATCTATCGCTTGCTTTCGACCCACAGCTAGCCTCGGAAGCATCTTGGAAGCAGCTGCTGGCCATGTCATCGAAGCTCACCACCATCACTCATTTGAGCCTTGCTTACTGGCCCGACCCATGTCTTACTCCGCGCGCGCGTCTCTCCACCGTGACTACACCACAAGGCCAGAGCGTCGCGTACGGAGGCACAAGCTATTACTCTCATTCCATCGATCACGATTGGAGCGAGGCTCTGCTAGTTCTTAGACTGCTGAGCAAGAATCTGTACGCACTGGAGTTTCTCGATCTCACGGGATGTGCGCCGTGGTTCAAGGCTCTAATGTTGCACTCGGAGCATGATTTTGTGGACTGGGTCGGGTCCTGGGGAAAAGTGACGCTGCTTCGAATATACACGGGGTGGACGCCTGGGGAAGATGCTCTTCCTTCTGAGTGGATTGCTTACCGCGAGGCTCTCGAGGTGGCTGCCAATGTGGAGAGACATATCCGGACTGCTCGAGCAGGGAAAGGTAGAATAATTACAGTGGAGAGGAACAGGCTGGATCAATAGACGACTTGGAGGACGGCATCTCCTAGATAGAGAATGTTATTGTACTATTCTTGCTCCTACCAGGTCGAGCTAGTCAAGGAAGTTGATAAGCGCTTTTGTCTATCGAGTAGAAAAAGGAGCAGGCCTTTGATAGCGCTCTCTTTCATATAAGCGTCGCCACCGATGCGCCTATTCTTCATCCATAGTCCCACGGCTATTTGCCTCCCACAGAGCTTTAAATTTGCCGCGGCCAGGGGACTGCAACAGCTCTCGTGGCGATCCAACCTCGACAACGCGGCCCTTATCCATGACCACGACGCGGTCGAAATCGAGAATTGTCGCGAGATGATGGGCAATGGAGATGACGGTGTGGTTCTTGAAACGCGTGTTGATGGTGGTGCGGACCATTTGCTCGGTTTCCTTGTCTAAACTGTCATTGATTATTACTGTATTAGCTAGATTCCAATGGTTTGAATAAGTGACCATGAGCGTAATAATACTTACCTGCTGCTAGCCTCGTCCAGGAGCACAACTTTGCCGCAATCTTTCTTCAAAACAGCTCTTGCGAGGAAAAACAACTGCTTCTGTCCATGGCTAAGCATATCCTCTGCAAATACGGCATCAAGGCCACCGCGCGCATCGATTGCGGCCCATAGGTTCACTGCTTGGAGAGCTCCAATGACGGCACTTTCGGGATATGAGGACGAAGGATCGATATTTTGGCGTATCGTTCCAGGGAGGACAAATTGGTCTTGGGCGACGGTGATGAGACGAGAGCGGATAACTTCTCGGGAGATTGTGTTCAAGGGGATGGAATCAATAGTGAGAGTGCCAGAAGAGGGGTCGAGTAGGCGGAGGATGGTGAGAAGAAGAGACGATTTCCCACTATTACGAAATGTATTTGGCATTAGTTGCAGAAACAGGGAGCCAATAAGTGGAATAAAAGAGGTGGAAGGCCAAACATACCTTCCTGTACGCCCACATACTCCAACCTTTTCGCCAGGCTTCAAGTCCAGGGTAACGCCCTCAAGAGCCTTGATATCACCATTCTCGCCATACGACGCTTCAAGGTCACGTATGACAACATGTCCTCTACTGGGCCAGTCGGCAGGCGGCTCTTGGTCCTCTCCCAAAAGACTCTCATTGGGAGTCTCCTCTGCAAACTGCTTAATGCGAGCAACAGCCCCGATGGAAGTCTCAATAGAAGTCCAGAATTGGATGAGCATGTTGAGCGTCTCGCTCATGGAAATGAGCTGAACTAGAGAAACGCCAGCGAGTCCAACTGATACAGAGCCGCGAAGCTTGACGGCAAAACCAACAACGAGGAGGGCGAGCGCCGTGGTGATGAGATCAAGGACGAGGACAAGCCAACGCTGGACCATGATGAGGAGGTAAAATGGCTGCTGAGATCGGTCGACTAATTGGTGGTTCTTCAAGATGGCTTGCTTTTGCCATCCAAAGGCCCGGATGGTGGAAATCCCAGAGAGCGTCTCCATGAACTGCGTGTAGACGGGGGCTTTTTCTTCGAGATCGAGGAGACGGAGCTGTCGAGAGGTGCGGAGGTAGCCACGCTGGAGGAAGTAGTATAACGCGGCGAGAAAGGGGAAGCTGATGGCTACGTAGTAGGATGAAGCTGCGAGAAGGCCTGCTCGGGCGAGGACCCCGAAGAAGCCTGATTTATGGTGAGTTTAAGCGTATTGCCCGTAGACGTGTGTATAGTTGGGGGCTTTTACTAACTTGCTATTGTTATCACGAGGGCAAGTGGAAGGTTGTTGTCTAGAATGCCGATATCTTGGGAGAATCTAGTATGAGGTATGTGAGCATCCTGAAATTGTCAGAAAGTGAAAAGATTTATGTCGCCTACCTCGTAGTAATAGCTCCCAAGTCGGTTGTCGTGAAGAGCGACAATGGTGCGCTTGAAATGATGAGCTTTGGAAGATGTATCTCTGAGAAATGACCCTACCTAATGACTGCTGAGAGGAGCCTGTGGTGAAGAGATATCCCAGACTTTGCTGCGATGGCAACGAGGACGAACCTTTTGCCCGTTAGTCCTGGGATTCTTTCTTCTTCGAGGAATATGTTGACGGTTATATATATACATACCATATGAGCAAGGCAAACCAGAAGACGCCGACTATTTGCAAGACAGCGTAGACTCCGAGATATAAGCCTGATCGGTTATGCCCTTGAGCATTAGAATCCGACCAGAACTCTAGCCAAACAGCTGTTACATTTTTTTTCGTTAGCTATCAGCATCAAAAGATGGAGGAAAACCCCCCACGTTATGATTCAGCTTACTTGGAAAACTCTGTAAGAAAGCCCAGACGACTTCAAAAACAAGCAAGGCGATGATGAATACCGTCCCAATACTGCCAAAATAGTACTTGTAGACCGTCGAGTCTCCCGTCTGCCTCCGCTTATCGTCCTTGACTTCAACTTGCTTCGCTTTATATTCCACTTTTGGCACAGAGGCTTCCGCTGCAGACTCGGAGATTATCTCATCCTGGTGAGCATCAGTAACAGAGACGATGGACGTATTTCCCATTAAATTCTGGACGTATCCATGCGAGATCAAGAGCCTTTCGAAAGATCCCTGCTCCGTAATCTTGCCTTGGCGGCCTAGAGCGATGACGTGGTCTGCGGATGGGAGGAAGTCGACTTGAACGACCACATTAGCATATAGTGTTTTTGACGAGGCAGCAAAGTTGTTACAGACCTGATTGCGTAGCCAAAAGAATAGTCGTCTTCCATTTTCTCAGCAGCCCCGTATTGGAGGAGAACAAATTGTTGAAGATGCGTTGCGAGGTGGCATTGTCTAAGCCGCTAAAGATGTCGTCAAATAGAGCGATTTGCGGTCGAGAATAGACGGCTCTAGCCAGCGCCTTGTATAAGAAAAACCGCAGAATTAGATGTCATTATTTTCAGTTTCAGGAAGTTATTTTAGACTAACTCACCACACGTTGCTTTTGGCCACCACTAAGAGCAAGTCCCTTGCTACCCACAACGGTAAAGTCACCTTGAGGGAGCTGCCCAAAGTCTTGTTCAAGCTCGCACGCTTGAACAGTTTGGTCATAGAGGTCTTGGTCAAAGTGGGAGTATCCTATGATGTTATCTCGGATCGTTTGATTCTAAACATGTTCAACATTTTTCATTCTTCATGGGAAAATCGGGCGTTGTTTACCATGATCCAAGGAGTTTGTTCACACCAAGAAAGAGAGCCTCTGGCCATGTAGACTTTTCCTTTGGAATGAGGTACCTCTCCCAGGAGACCTTTTAACAATGTCGTCTTGCCAGATGCAATGGGGCCGATTAAGAGAGTAAACTGGCCGCTGCTAAGAGAAAAGGTGACGTTGCTCAGAACAGATCGATCTTGCGACCAGTCAAATGTAGCATCCTCAACGTCAATAACGGCTGTCAAGTTGTGAGAAATATTTGACAAAGCATCATGAGAAGCAAGAGGTCCAAGGGCCTGAAGTTGGATCAGACCACCTTCTTCACCAACTCCCGCAGCTGAGTTGGCAATATTGGCCACTTCCATCATCCGATACTCATCGCGGGTAGACTTGACCAAGAAGCTTTGAATGCGATCAAAAGCACCAAAAGCGGCACTCAGATTAAGAATCACCTCAAAAATCCAAAACAGAGGCTGTGCGGATAGCGTAATAAGCGACAGCGCAGCAAACATCCTCGTCGGGTCGAGTACTTGGCCTGTTGCTGCTGTAACGCCCTGGAACATGGCAAAGGCAAGGACTGGGGATAAGAGCAGCGGCACTTGCGCAACCGAAGATGTCACAGCCCCAACTACTCTAAAGGGCTTGGATGCGGCGATTTCTTGGACGCGAAGAGCGGCAATGGTGTCGGATAGATGCTTGGAGAGGCCGGACATTTTGATGCTCTTGATGTGGCCAATCATGGCAGAAGTGATGCCTGAAGAATGTTAGAAGCTGATGCATACAAATAGAAAGCGCAGAAAGGAGGAAAGACAAGTGATGACAACGTTGCCGAGAAAACTTACCAACTCGCTTTTGAGTCATTTCGAGCCACCCAACGCGATACTTTTTGGCAAGAGGCGAAACAAGCATAGTCGCTACCAACGAGATGGCAGATACGATGATAGGCCCCGCTGCCGCATATCCAATCTGTTGGCTCAAGAGCCACGTCGCAATGGCAATTTGGATGATATTGGCCCAGAATTCGTGAATCTCTCTCATAGCACGGACAATGACATCGACCTATTGCACCAACAAATTAAAAGGTTATCATCTTCCACACGTCTCAAGAAGGCAAGTAAAAGACGGATATCAGCAAATGGCAACTTACATCAGAAGACATGAGAGTCAAGGCAGCAGAATCGTCAATCGCAACGACGCTCACTTGCGTGACCTTGGAAAACACGGCCGAAACGAGGATCCCTCGGAGCATCGTCACGCACCGGCCGTTTTGATGCCAGTAAAGAGCCTGCGTGGCCGCAATGCCCGTGTACACGAGCCCATAGGCGCCAACGAGCCCGTAGCCAATCTTGACAGACTGCGACTCGTCGTTGAGAAAGCCGAGGAAGCGGGTCAGGACCAGGGGCTGGCAGATGGTAAAAGCGAGCAGGGCAAGGCGTGGGACAAGGACGGCGAAGAGAGCAGAGCGCAGGGTAGCGATGCAGCATAAAACGAGACGATGCTTGCTCGCCTGGGTTGAGGGAGATGCTGGATAGAGAGCGGATATCCCATCGAGTTAGTAAAGGTTGATGGGCTCGACAAGGCTTCAGCTCTACTGAGCCTTCTACGGTCTTGTATTTAAATTGGTTTATATTGTATTGTATTCTTTTACGACTATCTAATGGGGATTGTGAAGGGCAAAAGAGAAAACACCAACCTTTGCGCCAGTGCCACCAAAACCTCTCGCTCAAGCTCGAGACGCTCATCGCCTCGTCCAGCGGGAACAAGTCCGCCGGCCGCAGCAGACGCCGGAAGCCCGTCCGGAGGAGTGGAGCGACCCACGCGAAGACGGCCCGGCTGTACAGCCCGGACGTCTCTTCCGGAGCGAGCGTCGGCCGGCCAACAACGTGGCTCGCCTTTTCTCGCGCCTCGAGCACCAGGAGTGCCGTCTTGAGCGCAAAAGACGCTGTGAGAACAGCCTGGATGGCCGTCGCAGAGAGGGCGATCCACACGGTGCGCAGGACAGCAGCATCAAGCAGCAGAGACGCGAGCAGGAAGAGATTCAAGAGCGACGAGGGGTGGAGGGATCTGGCATGTTCATAATACGAGAGGGCGCAGGCCACGAGGCTGGAGATGAAGGAGATACTTGCCGCGGCAACGGACACGCTGTTGAGACGGGCCGGTCCATGGTGAGTTGCCCAGAGCGCGATGAGGACCAGCTGCAGAGTAGCGAGGCAGCCCGTGACGGACTGTAGAGCAAAGAGGAGGGGAGAGAGGCAATGAGTTTCTGTCTTGATGCCCTTGTGGGAGCGACTCTGGCGGTTAGGCGACTTACCAGCTTGATCATGCGCGACGCATAGCCAGCCACTTTGACCGGCGACTTGCGCAGCTGAACAAGTCGCAGCGGCGCCATGAGGACGAGCATCGCAGCGGGCAGAAGCACAAAGACGGACTGCTCAAAGACGAGGGTCAAGTCGAAGCCATCGCGACAGGCGGCGTCGACGACAGGGCCAAAGGCAGCGTCTGCGGTGGGAGCGCAGAGGGGGGTGGAAGATGTATTCATGACGGGGCAAGAACAAATTTTTTTTTTTTCACTTGGATTCAAAAGGATGGAGGTGAAGATGAAGAAAAACAAAGGCGGGATGGAGGACATGGGGATGAGCTGCTTTTAAGCGCGTTAGTTGGACCTAAATGGGGTTGAAGGATTGCTGGCTAAATATTATCAGCTATCATCTCGGCCAAGATACTAAAAAGGCCGAGCCACATTATTGTGCTACACCCAATACGCGGTAGTAGCAAAGATCTTTTGTCGAGACATGGCCCAGATTACCTGCCATTTCAGGCAATGGCTTTGATATCGTTTCAGAGAGTTGCGAGATACCACCAAATGGCATGCTACGTATTTACGCGTTCCTTTAGTATGTAGCCAGTGCAAGAAGCTTAATTTAACGCCAAGACCGTCTGTCCTCGGACTTTTACAAGATAAACAATCAGTATTGGAATCAGCAGCCTTTGGCAGTTGGTTTTGAAGCAAACTATTCTGCCGCTGTCTACGTCGCCCCTTACAGCAGCTGAATTATACCTCCAGCAGTGTCTGCCTAGCTCTATACGCGCGTTTTCAGCCGCATAGAATCAGCCTCACTTGTAGACTGGTCCGGCGCCAACCGTACCGAGGCAAACCGATTTGTAGCAGAAAACCAATCTACAACATCATATACACACAGTATGGTAACTATCAGCGTCAGAAAGAAAAGAAAAGAAAAGAAAAGAAAAGAAAAGAAAAGAATATCCATGTGTTTTTTAAAAGATTATTCCATGATTTCTTTACGCTCTATGGCAATCTATCCTGCAGGTGCTTTCGCTAGCAACGTTGCGTCTTGATTCCGTGTGAAAATCCGCCGTGCATGAATCCCTTGTTTCGCCAAATTCATGATATTAAGGCGATTTACTCGGGAGTCTTGTTGGCGTCAAACTCGTACTTGACCTTGAGCTCCTCGACCAGCTCGACGTACTTCTTCTGGGCCTCGGCGGGGTCGGTGATGCCCTCCTCCTCGTAGGCGGCCTCCCAGGCCTTCCACTTGGCGCGGGCCTGCAGTAAGATGAAAGAGTTAGCATTAGATATAGGAATGGAACAAGGTGGAAAGATATGAGTTGCTGTTTGCGCAACGTACCTCGAAGGAGAACCGTGAAGGCTCGTCAGACTTCTTGAACTCGAAGCCCTTGCCAATCTTGAAAAGAGCTGTAAGCGAAACAGATGAATCAGCACAAGGTCCCCCATTTGCATCTTTGCGCATTTCTGCGTTACATTTTCCACATCGCGACAAAGGCGCCCGCCATCTTTTCCAACCGATTCCAAAGGAAAGGGAAATCATCGCATACCGTAGAGGCGCAAAAGGTCGTCGTTGCTAGGCTTCTTGGTCAACTGCTTGACCTCGACCAGGGCCTTGGTAAATTCGGGAGACTCGGGAGCCGACATGATTGAAAAGTGATTAATTTCTTTTTCTCGGTGTATGATCTAAAAAAAAGAGAAAGAAGAAAGGCTATGGCACGATTCAAGAAAAAGAAAGCTCGCCTTGGTCGTAGCTCAGCGGGGTAAGGCCAATGAAGCTAGCAGTCTAAAGGGGGGAAACGCCCAAAAGGAGGGGCAGATGACGAGCATGAACCGGTTTTGTTGAGACGCGCGATTGGCCTGGCTGAAGCACAGAACAGACAGAATCACATGTCGGATGCATCAGCTGCAGTTCCTGATGACGGTGAGACGCAGTGTTGTAGAATTACAGAGCAATGCAGTAAATTACAAGCTGATTACTGCAAGAGAATACAAGCTTTTTGCTTGGACGTCTCTTGGTTCAAAGCCAACTGCAACTTCATTTGATTACCTGCATTCCCAGTCTATGCATGTACACTTCCAAAAACAGATATATACCTACCTACCTGTCCCTACATCTGCAAACCATTATCAACCAATCTCGCTATCTGGTTCACGCTCACAAAGAAAAGAAAAGAAACACCCAAAATAGTTTTCCTCCATATAGAATCTGCCCATGTCTTCTCTCTCTCTCCATCCACCGTCTCGTTTAGCCCCTCTTCTCATCTTCAATCTCCCTCTGCAGCTGCTCCAGGATCTGCTCGCGAGACCGCAAGTGAGCTTCTAGGCCATCCACCTGCTCACGCACCGTCTCCAAATCATCCGAGATGCTCTTCAGGTTTCCGCCCACGGCGCTCTTGCCCTTGCCCTCTTCCAAGTCTCTCAGCTCCCGTCGCTTGTAGTCCAAGAGCTGATCCAACTCCTTCTTGACCAGGGCCGGCTTAGTATCGCGCTTCCCGCCCTTGCGCCTCTCTGCAATCTCTTCCACCTTTCGCATCTTATCATCCAAATCCTGCAGCTGGCGCCTGAGTCTGACTTCCTCCCAGTCTTCCGTCTTCTCCGTCGAAAAGTCGGTGCCCGCTGTCTTGAAGCCGCTGCGTCCGAGTCTTGTCAAGTACTGGTCGCCAAACTTGGCCTTCTTACCCGTCGTTGTAGAATCATCCGCCCTCGTAGCCCATCGGGATGAGACTCCTGTCCTTTGGTTGTCAACCTGGTAATCGATCTGGTTGCGCTCAAAGCTTGATCGCAGTGAGGCAGGTACTGTGCGAGGAATGCGGTATCCGTCGTGTCGATTGTTGAGAATATGCAGGAATGCAAGACATGCGTCCTTGTTGATGCTTGAGGAAGCAGAGGGGTTGATGAGGTTCCAAGCAGATCGAATGTCTGTATCGGGGACGTCTAGGGAATCGTAAAGATCCTCAAGGGATGCGACTGCACTCGGGTTAATATCTGGCGCGGCTCATTTTGGCAAAGGCCACAAAGGGGTAATCTAACATGCTACTTCTCCTCGCATATCCCGATTCTCTTGGTAGATCTGCTCGTATTTGGCCTTGTCTGCGGGCTTCATATACCACTCAAACCCATCTTTCAGGCCGGGGGTATCGTCCTCGTCTTCGACTTGCTCAAATTGCGGCTGCTTCCCTGTGATGGCTTTGGTTGCTTGCACCAGATGGGCCTTCGATTCCGGGATCATCCAGTCGGGCAGAGTCTTTGGTACGTCGGCATATTCCTGGCAAACGCGGAATTATCATTAGTTGTCTAGCCCTGACCATTGAGAGCGCGTCTCTGGATATTTTGGGAGGGTAGATGGCTTACTCCGTTTAGAATATCAAAAATGAGTCGCATAGCCACGCAAAACTCCTCAAAGTCCAGGTTTCCATCGTTGTCCACGTCCGCCAAATCCCACACCCTTTCTAGCTGGTCATCGCGGAGGCCACTGTTCTTGAGCACGGGCGCAGCCTGTTCTCCCGTAAGGAACTGTCCGCCGCCTGTTCTGTCGGAAAAGATATTCCAGTATGTCTCGATTTCCTTCTGCTCAATCTTGGGAGGCATCGTCTCTGGAGCTCTCGGATCGATCCGAGGAGTGCCGCCTTGGGGGGTGTTTGGTTGGAATCAGCTCTCAAAGCTCGATCTGCAGTCGCCGGGCGCAACTGAAAAAGGCGCAAAGAAAAAGACCAGACGCCAAACAGAGCACCAAGAAATCGCGAAAGCGCAAAGACAGCCGCAAGGCACGAGAGTGAGCGAACGGGTGCGAGAACCAGGAGTCGCAAGCGAGTGACGAAGCTACGGATATTGGCGATGCCCAGTACGGAGACCGTAGAGTGTACATGCGCCTTGTACCTGGCCGCTATGGAATGGGACGGGGTACAGTACATGTGCCTGTGCCCGGATTGGCGGAGCCTAGGGCCTCGCTTTGCGGCTATGCGAAGATGAATACAGGGGACCATGGTGGCGCTACACTATCAGCCTATGCTCGTTCCGTGCTTGGCCATTGCAGAAAGGGTCAGTCTGGCTCTGGGAACGAAATTTTATAGTTTGCCGCCGCTCAAATCAGGTACCTACATATTCCGATAGCCCAAAACGACGAGTTGGGTCCATACCTCGCTATTGATCAGTGACACAAGATATGTTTCATAAGCGTATAAGAGGCCTACTTGCATATCCTTTGATAAGCCGTCGCGCCTCTACAGGTCGATCATTTGAACTGGCCAATCACAGCCGCTCAATTTTCTCTGCGCCCCACGCGACAGCCCAAGAAGGGGGAAAAGGTCCAGGGTCCATCCAGTTAGAGGGGCGTCCATTTTCTTTTCACATTGTCGGAGACATTGTCAGTTGGGGATTTGTTGCCGGGGCATAATTTCATACCAGTATTTAAGCTTGATACCCAATCGCCACGCACGAGACTCGAGTGGCCATTCTTTTTTTCGATTCAACGGCGTCTTTGACTTCTTCTTCCTTTTCTATAAATACGATCGGTACATCTCAAACAATTGAGCAGCAATGTCGACAACCACCACCACCACTACGACAGCCCAGCCGATTACGGCTGAAGCCATGCTTCGTCTCTTCCCAGACATCGACACCACCAGCGAGGCACTGACGGGCCACGACGAGGAGCAAATCCGCCTGATGGACGAGGTCTGCATCGTCACGGACGAAAACGATGCGCCCATTGGCACTGCGAGCAAGAAGATTTGTACGAAACATGCCTCTCTTCCCCCTGGAATCGTGAAATGGCGGGGCATGGCCATGGCAGTTCTGTCGGCTAACAACACGACGTCTTCAACATATAGGCCACTTGATGACCAACATCGACAAGGGCCTCTTGCACCGTGCCTTTTCCGTCTTCCTCTTCAACGACAAGAACGAGCTGCTGCTCCAGCAGCGCGCCACTGAGAAGATTACGTTCCCCGACATGTGGACCAACACCTGCTGCTCGCACCCTCTGAGCATTCCCACCGAGACTGGCGCAAACCTGGTCGACTCCATCGCTGGAGCGAAGCGTGCTGCCCAGCGCAAGCTGGAGCACGAGCTGGGCATCAACAAGGAGCAGGTGCCCTTTGAGGATTTCCACTTCCTGACCCGAATCCACTACAAGGCTCCTAGCGACGGCAAATGGGGCGAGCACGAGAGTACGAGATTTGAACAACTCCCTAGACCTCGAATTAGGACCCTAAGCTAACGGTGAACTCTTGTACCAGTTGACTACATCCTCTTCATCAAGGCCAACGTCGACCTCAACATCAACGAGAACGAGGTGCAGGCCGTTCAATACGTCTCCCCCGAGAGCCTCAAGAAGCAGTTTGAAGACCCCAGCCTCAAGTTCACTCCCTGGTTCAAGCTGATCTGCAACTCGATGCTCTTCCAGTGGTGGGAGAGCTTAGACTCTGGTCTGGACAAGTACACCAACGAGCAGGAGATTCGACGCATGCTGTGAGTCTCCAGGTTTAATTAACAAGAATACGAATACGATGTAAGAGGGAACGTAATGTGGATGAGCGAGCGAATGCGGCACAATGTGTGTTTGCCCTCAAGGAAGACGACGATACAAATGATGGAAGCTACTGGGGTTCAATATACGGCTAGATTTGCTTGTGTCTGTTGAGAATCTTTACTAGAGTATTTCCTAGAGCAAAGTTAGATGCGGGAGCGTCATACATGTAATCAAGATATCAATACGCGAATCAGTGCAGATGGCATCAGATGAATTACGTGGCATCGACGCAGTTGCAGGGAATCTCTTTGTGAAACTCGAAAGTTTGAGATTTGTTACACGCAGGTGGCTTATAGATCGTTGTCGTACTCGTATCGGAATTCGTATACCTTGGTGACTTGATTCAAGTCGTGAGCTACCCTAAAGATGTGTATGAAACTTGTGTGTTTTGCCACAGACAGTGCAGATATTATTAGAATTCAATAAGAAAAGGGTAAAGATGGACTAAAATGAGGCAATCTAGCTGAATTGACATTTAATTTGAAAACCTACATAATAACTACCTAACTAGTCAGGTTGAATGCGCTCACCAAGTTGTAGCTTCTTCTGTCAACTCCAATATTGCAATACCAAGACCAGCCAGATACTGCTCCCATGCTCCATCAAATGTACAGCCGCTAGACTTGTGTATTTAATTGCATCTAATTCTAACAAGATACCAAACCATGATTCCTACCTGTAGCAACCAAGCATTAAATCCCAGGTCAGAATGCAAATGCGGAACCCCGTACAATAGAGTTGTTCACATGCAAATCCTACTCATGTGAGCGCCGTTCCCGCAGCGCTATTATATAACAAGAACGCCAATGATTGAATGCAATTCACTCTTAGGCTATTATGGAACAACAATGCAAAACGTTAGTTCATCTTCATTACCCCAGAAGCCTCCCCGCAAAACGTATGCCGAATCTGGCATCTCATCATCAGCAACACGTCTGGCACGAGACCCGGCACGAGACTTGACGCGCATGCTTGGTCGTCCCATTGTCTCCGTTTTATTGGGAGATAGGGAAGACGAGAATTGATGTAGATGCAGCCAACCAGCCGTGTCTTAATCCCCCACGCCCTCCAGCAACTTACATACACTTTACATAATGGGAGCGTATTGACTGATGAACAAAAGTTTCAAGTTCCCATCATATCAATTCCCTAGCCACTGATGCATCTTGTCATGAAAGTCTAAAACGCCCGATGAATAGTCACAGCTGACATCCAGATATTTCGGTCAACTTTCCATGCCTCAGGACCTATCTATCCATCTCCATCGTCTCTCTCTCCATAGCGGCTGTCCTTTTCCCGGGGGAGGCTTCAGGCGGCCCCATCCACCAACTGCTAGCGCTGAGGCCCGCTGTAGGGCGCGCGGGGCCGCTGGTCCTCCGCCAAATCCAGCCTAAGCTCGCCGGCAGACTCCGCACTCGATGATATGGGCGTCAACGGCGGAGAGGTGCGAGATAGCAGCCTGTTGCGGTTAGGCTTGGGGGTTCAAGAGAAGGGATCTAGATAACGGATTGCTGGGTGGATGGAGCAGGTCTCTACAGTATGTGCCAGTGCGTACGGTATACCTGTATCTGACTGTAACTGATGCCGATGGATGGATGTATCCCGCTGTAGTTCCGGGCTGTGTTGTCTCTTGTACAAGACACCATCGACAAGACCAGTATCAACATCAACTCGAAGCAACTGGAACCATCTCAATCAAAAACCCGAGCCTCCGCCGGCCACACCGTCAAGCCCATCCGACCGAGGCGGCGTATCATCTGACCCCAAGCCTGACCTCGGCGGTCCGCCAATCGTGGATCCCCTCAGCCAAACTCGGCCAACCAAAGCGTGGGGAGCCGTCCACACGCCAGACATCTTGGCTCCCATTACTTGCTGCTTTCTTATCTCTTTTGTTTTTTTCTTGGGCGAGTTGCCGCGTTCCGGTGTCATCGGAGCCTTGCTCCTCCCGTATCAATTGCCATGGCTTCGCTAGCGGCCGCAGAGACAAGCAATTTAGTGGTGTTGGTCGTAATAGATATTGATCCCAGCTCTTCGTGGTTTGCGTGTGTGTTAGTCCGTAAAAAACGACGATTTGGCAGCAGGGTGCAGATCCGTGTCAGATCCCTACAAAACCCCCATCTCGGTAGACAAGTGACCCCTTCTTTTCTCTTCCCTTTGCACCTCTTGCTTCACCTGGGGATTTTCTTTCTTCGATCTGATCTAATTCCGATCTGGTAAAACAATCTGCCTACAACGACAGCATATCGCCAAGAATAGCAACACTGAAGAACCCCCTGCTGGACACAAGACTAACAAGGAAATAACAAGAAAGGCTGAAAAGGACGGGGAAGGGAAAAGAGAAAGACTCAAAACTGGGCCTAGGTCATCCATACTCAGGGCTTGGGAACGAGGCTATCCTTTTTGTATTCCCCTCTTTGGATCTTGTGTTGGAACAAGTCGCTGCTCTTGACGCACTCTATTCTGACTATTGGTCAACATCATCGCTGCTTTCATTGTGGTCTCCGTCTCCATTCTTCACCCTCTGCATAGACGATATCCATCTGTCGTCGTCAGTGAAGTGATTGATTGCTTGACTGGTTATTCATAACAACACACGCACCGTCATCGCTCTCCATCTTTCTCAAAGCCCAACAACTACTGCAACAAACGCCATACTTTGCCCAGCGCATCTTGTTTAATTCATCTCATTTTTTTCCCCTCTACCCTCTCTCCTTCTATACCCCAAACATCTTCACATTTAAACGGTCCTGGGGCCTTAAAATCCACATTGATGTCGGTTGACCTACGCGACTGCTTAAACTGCCTGCAACACCCTTCCAGGTTTATGCCCATCTCGAGATCACAACTCTCAAGTGTCCATACCGGCGATAGTGCCCATAATATAATACGTGAGTCCAACTCGTACAGAGTCCCCGTCTGCATCAATTCATGATCATTACTAAACTAGGCGCCTCTTTTGATGCGGTTTCGACTCGTACAGGAAGTATTGAGTGAATGGAAAGGTTGAAATCATCAACTCCAAGAATAATAAAAGACAAGTCAAATAAAAAAAAAGAAAACAAGAAAGCTACATTATCAACACCTTTAGCCCAACATGGCGCACGTTATAAGCAAAACCGCCGTTGATACCATCACGACCACCGCCTCCACCGCCATCGCAACAGCCATTGTGGACCGCCGCCGCTCTCTCGTCCCTCAGTCGTGGGAGAAATCCGTCCGCAAGATTGGCCTGACTGAGTGCGAGCAGGCGGGCGTCTCTCTCGCCCACGCCTTTGCCGCCGATGCCTTGAGCATGTATCTCCTCGACGGCGACGAAACGGATCGTTACTCGGACGAGACCAAATGGAAGCTCCATGTCCACATCATGACGTATCTGGTGTCCGCCCATTGCTACAGCGGCCTCGTCACAACCATTGGCCCGGATTATGATTGCGTGGCCTTGTGGTGAGTTCCCGTCTTCTACTCTTGTTGCGGGGGGGATATATCGTGTTGATGAACTCGCTCTAGGATGCCTCCTGGGATGCACATGGATGGCTGGTGGACCATCTTCCGGAGCGGCATGTGGCGCCTCTACTACCAGCTTGGCTCAGAGGGCCGCAAGCGCTATTATGAAGATGTGCTGCCTCTCCTGCACGAGACAATGGACGAAGTCATGGGAGACCGCGAGTACTATTACCTTGCTTATATTGGAACCAAGCCCAGCGCCAGGGGCAAGGGCTATGCCAAGAAGCTCATCATGGACATGGCGGCAAAGGTAAGCGGCATCTCTATATGCAAAGAGAAAGACGAGACTGATGAGTTGACCATTCCACACAGGCTGATGCCGAGAACCGCGCCATGTACCTCGAATCCAGCTCCAGCGACAACATCAGCTACTACGAGCGCTTCGGCTTCAAGTACCGCAAGGAAATCTCCTTCAAGAGAGGGCCGGTGCCTGTGCCGCTGTTCATCATGGTGCGCGAGCCAGTAGCCGTAGCCGCCAAAGCAGTCGAAGAAGCAGTGCCAACGCTGGACCAGATTGAGACTGTCAAAGTCTAATGTCTGCGATTGAAGTTGGCTACTTCAACTTTGTTTGGTATGGAGAATTTGAAGATTGACAAGATTGACAAGATTGTTGATAAGCTTGAACCCCCTTTCTGTTTCGTTCTCTCCTTCACAAGACTCTTTTTGATTTTGAAAGTTGCGTGGCTTGAACATCGATTGCCCAGTCGCTCATTAACATCATGCGTTCAAGTAAGCTTGAGTTTGGACAGATTTTGTATTTTATCCTTCGTTCGTTATGCTTGTTGCTGTTTTTTTTTTCATCCTATTTAGTGAGATACCTTTTTCAACTCACTTGACCAAGTCCTGTCTCTACCATACACTAGGTATTATATATCAAAAAAAAAAAAAAAGATTTTTGCGTCGGTGTCAAACTGCTCTTAGTAATCTAAAATGGCCCATGTCTCGTCATCCACAGTTGTATATATCAGGCCCTGTCCCAAAAGCTCGTCTGCCGCAGTGATGACTTCCCGCATTCCCAGGCCCGTGCTTGCCGTGATGTTGCTCAGATGCATTCCGTCGTTGCCTCCAGGTGTGTCGTTCAAGTAGGTGTATACTCTCTTGGCAACAGTGCTGCATCCAGAGAGCTTGCTGGGGAGCTGGGCGCCGCCAGCACCAGCATTGAAGCCGTCGCCGCCGTCAACGAACATGCTATCTCCGTTGGCGTTTGCTCCCGCGCCGGCAGGGCCCCGGGTGTTTACTAGATGCACGTAGGTTGCCTCCAGCAGGTGGTAGTTGACCTCGTTGAAGTCTGTGACTGGCCGGATGACGTGGGCTCCAACGTGTCGCTTATTGGAAAAGGATTTCAGGCGGCCCCATACGCGGATGTGTGAATCAATCTCGAAGCCGGGTTCTGCGTCGCCTTGCTTGTCTGCGTCGATCCACTTCTTGACGTCAATCTGCCCTGTGCCGTCGTCGACCCGGATTGTCAGGTTGGTCTGCTGTGGGTTTATGCTGCGGACTTGGCCGACGAATGTGATTTGTGTGATGGGAGTGCCGTCCACTTTGAACTCTGCACCCGAGTACGGCTCTTCCGCGTCGAGGATTTGCTTGATTGTCAAGGGTCGTAATGATTCATCTTGGTATGACTTTTGGTTGAAACACGTCAGCTTTGAGCTCTCTTGGATATACGCGGCATCAAACGAGGAATCGCTGAGCTGACCTTGCCGCCACCACCTTGGCTGCCTTGCTGTGAACCCCCTCCAGCGAAGAAGCCGCCAGAATCATCGCCGCCTTGGGCGCCGTAGCTAGTTTTGGAGTATCCGTCGTAGGCAGCTGCAGATGAGAGATGAGCACAAAACAGCTAGAATTACACACGGGGCTTGCCTTACACATTATGGCGACAGTGATGTGGTCAACGCTGGCTTTTCTCAAAAGTGGGAGACGCGTTTGAAGCGCGCCTTGTTTAATGGATTTTGCCCCGCGACAAGCTAGGCACGAGCGTGAGCACGAGCGTGAGCACGACCAGCGGGCTGACTCAGCAGCTGAATCCAGGCACCGCGCCTTTACATGACTTTACGACGAGTACATGCATCGTTGGCCTTTACTCTCTTCCATTTGCATTATTCAAAGTTGTCCAAAATGCACGTGGCTTGTTTGTAATCAGATACTTGCTCAGATTCGAGATGCGTAGAATAATCTCAATCTGGAAGTTGGAGATGTTTACCCTCGGTACGACGTAGGTACGTACATGGCGCATGCACGGCTCACTCACTGTAATACATACATGCAAGGCACTCACTGTAAACACCACATTCGATGAAATGCTTGCTTTCAAGATCCATGCCCCAAGACACAATTGATCCTTCTTACATCCTTCCTTTTCTAAAGCTTGTCATCTACGTGGCTTATATCAATCAACACCACCTCAATCGCCACCGTCACAAGATTCCCGCACGGCATCTCCAACGGCGCCGGCCAATAAGCGCTCCGCATCTTCAGCCTCGGCAAGAATTCCAGCCGGGGGTCGCATAATAGCCTGCCTGACTCGAACTGGGTGGCCGGCAACGCTGCGCTGCCAATCCAAACCACGGAGCATGATCGCATAAGCCGGGGTTGACATCAACAACAGAAAGCGCCCTTCCACCGTCTTCTACACAAGTCTCCCCACGGCGATCAATCAATACCCGGGCCATTGTCTTTTAATCTTGCATCTTCTTCTCTTGATCTGCTTGCCACGTTCATAGCGATAGCGTTGCGTTGACTTGCTGCTGTGTTTCTGCGCCCCCATCAACACCAACACCAACCCCAACATCACCACCACGCCATCGTCGCTTTCGCATCGCATACGCCATGGGGAGATCCCAGACCGCGACCCTCCCGCTGATTCCCCTCCCTCGCGGGACTGTCCTGCTCCCGGGCCTCGCCTACCGCGTCACCGTGAACTCCAGCCGGCCCGACCTGCCGGCCCTTCTCGCCTACGTCTACGAGCTCGCCGCATCAAAGGGCCCGGATGGCCGCATCGACTCCATCCCGATAGCGTGTGTGCCCGTGTCTTCCCCGCTGGTCGGCCCGGACGGCCAGCTCCTCATCACCAACGGCGAGGACCCGGAGAGCGCCCGCGTCGACTCGATCAACCCGGGCACCGCAAACAAGGACGATTTGTTTGGCTTTGGCGTTGCTGCCAAGATCGTCGGCATCGATGGACGCGGGTCCGGCGAGTTCGCGCTGCGGGTGGAGGGCACAAGTAGGATCAGACTGGACGCAATAGTTCGCGAGCGTCCCTTCTTCGAGGCCAAAGCAACTTACTATGAAGACGAAGGTAGGCTGTCTCATCTTTTACTAGAATCCCTTTGTCTGTTCGGCTTGAGCTTTGGGTTTCTGATCTCAATTCGCTTTTACCAGTCAATGTCACCGATAAGCAGCTGCAAGACTTGTTCACCCTGCTAAAGATGCGCTCAAGAGAGCTGGTCACGATTCTACGCATCTCGTCATTGCTCCCGCGCACAGGCGGCCCTGCTCTCTCACCCGCCGTCACAAAACGATTAGAGATGCTCATAATCAGAAGGGAGTTGAAGGAGGCTGGACTGCTGGCTGATTTCATGGCCAACCTTCTCGATGGCACCCATGAAGAAAAGCTCGGCATCCTAGCCGCCCTGGATATCAAGGTTAGGCTCACCAAGGTCATCGAGCTCTTGGAGCGCCAGGTTGGCGGCATCAAGAACAACTTCAAGATTACTACATTCACAACAGTCCCGGTCCAGATCATCGATCGGCTAAACGAGAACCCTACTAGGAGGCCAAATACGATGCCTCCAATGGCGGGCATGGGGCTTCTACCACCTCCAGGAGGGAGTGACCAAAACGAGGACCAAGACGCCAACGAGCTTGACGAACTCAAGAAGAAACTGCAGGCAGCAAAGTTACCGCAAGAAGCCTCCAAGTCTGTGGATAGAGAACTGCGCCGGCTGCAGAGAATGCCGCCCATGAATCAAGAATATCAGGTTACAAGGAACTGGTTGGAGACGATATCTGAAATCCCATGGACCGCGGCCACAAATGATCGACTCGGAGCTGATACGCTGACCAAAGCTCGGCAGCAGCTCGATCTCGACCACTATGGCCTGGATAAAGTCAAGAGAAGGCTCATCGAGTACCTGGCTGTCTTGAGGCTGAAGCAGTCCATCAGTGACGACATGGATGAGCAGATTCGCAAGGCAGAAGCCGATGCCGCCGTTGCTGAAAAGGCAATCACCGACGGCAAGAGCAGCAGCGACACCGCCCAGATAGCAGAAGACGTTGCTCAAAACGACGCCAGCCGACAAGAGGCGTCCGAATCCGAACTCGCCAAGCTCCAGGTGCTCAAGTCCAAGCGCACAGTCGACAAGTCGCCCATCATGCTCCTCATCGGACCCCCCGGCGTAGGAAAGACCAGCCTGGCCAAATCGGTTGCAACTGCTCTGGGCCGCAAGTTCCACCGCATCTCCTTGGGCGGTGTCAGAGACGAAGCTGAAATCCGTGGCCACAGGAGGACCTACGTGGCGGCCATGCCCGGGCTCATCGTGCAAGGGCTTAGAAAGGTCGGTGTGGCGAATCCAGTCTTTCTGCTCGACGAGATTGACAAGATTGGCACGGCGAGTGTACACGGCGATCCCTCGGCCGCCATGCTCGAGGTTCTAGACCCGGAGCAGAACCACAACTTCCAGGACCACTACGTCGGCATGCCGGTCGATCTGTCCAAGGTCCTCTTCATCGCCACCGCCAACAGCCTGGACACCATCCCCGGTCCTCTGTTGGACCGCATGGAGATGATCTATCTTCCTGGCTACACCACGCTTGAGAAGCGCCACATTGCCATCCAGCATCTGATCCCCAAGCAGCTCCGGTCCAACGGACTGGCGGATGACCAGGTCGAGTTCAGCCAAGAGGTGGTGTCCAAAATCATCGAGTCGTACACCCGTGAGTCAGGGGTTCGCAATCTGGAACGTGAAATTGGCTCTGTATGTCGTGCCAAGGCTGTCGAGTACGCAGAGGCGAGAGACAATGGCGCCCTGGAGACGTACCGGCCGCAGCTCACGCTTGACGACATTGAGCAGATTTTGGGCATTGAAAAGTATGAAGAGGAAATCGCCGAGAAGACTAGTCGTCCGGGCATTGTAACGGGACTTGTGGCCTACAGCACCGGTGGCAACGGCAGCATCCTCTTCATCGAAGTTGCTGACATGCCCGGCAATGGACGAGTACAGCTTACGGGCAAGCTGGGCGACGTTCTCAAGGAGAGTGTTGAAGTTGCCCTCACCTGGGTCAAAGCCCATGCCTATGAACTGAGCCTTACCTCTGATCCACACGTTGATATCATGAAGGATCGCAGTATTCACGTCCACTGCCCTTCGGGAGCTATTCCCAAGGATGGGCCCAGCAGTGGTATCGGCCAAGCCATTGCCTTGATCTCACTATTCTCTGGCAAGCCAGTGCCACCTACAATGGCTATGACGGTACGCTCCCCCCCCCCCCCCCCCCTTCATCGTTACCAAAATCAAAGCAATTTCTGCTCAACACCAAGCAAACTCAAAAAAAAACCCCTCCTTCTCCCCTCATCTTCCCCTACACACCAACCTTGGACTGACATAGGCTGACGTGACATGGAAACACAGGGCGAGATATCCCTCCGCGGCCGAGTCACCGCTGTCGGAGGTATCAAGGAAAAACTCATCGGTGCCCTCCGAGCGGGGGTTAAGACGGTGCTACTCCCAGCGCAGAACCGCAAGGACGCCAAGGATCTTCCTCAGGAAGTCAAGGATGGTCTAGAGATCCTCCATGTAAAGTGAGTCAAATTCTTCCTTGTCCTTCTCTGTGCTTCTGCCCCCCTCCTCAAACCTCCACTCTCACGCACTTATATCTCTTGAATATACTGGCTTGCAATGAAACCGCCTTACGGTTATGCATGTTGCCTCATCATATCATCATCAGAAAAAAAAAATGCTATGAGATAAGCAGTGTTACTAACTTCCATGGTAAAATAGCCACATTTGGGATGCGATCCGACTGGTCTGGCCCGATTCCCACTGGGCTGAAGATCACCAGTACGCTGGCATCGAGAGCCGTCTATAAGGATTCATGTTTTGTTTTGTCTGCTGGCGTCCCGGAAATTCTGTCCTCGTGTCTTGCATTTTGATCAGGTACCCTTGTTGTAACCCTAATCCAGCGTCATATATATATAAGAAGGGGAAATGGGGAGCGTGGCATAGTCTTGAAATGTATCAGATCTGAGACAAGACATAATCAGACCATACAGATCTTTGGTATCGTACGCTACTTCTGCTACAAGCGATAGCTATTGATTTAAGACAACAATATCCAAATACTACTTGTAAGCCATCTGTTTCTACGTCGATCCGGCAATTCGGATTGCGGGATAAGAGTGTTCGAGGTTTTTCTTTTTTCCTTTCTGTCTTCCCATTTACGAAGATGGGTAGCGTTTTTCACGTACCTACTCATCCCAGCGGGCTTTTGTGCGATCCTGTCACTGCATCCTCGCGCCACAGGAAGCGAGCTGCGTATGGAGCTCTCTTGTTGGGAAATCCTTGCATGTTCTTCTGCGTGAGGAGGAAAAAAAATTAAAATTAAAATAAGATAATTGCACGCCTAGGGGGCGAGATTTCGACGTGGCCGCAGTATAGCTACCTGGATACATCTCCATAGACCATGTGCTGCGGCGCTAAAAAAAACACATGGACGCAGTGGCGTCAGAGTAAGACATGCAGTACAAGGCGACTTTCATTCCCACGTCTAGCGATTCACAGTAAGACAAGGAGGGATGAAGGACAAAGAGGAAGCAAGGGGAGGAAGCAAGGGGGTGGACAAAAGTCAAGCTGAAGGCAAGGGAATGGAGTATGTATCTCTGGTTTACACAAGGTACTCTGTACCCTCTTGAAAGCAGGCGAAGATCGTTCCTGGCTATGATATATCCATGTTTTCAGCCAACAAGCAGCTGTACTGAGTCAACTGGTTCATATGCATGTCGAGCTGTGCCAGTGTTATCCTTGCAGCTCAGCTATTGGATGAGACACACACACGCGAGGCTGGCACACGCCTGCGGTGTTTAACTTCCCTTGGTGGCATAATCTGTGTGCGTGCACGATGTTTGTACGCGACTGTGTCAGAGGTTCAGCTGGACATGGATGGAACATGATGAACAGACCAGCCATGCTGGCCTGACACGAAGGCCAAATTTGCCTTCTTGCTGAAAGATGGATTGGCCGCGGATCGTCCGGCGGCACATGTTGGCTATTGGCTTGCGTGCTCTGTTTGAAATACTAGCTTCTATTCTGTCATCGGCTTGCTCAGGCTCCCCTGCATAATCTAATGCATCTTTTTATATGTGGCGATTTGTCGGCGCATTTCTTGTCGTGGACGCTTAGGACCACAAACAGCTATAGGCTGCGTGTTCGGGGGGTCAGCTAATGGCGGCATATTCCAACCAGTCGTATGCTGGGCTCACCTCCTTGCATGCCTTTTGTTCCGATAGCTGAGCATCCGATCCAATAGCATGGAGGCGAAGCTGAGATGGAGGCACAAACAACTCCCTGGCTAGTTCGC